AATATTGTCACCGTATATAACAAATAAACGTAGATGAGTATCGTAACTAAATTAAGATTATTTTTTTCGTTTAAGATCCTCCGGAAACATCTACATCAGGTATGTAATTCTTTATTGATTTAGCATCAAAACATACATCATAACATACAAAAAAACACCAGTCAAGACACCATCTACGCAGATATAAAAATAAATTATCAAATAATGCCAATAACGCATTTGTTTAATTATGTTTATACGCCTGCATTTCGCTCGCTCAGATTCAGATACTTTCAGTTTTTGGGGTTGTTTTAAAACTTACATTAGACCTGATGGTCACAGATTCTTGATGACTTTTTGATTTAGACTCGAAGACAGGCGTTTGAATTGGCATTTTTTGCCAGTTTTTCGTGAATATTGGTGATTTTGAGGCGGAATGATCAGGAGGTAAACAGGCATGAATTTAGGGAAATCACCTACGAATATATTATAAGAAAATAACGTCACAGTCAATGGATTCCATTAAACTGGCGTAGAACAAAATTGAGATAGTCAATGTTGATTATCAGATGATTGTAAAATGTTGATTTATCCGCCCGAAAAATCATTGATTGAACTTTGATGTCAGTCGTGTGAGAATTACTGGTCTGACTCCATCAGTTAATTTAAGAGTTGTCACCCCTTACAATACGTGTAAGTATCTGCGTCATAACGGTTTTTTTTCCAAATTGCTTTAAATATAGAGTTGTTGTTAATGCTTACATTAGCCAGAATCAAATGAAATTTTAGCATGGCACTGAAATCTTGTAAACATAAATATCAAGAAGTCAAAGATATTTTCTTAAGTTCTTGATAAATACTTTGAGACTATTATTAACTGTCCGGACGCTTTAGCTGCATGTGGGCGTATAGTTTCGTTTACTGGCAGTCTAATTTTGGGCATAAATTCACCCCCACCCCCAATTTAAATTATTATATTGTTATTTTATTATTTTGACATGTTCATCTTTTTTTTAGATACACCAGTCGGTATGTAATCACATACTCGCACAGAGCATATTTTTTATCCCCTACATTCACCGAAATAGCGCGCCCCCCCCCCCCCAAAAAAAAAACCCCACAAAAAACAAACCTGTGAACCTTTGTCGGCATTTTGCCCTCACCCCACTCTAATCCTATACATGTATACACTTAAATAAGCAAAATATTACCTCAGAGCTTCTGACTTTATCAGAATCCCCCAGATTTCACGCCGAATTAACGTTCTCTCGACCTGGCCCCCCAACCCAACCCACCCCACTGCTGCTCAAATTCCTGAACGATATTGACAAATTTCTTATCATTGGAAAGTTTTAGTTAAAGTTAATGGAGTAATCGAGCGAGAGAGACTTTATCATTACAAATGATTCAATTTTATTTCATTAATACGCTTGAGGTATGTGCTTTTAGTCGTGTAAGAAACCCAGAGAAAACCGACAAGGTTGGACAGGCGACCCTACTCCTTGTCACGTACAAGCGGGGAAACGAAACCACGCCACTTGACTCAATGACAGACCTTATGATCTAATGCACACGGTTTACACCTTTCGGCCATCCCGCCACCCTTACCTTACACACTTACAGTTAAAACCACTCCTGTGGATTCACGGGCAGCTCCTTGATAGATATTTAGAAGTTATTGTTTACTCCTGTAAAATGTGGTGCAGTGAGGAGTAATGTATAAATATACTAAGTAACCTTTTTTTTGTTTGACAGCTCAAACTTGTTACGCACAGTCTCAAGTGTGTGGTACAAAAACCATGGATATGTTTAATAAGACATCAGATCACTGCACGTAAGTATATCCACGCTGTTAGTAAAATAGTAAATGTATCCATGCTGTTGGTGTATCAGTAAGTATATCTATGCTGTTAGTGCATCAGTAAGTATATATATGTATGTAATGTATCAGTAAGTATATCTATGTATGTAGTGTATCAGTAAGAATATCTATGTATGTAGTGTATCAGTAATTATGTTCATGTAGTTAGTATATTAGTAAGTATGTCCATGTATCTAGTAGATTCGTTCACGGGAGCCGCGGTGGCCCTGTGGGTCATGTGCTAAATTGCTAGCCAGCAGGCCCCGGGTTCGAACACGGCGTTCAATCCAAGACTCGTTTCTCCCAATGGAGGACGGAGGCTCTGACAGGGAGCAGCGCCTAGTCATTAGGGAGGCACGAAAAATAGAGGTCCTGTGTACCGTTTTCTGTTGGAATTCGAGAATTGGAAGTGTAGAGGGAAACACGACTGTCCAGACACAATGTCCCTCAATACATAGGGCATGGCTTAACCCAGTCATTGCAGAAAAATAGGGGTTTTCGTACCTCCGAACGACTATACACCGTTGACATGACATATCCGGAGAACCTGGGTTAGAAAATCCCGCGAAACTGTCTCGGCTACAACCAGGATAGAATCCAGAACCTTCTGGTTAGTGAGTCGGCGGTAAACTCACCATATTGGGGTACGGGGCAATTCCTTTCTAGACAACTTGTCCCCAGACAACTGGTTCCTGGACAATTCGTCCCCTGGAACTATTCGTACCCCAGTCTTTTCAAACGCGTTTGCCCCATGGTTTTTTTTTTGTAGTTTTCAAAATTTTAGACTTGTTTTTAATTAAAGGGCCAGTCGATTTTTCAAGAAATGTTTGTTGGCCATTCCAGCGAAAGAGTGCAATGAATATGATCAAGAAATGTGGATGGAATTTTTGGACATGGCTAAAAAAGAAGTCCAACAGTATTGCTATGGTAAGACATATTTATAACCATGTTTAACATGGCAGTAGTCAGCAACTATTGTTAAATTATTTACTCTATAAAAGATAGGCTTATGATTATTATTCAAATAAAAAATACAAAGATTAGGAAAAAATAAAATGTTATATGTCTACATTTTTAGATGTAGGTTTCCACACTGATCAGCAGTGAATATTCGCTAGGCCGCTACAATCACTGATAACGATGACATCGATGCAACTTAAGGAGCCCCAAATATTAACTTTTTTTCCACCTACAAATTAAATTCTATATGTAGGTAAAATTATTTGCTATTTAGTGTAAATGGGCATTGAAAGGTGTAAAAGGCACCATTCTGCCCGAACAAGTAACGTCTTATGTAAACAATGCACGCGCCATTGAGCAAATGATTGACGCCGCGCGATGTGACTTCACCTGTTGAAGAGAGTCATCTTTTACAGAGATATTAGAAGACTTTCGTAATCATCTGTGACACATTATGATAGATTTCATTTTATACTATGTATATATTTTTTCTCTCGAGCAGTATACACGTCTATTCAATCTAGTGCTACATAAGAGTGATTGTTTAATTGTATTTTTTGCAGGGTGGGGGTGGCCGTGAGCCACGGTGGCTCAGTGAGTAAGACACTGGCTTGCTAACCTGGACATCCCGTGTTTGAACCCTGCGTTGGCAGAGAAAGTTCATCGGGATTGTCAGTGGTATAGGACAGGGGGACTCGCAAGGGACAACGTATAGTCGTTCGGATGGGACGTAAATTCGAAGTCCTGTGTACATATTAGCGTGCACGTAAAAGACCCCTTGGAATTCGAAATCAGAGTAGGCCTTAGCGCCACTGCCGGGATAAAATTTCCCTTATAGCACACTGCATGGCGTATGCCCGACGTCATTAGCCCAGTAGGAGCAGAACAACATTTCATTTTATTTAATTGCATTTTGAAATTTTTTTGAGTTTTGCTGTTGTGATTGTAAACTGGACCAGAGTTTTGCTGTCGTGAATGTGTTGAGGTTAACTGATTCAGAATTTTGTGCGGCAATGAGATGTTAACTGTGCTTTTGTTAGTTTAAAAAAAACAAGACTGTCTTTATATTATTTTAAAAATAATGACACTATCTTTATATTATTCCACAGGTGGAGGAACCACACCAACAACAATCAAACGTAAGTTTTCTTTTTCAACTGATTAGAACCAATTAGGGTCGGAATGGGAGGAGGTCGTTTCATCCCACTACCGGTTCATCTTGGGCTGTTTCATCCCAAATTTACACTGGGCGTTTCATTCCACATATATCGGGTCGTTTCATCCCACAAATTAAAAACAGGTATTACGCATTTTTTAATATTATTTAAACATTAATAACAATAACATCGCCTAAATAAATCAGTAACTTCTCTACATAAGTATGTGTTATAGTTTATCTTTTCATCTACGTCCATATATAATTCCTGCCAACTTAAAAATGGGGATCCCCAGTTAAGGGGGCATTTATTTGAAAACACTGAGTGTAAATGGTGTTTTCGAGAACATACCCTGATGTTTCTAGCTTATTACAAATTTAACGCGTGAAATCTTGCAAATTCATTAAAAACGACCTATATTAATGACTAAAAAGAGCCCCCAAACTAAAAAAAGTGTCTCAAAACTATGTGAGAAACTTAACTTCTCCATGAGCCCCGAGTCAACTATGCTCGTAGACTCATTCTCAGTCCATCCCTGAGATCATTTCTATTGTATTTTCGTATCGAGATCTGACAATAAAATGCCGTTTTCAGGTACAAGTTGAATTAAAATCTGATCTATGATACTAGCTGCGAACAATACGAAGATAAACCGAAGATAAAATGAATCGGCTGACCGTGATGATACAGGGGCGCGCTGTATAACGGGCGCATATAACACATGCCCTTCGAGGGGAGGGGGGGCAATCACGCCGTTTTTGTAACTCCTTCATTCGAGGGCACCTAACCAATCTCACCGGCATTATGGGCGCCCCGCCATTATATTATGGCCATGATCTCGTCGTGGGCGGCCCACCAATCTCGGCATTATGGGCGTCACTCCGGGATAAGGCACCTCATAGATCACGCCGTTTTGGGCGCCCGTCAATCAAGTTGTGGTGTTAATCGTTGATTCATTATGATGCGCCTCACCATTTTGGGGGCGGTGTGTGTGTCGGCTTTATGGGCACGTTAGTTTGTACCTTTAAATACATATCTTACAGCTGACGTTTGTACACTCAAAGCGGAGAATTGTTATATGGGAGAAGGTCGATCCGAGCAAACAGGAATGTCACGCTGCAGGTAATATATCGGTATACAAAAATAAATCTTGTGTTTCATGGGTGGGGGTGGGGCGTTTGAACATAAGATCTAGCATTGGGTCAAGTGGCTTGGTTTCGATTCCCCGCTTGTACTTGACATAGGGTATGGTCTTCTGTACAACCTCGTGGGTTTTCCCCGGATCCTCCGGTTTCCTCCCACTTTTAAAGACCCCTACAGCAAGCGAATTATTGAAATAAAATTAATTGAACCATATGTTAGTCCCGACATGACCTAGTTTGTGTCGAGTGGACGTTACTCTCTCTCTCTCTCTCTCTCTCTCTCTCTCTCATCTAGAAACTCTAAATGATATATTAGTTGTCCCGTGTATAATTAAAAGCCCCACTGACAAGTAGACTTTGATCAAGAGTAGAAGGAAATGGGCAAAATATCAATCATAGCACACTATGCCCGTCTTTATTAGCTCGTTGGTGGAGAGAAGTACGGCCTTATACCCCACTCCATTAAACAACAACAAAGCCCTATCTATTTAATCGTGCGTTCGATTTATGTCGGTAACCCTAACCGGTTAACTCCTATTAGCACCTATTTAATATCGGTAACCCTATAAGCATCTATTGACATCGGTAACCCTAACCGGTTAGCTTTTATTAGCACCTACATGTATTTATATTTAACATGGGTAACCCTAACCGGTTAGCTCCTATTAGCACCTATTTAACATCGGTAACCCTAACCGGTTAGCTCCTATATAACCTCTGCAGTCCTGACTGTGGTGGTTGAAACGTCGTACTATCGAATATCTATACTTTATAAAAGGTATCGAAGTCATTTCCAACCGTTGTGTCTAAAAACTAATACTAACAACCCAGTTGTTTAGACACGTGTGTCTGTTTTGTCAGGCTTGGGGCCAAAACTATGGGTATTACTTCCGGTTCAGGGCTCTACCCGTGTACTACCGGGTCATCCGGTAGTACGACATTAATTGTTAGCTATGTGACCTTTCCAAATATACGACAGGTGTTGTCAGGTGTTCTTGTAACATTCTATCCTATTTAACAGAGCAAGTAACCAATTTAAGACTTGTGTCGAGAAGATAAATAATCTGATGTGTTCACAATCTGGTAAAATGGATGTTAGTAATTATCTAGACATGGCTAAAAGAGATATATTGAATTATTGTCCAGGTAAATTATGCAGTTTAGTTCTTTTACACGATCGAATCCCCGGTTGTACGTGACAAGAAGTAGGGTCGCCTGTCCCACCTCGTGGGTTTTCTCCGGTTTCTCCGGTTTCCTCTTACTGCTAAAGACCCCCACGCGCAAGCGAATTATTGAAATAAAATTAAACCATATTTTAGTCCCGAAATGACCTGGTTTGTGTCGAGTGGACGTTAAACCCCATTTTTTTTTCTCTCTCTCTTTTACACGACATAAAGATTATTACCTTGTCATCGAATCGTGTCTAAGCCCACTGCCCGACTTGACAGAATACCTTGCATTGCGGTTTGCGCCTTTCAACGTTTCGATTTTTTGTGGCTCTGATTGGGTTCTGTTTCAGCTAGTGTTAATCCCTGTTTCTGCTCAGATACATGGCACAGTTCTTCTCGACAGAGCTCTTAATACTTACCAAAATGACCGTTTTTCGGATTCTTATCGGGAGGATCTTTACAGTTAATGATATTGATAATCGGTGTGTCTGCTTGGATATACTTTACATTTGTTTCATATCCGTTTGCACCTTTCCTCGCCCGTAATCTTTACCAAAACTACGGTTCATATCGGTATGTTTTACAGTTAATAACAATCTGATTAAAACACAGATCCTATTTCGTTTCGTTTTTATTGTTCAAAATTTCGTTTTACTTCTGAAGTATAAAAAAACGAAACGAAATATAGATCTGTATTTTAATCAGATTGAGTTAATAATGATAGCTGTATAACCCTGTAACGATTCCTGATAGTCTAACGTTTAAAAACGAAAGTAGACTTTATTTTCAACCATTCGTAAGATGCGTAATTCAAACAAAAGTAAAAAATATCATCTGTTAATCTTCTTCTCCGTCTTGGGGAGACGCTGTAAGAGTTCAAAAATTGACAAACCTGTACCTTTGACAATTGCGCATAGTGCATTTTTGATATGACGTTACAATTTGAAGAGTGCCCCGATAACATCCCGAATGAAGGATTCCCAGTTCATAGTTCTACGCTCGTACCTGATTTCAGTGTTGCTAAATATAAGATATTATAATTAAGATTTCTATTTTTTAATAGATAGTAGTTCCAGTGTTGTTTCACCAAATGGTTTCTTCATTAGTTGTATGATTACACTTATGGCAGTATTCAACTATAGATAAAGGATCGAAAGAAGTATTTTAAAAAATAAAATAAATTTAAAATAATAAATATTTACGTGTATTTGTTTGGAATATTTTATCGCATAATCCGATAATAGTTTATGCACAGTGGAGCATGTCTACTCAGCGGCTAAACCCACAGCAGCACACCATCTCCTTAAAGTTACAATTTCATATTTTCTAAGAAAGTCAAAACATAAATATTTATATGTCTTTTGCTCAATAAGTTGTCAACTCACTATTATACGGTCATAGGTTATCTTTCTCACACTTAAAAATCTTCACACCGGAAATAATAACACAATTACCTCCCACTTACCTCCCTTGTTTTCCTATTCCCCAACATGGAATAGCTATCTTCAAACGTTTGAATTTGAAGTTGAAAATGATATTTTTGCCAATTTCTCAACTGGCAATAGTGAATTATAGGATTAATAGGATTATTCTTTAACAAGGTAGGACTGTTTATAGATACCATCTATTTTAGGGCTTTATTTTAATACATTTTCAAAATATAGCTTAAAAATATGAAATTGTAAATGTTAAAATGAGTGGCAAACATACACTGCTTGCTTCATGCACCCATTCATTTTAATCTGTGGTCATAGGGCCAAAAACACCTAGAGTTTATGGAGGCAAAAATAAAGTAATATTCGAGAGAAAACACAAAGTCAGAAATAAAGGGATCGAGAAAGAGAGCAATCTAAAGAACGAAGACTATATTGACCCATCCATTAGACGGCGTATCATAACGGGGAACCAACATACGACGGTGCAGCATCATTGATTGATAACGGTGTGAGCACTCTCATTGAAATGAAATGAAATGGGGGTTAACGTCCTACTGTTTTGCTCCGAACTGGGCTAATGAAGACGGGCATACGCCATACAGTGTGCTATGAGGGAAATTTTGCCCAGACAGCGGCACTACGGCCTACTCTTATATCAAATTCCAACTGTCAAAGGATCATTTACGTGCACGCCAATGTGTACACGGGACCTCGGTTTTTCGTCTCATCCGCATGACTAGACAACTGTCCTTGCCAGGCCCTCCGTCCTGCATCACTGACAAGGAGGAACTACGCCGGACACTCTCACTGAAACGTTATCCATAGTGAATGTTATCCATAAAGCTGTATATACATATGTCGTATAAAGATAACATACAACAGTACACCAATACACCGCATACCTATCAAAGAGACATCAAAGCCCTTTACAACGAAATTAAAATTAATATTCACAAGTGGGAAAATTGAATTAACCTTCAAGATGAATGTAATAATATCAGATATATAAACCTGTCACAGGCCACAAATATATCACAAATCTGATAAGAGGTGGCATCAGGTACAATCAGATTATAATATAGATGTATATTTCGTTTCGTTTTTTATACTTTCGATGGCCTACACTACATGAAGATCTGACAAGTTATAGCGATAGGTCACGTCAGGGGTCAAAAGACCGACTTATAACCCTTTTGACGTCAGACATTTGATTAACCAATCAGCATTGATGTTACTAGTGGATTAAGCACAGTTCCGTGAAAAACACGCCTAAAGCTCGCCGTAACAGACCGTTTCATTGGCTTATCCCTGACACCATTCAGAACACGAGTTAAATAACAACTCTTCCAGATCCAAGTGTAGTAAAGACAAGTAAAACGAAATTTTGAACTATAAAAACGAAACGAAATAGGATCTGTGTTTTAACCAGATTGCATCAGGTGGAGCTGAGGAGAGAGTTACAGGTTTCCACCTGCGTTGTTAATCCCAAACATTATTGAGAAGTCAACCACCCACCCTTTCGCATATCTAATCTTTTTTATTGTAGAACATTTGTACTAGTTGCTTCATTCGAATTCATTGGGGGAACTATGGTGGACCAATGAGTCATGGGGCTGGGACTCAGTTCGATCCAGATGTTGGTCGAGAAATTTCCTCAGGATTTTTCAGTGGGACAGAGCGGAGGAACTGCATCTAGTCTTTCGGATGGAACGAAAAAACAAGGCGCATTTTAGGCGTTTCATGCACGTAGGGGGGGGGGCCGAATGGTTAGCACGTGCGTGCTGTATCATAAAGCCTGTCATTGAGTCAACTGGCGTGTTTTCGAATCCCCGGTTGTACGTGACAAGGAGTAAGGTCGCCTGTCAAACCTCGTGGGTTTTCTCCGTGTCCTCCGGTTTCCTCCCACTGCTAAAGACCCCTACGCGCAAGCGAATTATTGAAATAAAATTAAAAACCATATGTTAGTCCCGAAATGACCTAGTTTGTGTCGAGTGGACGTTAAACCCCATTTCTCTCTCTCTTTCATGCACGTAGGAGAGAATTCGACGAAGAGTACGTGAAAACGGGGGAATATGTCCCTCATTACAGTCTCGGGACTGTACAGCGCAGTGGATGCTTACGACTTGCCCCCGGATCCATTTACTTGATTTGATATTAGTTGTTTATTTGTTTGCAATGCCCATGTGTTCTGTCTTGTCCACAGGTTCATCTTGTAGGTTTTATTTTGCACATACATGGCATATGCCCCATTGGCGTATTTCTATTAAGGCCATCAATCCAGATGATAAAGAACAACAAAACATTTATTTCAGAAATCCCTGTCTTGTCCACGGGTTCATCTGGTAGGTTTTATTTTGCACACTACATGGCATGTGCCCCATTCGTGTATTTCTTTTATGGCCATCAATCCAGATGATAAAGAACAACAAAACATTTATTTCAGAAATTTCTGTCTTGACCACAGGTTCATCTTTATGGCATGTGCCCCATTGGTGTATTTCGTTTACGGCCATCAATCCAGATGATAAAGACCCCTACGCGCAAGCGAATTATTGAAATAAAATTAAAAACCATATGTTAGTCCCGAAATGACCTAGTTTGTGTCGAGTGGACGTTAAACCCCATTTCTCTCTCTCTTTCATGCACGTAGGAGAGAATTCGACGAAGAGTACGTGAAAACGGGGGAATATGTCCCTCATTACAGTCTCGGGACTGTACAGCGCAGTGGATGCTTACGACTTGCCCCCGGATCCATTTACTTGATTTGATATTAGTTGTTTATTTGTTTGCAATGCCCATGTGTTCTGTCTTGTCCACAGGTTCATCTTGTAGGTTTTATTTTGCACATACATGGCATATGCCCCATTGGCGTATTTCTATTAAGGCCATCAATCCAGATGATAAAGAACAACAAAACATTTATTTCAGAAATCCCTGTCTTGTCCACGGGTTCATCTGGTAGGTTTTATTTTGCACACTACATGGCATGTGCCCCATTCGTGTATTTCTTTTATGGCCATCAATCCAGATGATAAAGAACAACAAAACATTTATTTCAGAAATTTCTGTCTTGACCACAGGTTCATCTTTATGGCATGTGCCCCATTGGTGTATTTCGTTTACGGCCATCAATCCAGATGATAAAGAAAAAACAAAATATTTATTTCAGAAATTTATATAAATTTTGTACGAGATAAGTATGTATATTCATTCTATGTACACCTGCTGTCAGTCAATATAAATATTATAACGTCATATACCAAATGTACAATTTGGTATCATTTCATTATATAATACGCATAATTATTACCGGAATCCTCTCACCACGGATTACAAATCGAAAGTTTGCTTGTGCCCACAAATCATGCGGTCATCTTTATCAAATATCTCGCAAATAAGACACCCGTATAAAAAGTAATCACTTAAGTAAGTCTTCTTTGAGCGGCATTTAGCAATTGACACACGTAATAAACACACAAAAAAAAAATAATATGGAACACCATTACTATCATTTGCTTGAAAACGTTGAGAGAACCCCCAATGAAACGTCGCTTTAAATAAAATAGTAATTGTGTTCCATATTATGTTTTTGTGTTATGAGTATGACCCCATCACATCCTCATGCACCCTTGTCCCCCAAACTCCAAATGATCTACTACTTACATAATAAACACAAAAACGTAATTGGGCACACAATTACTATATTAATTAAAGAGACGTTTCATTGGGGGTTCTCTCAACGTAGTCAAGCAACGTTTCATATAGCTAAATGTGAAGATATTTCACTAATCTACAACTTTGTATTATTGTGCTACAAGGGAGATAAATCAGGGACTTTATTCATGAAAACTTAAATTAAAATATTTTAAGAATGCTGTGTTTTCATTGGTTGAGGGTTAAATTCCTCGTATATATTTTAGCTTTCAGCCAATGAAACGACCGTATTCTTAAATAGTTTAGTTATTGAGAATAGGGACACAGAAATAAAATGTTCGCCAGAAATATATATCGTTTGGTTTTTAGTGATTGTGTTCAAGCGAAATTGTGATTTGTCATCCATGGTGTGCAGAAACTATTTATAGTATATATCTCAGCCATAAGAGACATCGGCCATCTTGTTCCCGAACAAACGCATTTAACACAAGAAAGACAGTCTAAGGATTATCAAAATTAAATGTTCGGTTTGGGGTTATTTATAGGTACCATTTCATCAACACGACACCAGCCATTAAAAACACAGTTATTGTCCAGGGTTTAACATCCATACCTGCAGTGGAAAATATTTAAATCATTTATTTACATATAGCTTAGGATAAAAGAACTTCAACATTCAGTGTCTGAAGGAAAGAAAAGAAAGCGACCACCATTTAGATTCCAAGCACAAAATCTTGTCAACAAACTGCGCTTCCATATTAAGGTTAGGGTGGACAAAATGTCCACACTCTACGTTTGAAGGAAAAACGAAAGCAACTACCCTTACAGTTTGAATTCGACATATGAGTAGACCGTAGCGCCGCTGTCCGGACAAAATGCCCCTCATAGCACAGTGCATGGCGTATGCCCCCGTCTTCATTAGTCGTTAAACCTCATTTCTTTTCACATCTAATCAATATTTGTTTTCGGTGGTTTCTTATATATTTTTATACTGGTACTTACCCCCTCCACAATGCTGTGTTATATATGGCCCAACTTCGCTCATAGCTTTGTCCATTGCAGCCTTTTCGTCGGCGTTACACAAACCTTTAGTTGCCTTTAAACATGTTTCGTACTTGTTGTCGGCACTTCAAAAGAACGGAAGGGTTAGTAAATTACTAATTTTTGAAATCATGTATAATATTTTTTCAAATGTTGCATGTATTTTAAAGCGGCATTATGGAAAATTAGACAATGAACTGACAGTTCACACTATTATTGTTAAAAAGGAAGATAATGTAAAGGGAATATGTAGAAAATTTCAGTCAAATTACTTCACTCTGAACCGAGAAATCATTTTAAAAATCACTGTAGCCTTGATTGTCATTGTTACCATTGTTAAGTTAATGAACAACGTCTCGATTATTCAATTTTTCGGTTAATCATCAACAGTCGTTGAACCGCAGATCGGATTCGAATCTGTTGAAAATCGGACCCATCAGATGGCATCGAGAGTTGATTATAACTTGTCATGTCAGTAAATGTCTAATTAATAGTTTATTTAACATTTGAAGCCAAAAGAAAGTCCTGTAATGGGCAGATTTAGCTCTTGCATAATGTATGTTTCAGTGCGGGCCTTTCAGCTATCGTTGGCGTCACATCACAACTCTTCGAGAACGCTTTTGCGATGTAACTGATCACAATAACTGATCACACCAATGGGGCACGTTAAGAAGCTGCCGTGACTATATGCCACCAAAAGTGCTCGGTCTGATCGGTTGTTTTTTATTTGTTTTGAAGCCGACAAGTTTGGACAGAGTGGTGGACTGTGAGGGTGGTGATGCAAATATTATTTGGTCATTAGGTTCAATTTGTCGAATTAAATTACAAAACAACAAAAAAAAATATATGTTATGATGAAGAATTTACCTGCATTTTTGAGTTAAATCAGTAGCACTCATTATGGTCATATTCCAGTTATCTGTACATTGGAAAAGCTTCGGGGCACATCCTTGACCTTCGAGTTAAAAAGAAACCAACCAATTATAAAGGATAAAGCACGTGACCGTGACACTTATGTAGCTGAGCGCGGAGAAGGGGGGGACCCGCCAAACCCCCATTTGGATCCGTCCCCGGACCTATTTTCATCCTCTGGTGATTTCAGACAACTGCATCCCTACTTTCCTCCTTTCCACAAGGGGTCTTTGTACTGCGCCGTGTGAAGGAATTCATATTCCCGACCGTTTTTTGCATTTTCATAACATGCACGTTCTAATGGTTATCTTTTTTTTTTTTTTTTTTTTTTTGAAACAGAACTTTTTTATTTAACATTGTTTTAAAATTACCCACCTTCGAATTATTTTAGAGTTACTCACCTTGGCATTTTGAATTAATTATTGGTATTGTCGCATCTAAGAGTTGTTGCAACTGAACTTTTTCAGCAGGATTGCACTCTACCTCTATACGCTCTAAACATACCTCAAGTCCCTCATTTGCACTGAAATCAGTTTCGAATCAGATATACAATTCAATATTGTATTGTCAGTTAGATCATTTTAATAATATTATAATTATCACAGTCAGTTTACAGGAGTTTATTAGCTGATATTTAATAGCCCAATATGCGTGACATGTTTTCTGAAACGATTGATAAATTCATTGGTTCTACCATGGACCTTATGAAATGAAATGAAATGGGGTTTAACGTCCTACGGTTCTGCTCCTATGCTGGACTAATGAAGACCGGCATACGCCATACAGTGTGTTATGAGGGAAATTTTGCCCAGGCAGCGGCACTATCGCCTACTCTTATATCGAATTCCAACTGCCAAGGGATCTTTTACGTGCATGCCAATGTATACACGGGACCACCATGGACCTTATAATACAAGGTCCATGGTTCTACAAGGCTTTAAGAATATTTACCGACTGTGTTGTCAACAAAAAATAGTATACATTGAAATAAGGAGTAACTAAAAATAAATCAATGTATTTAATCCTTTAGTGGCATTTAGCAATTGGAAACATAACAAAACTGACACAGTTATATGGGACAACAATCACTGGTTTACTAAAGAACATTACGCGCATGCGAATTAATGAAATAAAATTGAATCATATGTCAATCCCAAAATGACCCAGTTTGTGTCGAATGGACGATAAACCCCATTCATCTCTCTCTCTCTCTCTCTCTCTCTCTCTCTCTCTGTGTGTGACGCTAACACGATACGTCATTTGTATTTGTTAAAACATCAAATTTCTCACGGCTTCATTCAGGTTGTATTTAGTAATGATGATCGAAGTTAGGCCAAAATTCAATCGCTAAATTCTCACTTCAGAATGGATCAATTTGACTGAAATTTTCAGCATATACCCTTTACATTATCTAGTTTTGAACTATTATAGATCGAACTACCAGCTCTTTATCTAATCTCTCATAATGTATATTTAACTTACATGCAAGTACGCATTAAACCATCCCCTGTATTTGATAACGCCGCCTTCCATGCAGTGTCACATGTATTAATTTGTACTGAACAATCTTCATCTGAAATCATATATTTTATAGACAAATTTACTAAAAAAAATTATTAAAATTCGCAATAATTTCATGTCGCAATAATTTTTCCCCACTATAGAAATTCGCAATAATTTCATGTCGCAATTATGTTTCACCACCCCAACTCGCAATAATTTCATGTCGCAATAATTTCATGTTTTACAGTATATATATATATATCAAACAATTTTAAAAAAATGAAATGAAACAATCTGATTAAAACACAGATCCTATTTCGTTTCGTTTTTTATAGTTCAAAATTTCGTTTTACTCGTCTTCCCGACAAAAGGATCTGGAATAGTTGTTATATTACTGGTGTTTTGGTTGAAGTGAGGGATAAATTGCCAATGAAGCGGTCAGTTACGGCGACTTTTTGGCGTGTCATGCACGGAACTTTGGGTAAACCACTAGAAACGTCAACGTTGATTGATTAATCAATGTCTGACGTCATAGTATCAAAAGCCGCTCGTACGACTCTTGGCACGACCTTATAGTACAACTTGCCAGATCTTCATGTAGTGTAGGCCATCGAAAGTATAAAAAACGAAACGAAATATACATCTATAATTTAATCTGATTGGAAATGAAATAGGGTTTAACGTCCTACTGTTCTTCTCCGACTAGGCTAATGAAGACGGGCATACGCCATACAGTGAGCTATGAGGGAAATTTTGTACGAACAGCCTAATCTTATATCGAATTCCATCTGCCAATATATCTTTTACGTGCACGCCAATGTGTACTCGGGACCATGGGTTTTCGTCCCATCCGAACGACTAGACAGCTGTCCTTGTCTTGTGAATTATAGTTTGGTCAAACAAGCCCCCCCCCCCCCCCGTCTCTATTTTTTAAATAAATAAGGACAACTTATTGCTGGTTGATTATAAGGGAGTCAAACAAACCCACGTCTGTGTTTTGAAAGCGTGTCAGTATTATTGGATTGTGGTAAATTAATTTGGTTTTGAATAAATACCCTAATATCACGGGCGGTTTTCTGGAAGTTCCTGATTAGATAGTCACATCGGCCTTTTTGTTTGGTACCGCGACACAGGATAGTGTCTCGTAGTGTCACACATTATGCCAATCTTCCATTTTTATTGGTTTGTATTATACGTATGTCGATTATTTTGAGCACAACTTTTGACAAAAGAACCCATGAGGGATACATCCTGGGTATGATGAACCAAAAACACTCTATGAACAATTCTCAAAAGAAACCCCAAGACTTTTCAAGTTTCGAAGAAATTGAAAGGTAATGAAATGCCGTTTAGCTCTAACCCTAATCCTCGCCTGCTTTGGCCGGCAACGTGAAGTTGGCACGTTATTCGGGATTCGCCAATAACGAATAACGAATAACGAGCCAGCACGTTATTCGGGATTCGGGATTCACCACTAAAACAGAAGGATCTATCTTGCATCCGACCATTTCCTCGTTGGGTGACCGATTAGCGAGTATGGTAATGACTGATTTGTTAGAGTGCACGGGGCTGTCATCTCCAGCAGTCACCTGTTTTATTGCCGAATCCCGAATAACGTGCCAACTTCACGTTGCCGCTTTGGCCATAGTTTATGAAAGATACAATGAAAGATACATTATGTCTATATCATATTTATATTAGTTTGTAATATACGTACTTTTACAAGCTTTATTTATCTGTGGTCTCAGCATATTCAGTGTTGACAATATTTGAGCTCTTTGTTGATCCGTACAGGAATCTTGAATACCATTTAAGCACGCCTCGTACGCTGCAGCATCTCTGAAAATAAAAGAATGATAATGGGCGACATCGTATTTTTTTATTAGACCAAAACGAAAATACCAGTTTATTGACCGTTGCTACACTTGCTTTTGTAATAGGGCGTTTCCTTGGACCCAGTTCCCAATTCGACTTAGCGGTTAGGCTATGCTTGCGTCTCTATAGAGTCGCCTACATAGAACTTAAATGAAGTAGATGCATACCCTTCGGAAAACTGAATTGAACCATAGGAGGCTAGTTGAACAGTTTTGGGCTTTAAAAGGCGAGGTGTATAAAGTTCTAAAAGATCTGATAGGTAAACAGGAGCTAAATTATATTTAAAAATAAGTAATAGAATCTTAAAATCAATTCGATACTAACAGGTAACCAGCGCAAATGATATAAAACAGGAGTTATGTGGTCACATTTCTTAGTCAGTTAGTTAATGCGCGCAGTCCGTAGTTATGCATCGACTGTTTTCAACACAGGTCGAAAACGGAAGTCAGCAAGCTAGCCTTAGTAATAATGTGGCGTAACGTTTGTATTGCTTGACGCCAATGAAGGTCAATGGTTTGTTAGACTTCGCCTGAAGGACTTGCTGCTTTGTACCAATCAAGCACTGGGCTTGAACAAGTGGAAGGGAAAGGTGATAAAACTAAGTTAAAGCGTCGCTCGGTTTCTAAAAGAACCCCTGACCGCTGGAATAGGGAAATATTTCATCACGGCGTATATCCGTCTCCATTAGTCAAGGCATAAAAGTAGCACTTAAAACCACATTTCATTTTCGTTTCATTTGTTTAAGTTTAGAAAATGACAATCTCACACGAAACATTAACCATAATACATGACCGTCTTTTTATCCCGTTTTTTTCAGACAGTTGGACGTAATCTCCTATAATTTTAGCTTTATCCAAAACAGAAAGGCTATTAATTTGATAAATTGAAAACAGAACCCACCGCGGGCACCCCAATACATAATGTGTAAACTGTGGTTATTACCTGCATTTAGCGGGAAGATTATCGCCATCAGCTGTAGTATTACTTTTCCATTGGTTAACACAGCCTAGTATTTCCGCTTTACATAACTGTTCTAAAAAGAATTAATGAAATTTTCTTACATCTTCAGCTGTCTATATATAGATAATTACTAATAATTATCTAAGCTCATATTTGTATGCCCATAAATATTTTGAAACATAATAATAATGTACCGGGAATGTAAAAATAATATATATATTTTTATACACGCACATGTTAATATATTGTATACACCTCCAGGGGGTGGGGCTAAGTGTTTCTAAGACGCGTGGCTAAGTGGGTAAGACGCTGGCTCGCTAGCCTGGCCGAGAAAGTTCATCCAGATTTTCCGGCTTGATTTCTCCTTGTCAGTGGTGCAGGACGAATGACCACACAACAACATGGACATGGGGAAATTATAAAAGTGAAATGTCTACTGGGCATTTTAGATTATATATGGTGGCTAGGTGGTTAAGACGCTGGCTTGCTAGCCTGGAGGTCGGGTATTCGATGCCTGCATCGGCCGAGAAAGTTCATCTGGATTTTCCGACGTGGTTTCCCCTTGTCAGTGGTGCAGAACGGACGGGCTGACAAGGACAGCTGTCTAGTCCTTCGGATGAGACGAAAAACCGAGGTCCCGTGTATACATTGGAATGCACGTAAAAGATCCCTTGGCAGTTTGCAGTTGGAATCGATATAAGAGTAGGCGATAGTGCCGCTGCCCAAGCAAAATTCCCCTCATTGCACACTGTATGGCGTATGGTCGTCTTCATTAGCCCAGTATAGGAGCAGAACAGTAGGAAGTTAAGCCCCATTTCATTTCATTTCCACATCCGGAGGTTGGGGAGAGCATGTTTCGTTTTGTTGCAAGCTGTTAATTTTACAATACATGAGAGAGAGAGAGAGAGAGAGAGAGAGGAGAAAAAGGAGAGAGAGGGGGAGAGAGAGAGAGGGGAGAGAGAGAGAGAGAGAGGGGGGAGAGAGAGAGGGAGAGAGCGGGGGGAGAGAGAGAGGGGAGAGAGAAATGGGGTTTAACGTTCACTCGACACAAACTAGGTCATTTCGGGACTAACATATGGTTCAATTTTATTTCCATAATTCGCTTGCGCGTAGGGGTCTTTAGCAGTTGGAGGAAACCGGAGGACCCGGAGAAAACCCACGAGGTTGGACAGGCGACCCTACTCCTTGTCATTACAACCGGGGAATCGAAACCCTGCCAGTTGACTCAATGACAGACTTTATGATACAGCGCGCACGTGCTAACCATTCAGCCATAGGAAAATAATAAAAATAGATTCAATAATCAATTATATAAGCTCAATTCGGGAGGGGTCTTTTTCTGGCAACCTTTCCCCACAATATACACGCATCAACACAATATTATGAATATTATGAAAAAAAATGTGCAATATTTATGCAATTTTAGGCTAGATTATGTTTTCGACATCTACACAAGAACATACGGATATTACAAAAATAAAATGTACAATTTGGAGATAAACACTTCCTGTTTCGAATTTAGAGACGAGTTTAATTATCCATTTAACCATGCTTGGATATCTAGACACGAGATATTTGTCAATAAAGATTTGATTTGAGGAAGATCATTGAGCACAGAAATGAAAAAACCCAAAGTACTCTGTAATATTTATTGTAGTTTACCGGTCGAGTGCGAGACATTAAGTAATATATTGATATTGCACGAGTGCGTTAGCACGAGGGCTATATCTATATCTATTACGCAATGTCTTGCCCGAGACCATTAAACAACTTAAATTACAGACACTATCCAGCACGTGCATTTCAATGAAATACGTCACGCGTGTCCAATATTTCAACTAGTATAAATAATGTACGCTTGGCACATTGCCCGTAAAATTATTTTAAATAATGGTACACCAACATCAAAGGATGACGTCACATCTGAATTTTAAACGCAGTTAATCGCCTTGTTAAAATAGAGGGAGTTCATTGTCCATTCGACCACACCTTTCGACCAATCAGAATCAAGGAAATTTCTGATTTGCGCTTCAATATGGATGTTAGATTATCTTTGATGTAGATATGGAGACAAACCATCAAGTATATTAGATAAGATAATATAATGTAGATTCTATTGTATAATTTGATGTTTATCGATTTTTATCTTGAATTTATAAAGCCAGGTTATCGATGTACCTATTGTTAGTTTATAGATTGTAGACCTAATTAAATAATCTAAATAAAATAATCATTTCAACGCGCAAATGGCGCCCTGCCAGATTTAGCCTCGTTTTGTATTATTTCATAACAGAAAGCGAATTGTGTCGAGTGGACCTTAACACCCCCCTCTCTCTCTCTCTCTCTCTCTCTCTCTATCTCTCTCTCTCTCTCACACACAGTGTACAGTGTAACTGAAACAATGCGCATGCGTTTAGCATTGCCGGAGACGTCTTTGGTACCATTTTACCATACCTGGACAATCTAATATCATTATTGGAATCACTTCATTATTCAGGATATATTGAATTGTAGCTGCATCTGTTGCTATACAGTCCTTCTCGGTTAATCTCAAACATTCATATTCCAACACAAGAGCACTGAAAAATAATTTAATGAAACGAATTAACTTGTATTATTCACCCTTTTGACACTGTCTACTTTGTGAAATTAGGGGTTATTTCTGTTGTGTGCGGACTGGGCTATTAAGGGAAATTTTGCCCCGACACTATATTTCCAACGGTCAATATTTCGGACTGGGCTATTGAAGATGGCCATACGTCTCGCGATGTGCTATAAGGGAAATTTTGCCCCGACAGCGGCACTACCGCTTACCCTTGTTTAGAATGGTTCGTTTACGTGCACGCCAATTGTTACACCGGATCTCGGTTTTCGTCCGATATGAATGGCTAGACACTCTTCCATCTTTCACCACTGTCAAGGGGAAAACCACGCCATAACATAACAGTATATACTTATAATATAAAGTCTAGGAAATTTAATTTCGTTTGTAGGCAGTAAAAAAATATATAAACATAAATAAATGAAAATTAAAAAAAAATAAATACACGTTATTAAACCGTGCTTACGAATTATCTGGAAAAAGATCTGTATTTAATTTTATATTAAACATACATTATGCAAGAGCTAAATCTGCCGATTGCAGGTCTTTCTTTAGGCCCGAAATGTTATCTAAATTATTAATTAGACATTAATTAACTTATCCAGACCATAATCAACTCTCGATGGCATCGCTAGCCTGTGATATTTACGGGATTTTGATCCCATTTGCTGCTCGACTTGCATTCATAAATTTAATCATGAAATGGGTAATCGAGACTATGTTTTTTATCGTACAGACTTGAGTAATGGTGATCGAGGCTAGGCCGAAATTTCAGTCGCTTAATTCTCGGTTCATAGTGGATCAATTTGACTGAAATTTTCAGCAAATTGCCTTTACATTATCTAGTTTTTAACTATTATTGTGAGAACTGCCAGCTCTTTATCTTATCTCCCATAATGTATCTTTAATTTCTCTTGGGCTTCTTATTACTTTAGGGGGGGGGGGGGTGGCGGAATGGTTAGCACGCGCGCTGTATCATACGGTCTGTCATTGAGTCAACTGGCGGGGTTTCGATTCCCCGGTTGTACGTGACAAGGAGTAGGGTCGCCTGTCCAACCTCGTGGGTTTTCTCCGGGTCCTCCGGTTTCCTCCCACTGCTAAAGACCCCTAGTCCCGTCTCTCTCTCTCTTATTAGATTCTGTAAAATGATTCTTACTCGCATTTAGCTGTTTTGTTTGTACCAATCTTTGGAAGAGTATTGTTCCAGGCGGCCTGACATTCCTTAGCATCTTCTGTACATTGTGTCGAATATACCGTGACAATACCTAAAACTGAAAATAAGACAAAATAACTATACTGATACGATAACATTTTAAAGATTTCTAGATACGAGACTCATTTTATCGCATTTCATATTTGAATCCCAAATTATGAACTAATTTGAATCCTGAATTCTCAACTAATTTAAAACCTGAATTATGAACTAATTTAAATCCAAAATTCTGAACTAATTTGAATCCTGAATTTTGAACTAATTTTAATCATGAATTCTGAACTAATTTAATCATGAATTTTGTACTAATTTTAATCATGAATTCTGAACTAATTTAATCATGAATTTTGTACTAATTTTAATCATGAATTTTGTACTAATTTTAATCATGAATTCTGAACTAATTTAAATTAGAGCCAGTATAGAGAAAGCAAAATAATGATAATTTTCCGATTCAAAGCATTGAAAACGGCTCGTGATGTTCGACAACGTGATATGGTAAAGCCGAGCGGACGAAACTGTACGATCCCTGCATTGGTCGAGAAAGTACATCGGGATTTTCCGACGTGGTTTCCCCTTGTCAGTGGTGCAGGACGGAGGGCCTAACAAGGACAGCTGCCTAGTCGTTTGGATGGAACGAAAAACCGAAGTCCCATGTATACGAAGATCCCTTGGCTGTTGGAATTCGATATAAGAGTAGGTCGCTGTCCGGGAAAAATTTCCCTCATAGCACACTGATGGCGTATGCCCGTCTTCATTAGCCCCGTTGGAGCAGAACAGTAGGACGTTAAACCCCTTTTCATTTCATTTCTGTTCGTCGTGACTTCATCAAAAATGGCTATTTATTTTAAAAAGAAGATTAAAGCCTTCACATATTGTTCATTAAAATACAACCAAAATCATTAAAAAAATTCTACCTGCCAATAAACCTGTACAAATCAATATCTTCATCTTGATGGATGTCGTACGATAAACTAAAAGAGGAACATGTAATTAACTTATCAGTTTTATCTGAGGTTCATAGTACAGATTGGTCGTCATGCGTCACATCTAATTTGATACCTAATTTGAGAGAGAGAGAAAGAGAGAGAGAGAGAGAGAGAGAGGAGGGGCGATTTACCCAATACTACCCAATACTACCCAATACCACTCCAATACCACTCCAGTATCACCACATACTACCCAATACTACAACATAATGGTGCCAAATGAGCATATTACTTGATCTTTTTCAAAAATAGTGAGATATATCGTGGGAAATGTACTTCAAATGTGATTACCGATGTCTGGCTGTTCCATTTGCCTCCCTATATCACCCAAATCAAGCAAATAATAACCCAATACTACCAAATACTTATCAAATACTACCAAATACTACCCAATATTATAAAATACAAACCTAATATCGTCAATTAGCAGCACATCGGTATAATAATTACAACGAATATTCGATAATTACAGAAAATTGAAATATTTTGAAAAAAATAAAACGATATGTCTATTTTGCATCATTATGTTGTAGTATTGGGTAGTATGTGGTGATATTGTGGCGGTATTGAGGTGGTATTGGGTGGTATTGGGTAGTATTGGGTAAATCGTCCCACCCGAGAGAGAGAGGGAGAGAGAGAGAGAGAGAGAGAGAGAGAGAGAGGGGGGGTTTAACGTCCACACAAACTAGGTCATACCAGGACTAACATATGGTTCAATTTTATATCCATAATTCGCTTGCGCGTAGGGGTCTTTAGCAGTGGGTGGAAAACCCACGAGGTTGGACAGGCGACCCTACTCCTTGTTACGTACAAATGGGGAATCGAAACCACGCCAGTTGACTCATTGACAATTTGATACATCCGTGAGCAACATCATGTATATAGTGTATTTGAACCTACACATTCCAGTGACCCACGTTTTGTTACATATGCCGTCAGAAAAATTATCATAAAAGTTTTGGGAAATGCACATGTACTCATACGGAATAAAACTGTTCTTTAGACGACTTGGGCTTTAGAATTATTTCGCAAACAACCCACTAAGCTAATCGTCTTAAATGATCTGTATCTAGAGGGGTTTTGTCAGAGGGGGTTTTGTGGGAATACCCATCCCCGTCCCTCTCCTCAATCTAATCGAAGGATTTAAAGAACAACCCACTAAGCTTTTCGTCTTAAATAATCTGTATCTAGAGGGGTTTTGTCAGAAGGGGTTTTGTGAGAGTACCCATCCCCAACCCTCGTCTCAATATAATCGAAAGACTTTAAACACAATAAAGTATGTATTTTCGACCCGAAACTGACACCTTAGCCTTTCTGGCCAATGTTAAGGAATTATTAATGTTGATCGTAAAGGTTATTGACGGGAATTAATCAGAGGGGGTTTTGTGGGAGTACCTATCCCCAACCCTCGTCTCAATATAATCGAAGGACTTTAAATACAATAAAGTATGTATTTTTGACCCAAAACTAGCCATACCCAACAGACACTTTAGCCTTTCTGGCCAATGTTAAGATGTGATCCTTCATGGTGATCGTGTACGTTGGTCAGGAATTTATCGTTCATCGTTGCTAATCTTCTTGAGGAGCCCCTCGCCCCTCTCCCATCGGAGTTTTATAGCTGTCACTTTATTATAACAAAAGTTATTGTTCCCAAAAGCATCAACCAATCAAATTGATTATCTATTCTTACCGTAAGCAGGCAATGTTCATCATCAGACTTCATCAAGACATTCACCTAATGAACGCCTACAACACGGTTGAACAGCAGAAAACTTAGTCAAGGTATTGTTGTGATGAAGCGATACACTTTCACCACACGCACCAGTGCCGGACTGTCAGTGAAGGCCCACCTGTCAGGTCATTGACCAAGGGTCACACAAGTATGCGCCAAAGGCGCGTCACGAGCGCGTCCAAGGGGGTGGGGGGGGGTCTTCCCCCTCGAACATTTTGAAAATTGACAACCGCAAACCAATTTTTCAAGCATTTCAGATAAAAGCAGAAGAAGGCAAATTTTTGATTTCCTGATACAATTAGATAACAGAATGACCTAAGAACACCATCATTATTACACGGTTCTCGATATAATGAGGTCAAACTCATAAAGTTCTTTCCTTGTAGAACACTTCCTTTTTGGTTTGTTTGTCAATCATTTTCTTCCTATATTTTCTTTTTCCTGTCCTGTGTCCTGTCCTCTCCTTCCTTCTTTCTTTTCTTTCCTCCCCTTCCCCTCTCCTTTCTTTTTTCTTTCTCTTTTTTCTTTTTTCTTCATAGGCTTAGGCCCACCTTTTTTTAATGAGTTTAGGCCCACCTGTCATGGAAAGGTGGATAGGTGGGCCCAGTCCGGCACTGACTCTCACTTAATTAGAACTAAAGTTATCGTGTCCCAAAACATCAACCAATCAAATTGCTTATCTCTGCTTACCCTTAGCAGAAAATTCTCATCTTCGAACTCCGTCAAGGCATTCACCTGATAAACACGTGTTCCAAAGTCTCAACCAATCAAATTGCTTATCTCTGCTTACCCTTAGCAGAAAATGCTCATTTTCTAACTCTGTCAAGCCATCCACCTGATAAACACATCAAGTGTGAACATTGTTGCTCAATTAGAAGGAGAGTTATTGTGTTCCAAAGTCTTGACCAATCAAATTGCTTATCATTCTGCTTACCCTGAGCAGAAAATGTTCATTATCGCACTTAGACAAGGAGTTGATTTAATGAAACTATACACCAAGTTTGCTCACTCTCACTTAATCAGAACTAAAGTTACTGTGTCCCAAAGCATCAACCAATGAAATTGCTTATCTCTGCTTACCCTAAGCAGAAAATGATCATCTTCTAACTCCATCAAAGCATTGACCTAATAAACACCAACACCAAGTTTGAAAATTCTAGCTCAATTAGAAGGAGAGTTATTGTGTCCCAAAATATGTGACGGACAGACAGACGGACGGCCAGACAGACAGACGGACGAACCTATTTTAATAGTCCCCTGCTTTCTTCGAAAGGCGGGGGTCAAATAAAAGTTAGGTGAATTTGAGTCCATTATAATAATAATAATAATAATAATAATATCTTTATTTTCAAAGGTGAAAAATTAGGCTTAGAGTCTGTTTACAATTTTGCCCTTTATAACAAAGAAATGAAAAAGACTAACAGAACAAGACACTTAACAAATACTCACACACAAAACATTCAAATATATATTGATAAGCTAAATAGTTTAACTTCAAAACTAAAAGTAATATGATAGATAATATGTAGTAAGTAGTTGATATATTAAATATAGGCTACAGGTTAAGAAGAAGAAATACCATGCCTAGTGATATTTTTCTTAAATAAATGAAGATTTTTAATAGTTTTAAGTGAATATGGGAGAGAATTCCAAAGCACTGTGCCTCTATATTGTAAACTACATTTAAATATTTCATTATTAGGTCTACAGATTATCCATGGGCCAGTGCTGGCTTGTTCTACTACTACTACAACTACTACTACTACAACTACTACTACTACTGTTGCTGTTGGTACTACTACTACTACTACTACTACTACTACTGCTGCTGCTGCTGCTGCTGCTGGTACTACTACTACTGGTACTACTACTACTACTACTATTACTACTACTACTACTACTACTACTACTACTGCCGCTGCTGCTGCTGCTGGTACTACCACTACTACTAATACTGTTTCTACTACTACTACTACTACTACTAACAACTACTACTACTACTCTGAACGGGATCTTAAACGTTAACGTGACGCCAGCAATCAATCGAGGCGAGGCGATTTTGAACAGGACTATCCAGTGCTCCATTTCGATATGATGTTTTGTTTTTCAATGAATCACTGAGGTTTTATATTGGTCTAATCGGGAGGTCATGGGGTTCGCTACCGGTGTTGGCCGAGAAAGATCCTCGGGATTTGCAGGTGTGGTTTACCCTTGACAGTTTGACAGGCATGGGGACTTGTCAAAAAAACACAAGGTCCCGTTTACACATTGGTGTGCACGTAAAAGAAACAGTTGGTATACGAAATAAGAGCTTGTCGTAGCGTCGCTGTCCTGTCAAAAGTTCCCTCATAGCACACAGTATGGCGTATGCAAATGAAAAGAAATGAAATGGGGTTTAACGTCCTACTGGTCTGCTCCGACTAGGCTAATAACGACGGGCATACGCCATACAGTATGACGTATGCCCGTGCCCATTAGGCCAGTAGTAGTAGTACGACCCTAAACCCTATCTATTTCATTTCATTTCTTATGTCGTATAAGGACAGATATAATATAATCTTTGTCCATGATTTACTTCTTTTCAACCACCAACCATGCCATCTTTAGCTAACATCAGAATTGAGAATTTAAGGCCATTTTAAACTCTAACGAGTGACACCCTTAACGCGAGTTTTCTTATTCAAAAGTAGTTCCGTTTGGAACGATCTCTAACCGGACGATGTCATCTAAACGCCCTATTCATCCCTATTAAGTAGAATTTTGCGATTTAAAGAACATGCGGTCTGCGCATGTTCGGCTCTCGTAATGGCGGATCAGTTCAAACGTATGTTTTATAATCAATAAATTTGACTTGAATATAGAGTTGAATTCTTATAAATTTTAAATTTGTGTCAGATGTGGGGGGAAATTTTTTCTTTTAGCGAAAAAAAAGGAAGAAGAATCATGGAAAATAATAAGGATTCCCAAAACTTTAGAACACAAGGGGAAGAGCGGTATTTTTTTATATTGCAGGTTAATAGGGAGGAATAGGAACGGCCAGAGTACAGAAATGATATGAAATGAAATGGGGTTTAACGTCCTACTGTTCTGCTCCTATACTGGGCTAATGAAGACGGGCATACGCCATACAGTGTGCAATGAGGGAAATTTTGCCCGGACAGCGGCACTATCGCCTACTCTTATATCGAATTCCAACTGCCAGGGGATCTTTTACGTGCATTCCAATATATACACGGGACCTCCGTTTTTCGTCTCATTCGTGGACTAAACAGCTGTACTTGTCAGGCCCTCGGTCCTGCATCACTGACAAGGCGAAACCACGCCGGAAAATCTGGATGAACTTTCTCGGCCAATGTAGGGATCGAACACCCGACCTCCAGGCTAGCGAGCCAGCGTCTTACCCACTTAGCCACGTGGTCCCTGGCCAGAGTACAGCGTCCAACCAGATATTTTTTCTCTAATTCCTAAAGGAACAAATTCCGAAGCACATGAATCCGCCAAAGCTGCTGATCCCTTCCCTCTTTTCTGTAGATCTCATTTTTTTCAAATTGTATCATTAAAATAAAAGATTTAATTATATTATAGAGTTCGTTCCGTATCTTGACCGTGGTCCCCGAAAAACTGTGGATTTTCTGAACCCCGAGTCGAAATCACGCAGACGAAAAAATAGTCTCGATCACCCAGAACCTCCTAGTCTTCAACGTATTTGACTTAAAGTCCATTGCCCATGCGTAACCGGGAGTTTGGTTTTTAATCTGATTGATTATCCAGTATCTTTGGCCAAGTAAAGTAAGAGTTCCGGCCCTTCCCGCAATAAATCCCTTAATTCTTGCATTAATATAAACAAACATGAATCGTGACGGCGAATTGGGATTAATTTAAAAAAACATAGATATGACCCATGAAGAGAGAAATTTTACAATAAAAAAATTAAGAGTGTTGGATATTGAACCGGCATGCAATCAAATGGATTATTTAAAATGGCATTCTTAAATTAATTTCATGTGCGTCAATTCTGGTTTTAGCACGAGTTACCTCCCTTAGACGCTGTTTACGATAATGTAAAAGACCGTATACTCTAGCCAATGACCTATTTATTTCCAATACTAATATTCGTAGAAAGAATATTTTTCTGGATGATAGAGAATAATGAAAAATAATGACAAGTTCATAACATCAAACTGTATTTATCACAAATTAATTTACATATTATTTACAAATACATGTAATATAGACAATAAATGGACATCGTTAGATAGCAACTGATACAAATAATCTCTAAAGTATTGTGGAGACCAGGGACAGTAAAATTGTTGATAACAGCCAAGCTTTTAAAGGTGTAACACCACTATCTGAAAATATAAAATCAATCGTTTGTGAATCCTCAAGAATTTGTTCTGAGACCGAGTCCAAGGCATTGTAATCCAGCAAGCTGTTTCAATCACCAAATATTAGATTTTATATGTATTAAGCATATGAATCCGAGCGGTCGGATTTCGGTCATCGCATCATAGTGCCCAAACGGCGGACATCCAGACAACCAACGACGCCACAATGTAAACAATTGGAGATAAATCAAGAAAGCAACGTTGTAGTGCCCACATCAGTCGGGTCTCTTCACTTGTCTCCGTCCAAACGTCTAAGCACGTTATGCCCAACCGGCGGACGTCCAGACAACCAACGATGCCTCAGGGTAAACAATGGGAGACAAATCAAGAATGCAGCGTTGCAGTGCCACCATCACGAGCAGACGCTCAAACGTCTAAGCAGCAGCTATAATAGGAACCCAGTAAGACAGTGAAACTTTCAAAGACTCAGTGGTCAAATTGTTACATTAATTGTTCGAGTCCGAATGGTAGGAAAACATTTACATCTAGAACATCTGATAACACGCATGCATTCAGGAAGTTAATACATCTAACATGTTTATAGTTTTGTAGTGTAGAACATCTCAAGTCCAGTTGCTAGCAATCTTATTGTAATCAGTATATAGATACAATATAGTAGCGAGCCATGGGTGCTCGGGTGGTACACGGACCTGGGGGGTTGGATGGCCGAATAGTTAGCACGCGCGCGCTGTATCATACGGTCTGTCATTGAGTCAACTGGCGGGGTTTCGATTCCCCGGTTGTACGTGACAAGGAATAGGGTCGCCTGTCCAACCTCGTGGGTTTTCTCCGGGCCCTCCGGTTTCCTCCCACTGCTAAAGACCCCTACGCGCAAGCGAATGATTGAAATAAAATTAAACCATATGTTAGTCCGGAAATGACCTAGTTTGTGTCGAGTGGACGTTAAACCCCATTTCTCTCTCTCTCTCGGTACACGTTCCTATTCAAGTGTTAGCTGTGAAAATTTCCCGGAATTTCCCCTTGACATAGTGCAGGATGTGGCGAAAACCTGGGGTCCCGTTAACCCCGGTAGTTGGAATTCGACAAATTTCTCTCATATCAAACAGAACGGCGTATATGGCATGTTCATTTTCCCGGTTGGTGCGGCGAAAACCCGAAATCCCGTTAACCTCTGACAGTTGCAATTCGACAATTTTTTCTCATACCAGACTGAATGGCGTTTCACATGTTCATTATCTCGGTTTTTAGGGGATCACGTGGCTAAGTGCGTAAGACGCTGGCTCGCTAGCCTGGTGGTTGGGTGTTCGATACCTGCACTGGCCGAGAAAGTTCTACCAGATTTTCCGGCGTGATTTCCCCTTGTCAGTGATGCAGGATGGAGGGCCGGGCAAGGACAGCTGTCTAGTCGTTCGGATGGGACGAAAAACCGAGGTCCCGTGTACACATTGGCGTGCACGTAAAAGATCCCTTGGCAGTTGGAATTCGATATAAGAGTAGGCCGTAGCGCCGCTGCCCGGGCAAAATTTCCCTCATAGCACACTGTATGGCGTATGCCCGGCTTCATTAGCCCAGGTTAGGAGCAGAACAGTAGGACGTTAAACTCCATTTCATTTCATTTCATTTCATTATCTCGGTTGGTGCAGATAACCAGAACTTAAACCTGATGTAATTGCCTACCTTGATTGCACAATGTCTGAATTAGTGGGTGAATAATCTTCAGATCATTGTTTACAGTACTCTTCTCATCTCCGTTACACAAAACTTCAGTATTTGTCAAACATTGTTCATAAACCTGGTAAGTACTGAAACGACATAGAGACAATTACGTCAAGGTTTTGGTAATCATCAAAATATCGGACCATAAGTTCCTAGATTATGGCCCCTGATTGTACGAAAAACAATGCTGATTAAATGTAATACAAACAGAATGGAAATAACAATTAGATATACATGTTATAGCAAGATCGTGAAATTCGGGATTTTGGTACAATGGACTGCATTGATTTTTACCCAATCGTCAACTGTCAAAATAAGATTATCTCTGTAACAGGAATTCGCTTGTAAATTTCATAGCAGCCCTCCGCGTGGACTTCATAAACTACTTGAATATTTTAGCTATAGCATGAATTACATAGTAACTCTGAATATTTTAGGGATTATATAAAAAAAACCTCTGAATATTTTAGGGATTACATAAAAAAAAACCTCTGAATTTTAGGGATTACATGAAAACTCTGAATATTTTTGGGATACAACATACAACAAAACTCTGAATATTTTAGGGATTACATAAAACTCTGAATATTTTAGGGATTACATAAAACTCTGAATATTTTAGGGATTACATAAAACTCTGAATATTTTAGGATTACATAAAAACTCTGAATTTTAGGGATTACATGAAAACTCTGAATATTTAAGGGATTACATAAAACTCTGAATATTTTAGGGATTACATAAAAACTCTTAATATTTTAGGGATTACATAAAAACTCTGAATGTGTTAGGGATTGACATTTCGGATTTTTCAAAAATCCCCGACCAACACCTGATTTTCATACAATTATTGAAATAATTTGCGATTTCTCTAAATCTCCAATTCCACAATCTTACTGTAACATATACACCATGGTTTTAAATATGCCTTCTGGTAGTCTCTATCATCCAGAAAAATATTCTACGAATGTTGAAGACTAGGAGGTTCTGGGTGACCGAGACTAGCCTTCTGGTACATAATTTAGATAACGTGCTTTATACACTATACCTGCATTTATCTTGTGTAGTTGTAGCCAATTGTAACGATGTATTCACATTATTTGTACATTCATATAACATAGGTGTACAACCATAACCTACAAATTATACAAAGAAAAGTATTTATTCAGGACCAAATAAGTTTACCACAATCAAATAATACTGAAACGCTTTGAAAACAACGACCTGGGCTTGCTTGACTCCCTTAGTCCCTATAATCCACCAGCAATAAGCTGTCCTATTATCATTAAAAAAAATAGAGACGGGGCTTGTTTGACCAAACTATAATTTACAAGACAAGAACAGCTGTCTAGTCGTTCGGATGGGGCGAAAATAACTCTCGAACATGCAGTGAACGCCAAACTAAAAATGTCAATAGTACAGTAGTATAGGACATACCTTTACATTTAGAATAAAGTGTTGGTGTTATTTTATCAACTAACTGGGTAATGACTGTTTTCTCAGCTGCTGAACAATCTACTTCTATAGCTCTCAAACAAACATCGAACAGTTCATTGGCACTGAAAATAAACAAACAAAATATCGTTTAAAACGAGGGAAAGAAAGAGGCACATAATACTTCTGATAGTCATCTAAAAAGTTCATTAGTCCTGACAATAAACCAGAAATAGATGAGGGAATAGAGTAATAAATGTAGGGATACACATATTTAAACGGTTCGAAGATTTCTGGTCGGTGGGTAATACCACTGGCAAGTGGGACCACGCCAAAAAATCCCGATGGATTTTCTCGGCCAACACAGGGATCCAACGCGGGATCTCCAAGTTAGGGAGCCAACGTCCGACTCACTGAGCCACCGTGACTCCCCCATTTTAAGAAGTCAACCAATGAAATGACTGAATTCTTAAACCATTTTAGTTTAGGTTTCTGTGAATTAGACCCCCGACCTGATTAGTTCAAAGTGCATCAGATTGATTATAACCCACAGTGGTAATAGTATTTAAGATATACTGGCACAGAGCCTATTTTTACCTCCTACATAGATGTAAAAAACGTCTAAAAACCTAACGTGAGGAGTATTGTCGCCGTTTTGGCCTCACTCCACTGTTATCCTATATATGTATGTACCTGAATGAGAAAAGATGATGACCCAAAGCTTCTGATTTTATTAAATTTGCGGCTAATTTCTCCTGATTTAACGCCTCACGAGGCTCAAATTCCTGTACAAACCCCTGCTATTTCTCAAAATTATCCCCTTTAAGTACATTATTGTATACCTACTTGCAGATAAGGGGTAGAGTTCCCTCGGTTTCTGCCAGTGAAACATTCCATACAGCAATACACATATTGGTTTGTACAGAACAATCTTGACCTGTATCATAACAAGGTTAGAAAAACTTAAATCAAGCTAAACCCTGTCACTGTGGAATACAGGTCACAATTCTTTGGATTGTAATTACTGCTTATTACTGAGCGACGTTTCAACTATAGGCTTGATAATGACTAGAGAAGCCTAGTCGAAACGTCGATCAGTAATAAGCAGTAATTGTATTCCATAGAATTGTGACCTGTATACTCCAGTTCAATTACTTAATGCCATTGAAACAACCTGTCACTGTGGAAGTAAAATTAGTACATGTATATACTAGTAGTTCAGAATGAAATTAAAAACGTAAGCGAACAATTGCAGACTGACAATCGAAACGCCAACTGAAGTTATTATATTGATGATTGGAATTCGAAATAAGAGTAAGCCGTAGTGCCACTGTCCTGGCAAAATTTCCCTTGGTCACCTGGGCACACGCAAACTGAAGATATTACTGTCGTAATCAATCACCTCACTCAAAAAGAATGATTACGTCACGATTCTGCTCACCCACTGTTTTCGGGACCGGAAGAACTGTGATGGAACTCATTTCCGTATCACTCGATTGCAATTCCGACAATTCGGAACGTTTCGAACTGACAGCAATAGAGCACCACCAAAGAGATACAATAAGGAGACCGAGTGTTGTATATACTATAGCCTCACCTCTACAATCCCGGTTAACTTGTGGACCAAGTTGATTTAAAATAGATCTAATATCAGTCACTTGTTTAGGTGTACACGTGCTTTCAATACTCAATAAACACGACATATATTCTTCTGATAATCTAAAATTTAAAAAAATTATATAAATATATATAAAAAATGTCTTAAAATAAATAGACCTCAAAGTGTCGGAATAATTAAGTCTGACGGGTTGATTCATCCCAAACTTGGGATGCCTGTCTAAAGCTCTGAGACCAGGGGCCTGTTTCACGAAATTTTAACTAAGATAAAATCCAAATTTTAGTAATTTGATTGGATAATATAAGATTGATTTTAGTGCTTAGCCAATCAAAATTGAAGTATCTACTAAAATTTGGATTTTATCTTTAGTTAAAATTTCGTGAAACAGGCCCCTGGTATTCTCGAAGTATGGCGTAGATGGATCGCTGCGTGCAGTATGGAGCTGATTGGCTTGGGCTTCTTCTTCTATTAGTGTTTAACGTCCGCTTATTTTCGTATGTTTAGGGCAGTGAGTATCTATTTATATTTACGGTTCTGGAATAGAGACAACAATGAGATATGGCTGACTTTGTGTTCCACTGTCGACAGTTAAAGTGAAAAACGCAACTAAAATGATTAAACAAACTGATTCAGACCTAACGGCAATGTAATTGTTTTGATTTCTAATCATCAGATAAACCAAATTCAACACTTTGTTTTTAATCAAAAAGGTTCGGCTTATTTATGTTTAACTTTACCAGAGGACAAATCTAAGCAGCAGTACCCATATTATTACAGTAATTTTACCAATCCATGATCAAGAGTTCCATGTAAATGTAGAATGTATATGTGTAGCAGGCACCCTCGTAGCCAGCCGGGGACAATGAAGCGGGGGGGGGGGGGGGGGGTAGCTCTAAACTATCTACTATTTGTAATAGACAGCAGTCAGGGTTCATCATGTGGAGTATTGATTTGGGGACGTTATTATACATTACATATTACATATTGCGATTACTTGCAAGTTTCAGGTTTACTGGTAGATTGCCCTGTTGCTGTTTTCCAGGCTTGTGTACATTCTGCAAATTCCACATCACAAGCTTGAGCTGTAAAAAATTGATATAAAATGATGAAATCTGCAGTTATAAACATGGAAATCAGTGAAGAGAAAAGCTAATTATAAACAATATTAATTTTCAGATTCAAAACATGTGATATTCGAGAACATGTTCATCTGTAGGCTACTATATTAATATTATCAAATTTCTTATTACAGTGGGGTTTTTTTATTAATAAGAGGGGGGTGGGGTGGGGATGGCCAAATCGTCAGCACGTGCGCGCTGTATCATAAGGTCTTTCATTGGGTCAACTGGCGTGGTTTCGATTGAACCATGTGTTAATCACAAAATGACCTAGTTTGTGACGAGTGGACGTCACTTTATTAATAAGAAATTGTAGTTATCATAATAAAATCAATAAGCGCCGTTTGATAAGTCACCTTATTTAAGCAGGGTAGTCTAAACACACGGGCAAGCTTGGCAGGTGCTCCAATGCTCGTGGGTGTAAATCATGATATTTAATGTTTAAACACTGATTTTGTTGGAAGTACAATAAATATAATTTAATGTTATCTGCAAATTAAATTACATCTGTATTCCTGTAAGTGGTTTTGTGCGTAGGCAAGGCCACGTGTTGCCCGGGGACCTATAATGCTGACAAGACGGCCCTGATTTTATGGTCGAGGAAGACAGCATTCTGCAGACAGAGGTAAATCTACTTCATGCGGTTCTACTCCGTTTCACATCTTGCACACACACAAAGACTAAATAAACTTTTTTCAATTTTATTAAATGGAAGCAGAAAAATACTCAACAAAATTCTTGATGTATACTTAGTGTTTTCGATTAAAATCGTCAATTTGGGACTTAAAATGCCGGTCAACTAGGTTGCCGGAGCTAACGGTAGACAGACAGACAAGTTTAGTATTGGAAGACAGGTACCGATGTAAGTTTATTATTAGCTTTATGATACCTTGGCATTGGTTACTCAATATTGGTAAAACCTCTTTATTAAGTAACGTCTCTATCGAAGCTTTATCATCAGCGGAACAAGATGGTTCGGCATTCTTCAGACAGGATCCATACACCAATACAGCACTGAAATGAGGTTTGACTGGATTGGACCTAAATGTTTATCACCTTGAGCTTTTACCCAATCTGGTTAAAACACAGATCCTATTTCGTTTCGTTTTTATAGTTCAAAATTTCGTTTAACTTGTCTTTACTACACTAGGATCTGGAAGAGTTATTATCATTGACGTGTTCTGAATGAACATTTGTAAGTGGCTGTATGCCTAGGTAAGGCCACGTGTGTGATGTTTTGCCCGGGGACCTATACATTAGCCAATGAAACAGTCTGTTACGGCGAGCTTTAGGCGTGTTTTGCACGGAACTGTGGGTAATTCACTAGTAACATCAATGCTCATTGGTTAATCAAATATCTGACGTCATAGGTCAAAAGAAGCTCGTATGACCTCTGACGCGACCTATCGCTACAACCGGTCAGATCTTCATGTAGGCTATAAGTGTAGGCCATCGAAAGTATAAAAAAACGAAACGAAATATAGATCTGTATTTTAATCTAATTGATCTTTCACCCAAGCCACGACGTCAGATGCAGCTTGGCTTGATGTAGTAGACATCCATGGAAATTTAAAATGGTGAATGCCAGCTACACTGTTTGATTTCACTGCCATTGTCCGTTCTCTACGGAAGACCATATGGGTTAATTATTAAAAGAAAAAGAAAATATTCTGATCATCTTGTAAATGAAATGAAATGGAATGGGGTTTAACGTCCTACTGGGCTTATGAAGACGGGCATGCGCCATATAGTGTGCTATGAGGGTTTTTTTCCCCAGGCAGCGGCTCAATGGCATACTCTTATACCGAATTCAAACTGCCAGGGATCTTTTACGTGCACGCCAATGTATACACGGGACCTCGTTTTTTTGTATTATCCGAACGACTAGACAGCTGTCCATGTCATGTCCTTCGTCTTGCACCACTGACAAGGGAAAACCACGTCGGAAAATCCCGATAACTTTCTCGGCCAATGTAGGCTAGCGAGTCAGCGTCTTACCCAATTAGCCACCGTGGCTTCAGATTATCTTGTAATTAAAGTACATGTATAGTTTATTTTTTATTTGATTGGCCGTTATGGTATTCCGTAGCTCTCTTATTTTGTAGAGATAAGTGAAATGAATCACTACTTACGCACACTGCTTGTCTAAATCTTGGTTGGCTGTTGCCATGGCTGCCTTCCACGCGGTTGTACAATTTTGTACTAAAGGTAGGCAACTTGTCGCGGCAACTGAAAAGACCAAAATAAGATTATGAATGGATTTTTCAAAATAAAGCCGTTTCAGACCAAGTCTGCTAAAACTAGGACATCACAGTTTCATCTGCTGGTTACATCAGATATGCCGTATGCATGATAGGTCCGACCTGAATTCCAACCATCCAATCACACTGTTGCACCTGCATTCACAAATAATAATCGATGCCCGAAAAATGCCGCACAAAGTAGAGTGCCTCCTGACAAAATGTTTTAATCTATAGTCAATTCAGTACAAATTCGTGGTATCCAATTGAAAGAAAAGTAAAATTAGTGTTTTATAAATTTCGGGCACTTTATTTTGCCAACTAGATGAAATAATACATTTTTTTTCACTTTGCCCGTCTGCCCGAAAAGTCAGATTGCCCAAAATTAGGGGGGTAACTGCCCCCTGTCCTCCTGGCTCGTACGCCTATGGGTAAAATCCGGCTAAGTGTATAATATGTCAAGGATTTTTCACTTTTGCTGGGCCAAAACCCTTCTCTGTATCTACTAGCAGAACCTTGTAAGTAAGAAATTTGTTTCACAACACAACACCCACTTCCATTTATTATTGGACGAACCTAGTATATTGACAAATTATCAACTATTACTAACTTGAAAGCCAAACGTAAGACACAACAGCATGGCTCATCGACACATGAAATTAATAACGTGTGCTTCTAAAGGGTATTCGTTCCGGTTTATATTTCCCCCTTAAGATTACATGGCTAGTGCTAAATGATAAGGCCAGCTCAATTTGTCGTCATTGGTCACGAGATGTAAACAGGGCTAGCGCTAATCCCAACCCTAGCCCTGGATCTAGCTCCAATCTGGCCAACAATCACGTGCCCTAACCTTATTTACATCTCGGCGACCCTGACAAAAATTGAGCTGGCCTTAGAAAATAGATTTAGCCAGATTACACTACGAATCCTCTAAAAAAAATGTTGCAAACCAGATACGGGTGGGTGTATAGCCTGACCTGGGTAGCGTTCATATCTGAACATAAACATAGACTAAAAAGACAGTACCAGTTTGTCCACATTGGTTAGTTAAAACTGGTATGACCTCACTGCTCAATAAATTCTGTATAGTAGCTTTCTCATCCGGGGAACATAAGGGTTCAGCGTTCTTAAGACAAGTATCATACACATTGATAGAGCTGAAATACAAGTATCATACACATTGACAGAGCGAAAATACAAGCATCATACACATTAACAGAGCGGAAATACAAGCATCATACACATTGACAGAGCTGAAATACAGGTATCATACACATTGACAGAGCTGAATACAAGCATCATACACATTGACAGAGATGAATACGAGTATCATACACATTGACAGAACTGAAATACAAGTATCATACACATTGACAGAGCTGAAATACAGGCATCATACACATTGACAGAGATGAAATACAGGTATCATACACATTGACAGGGCGGAATTACAAGTATCATACACATCGACAGAGCTTAAGTATCATACACATTTACATTACGAGAAGACAAGCATGTTACATGTCGATCAACACCAGGGCCGCCGAGAAAAATTTTCATGTACCGGAGGTAGAAAAATTGCTCCCTTGTCCCCTCACATCTGTGTAAGAACTATGCATAATAATAGATTTTCTAACTTTCCCCTTGCATGGCTAGTACACCATGAAAATAGTATATACAATTACTGAAAGACAGTTATTGATCAGCAGATGAAGATAAAAGCATACCAGTAGCCTCGTGACAAGACAAATCAGTCATATTAACACCAGGACAATACAAGTCCCACACACATTACCAGGACAATACAAGTCCCACACACATTACCAGGATAAGAAAAGCATCACACACATTACCAGAACAAGACAAGCACCATACACATTACCAGGACAAGACAAACATCACACACATTACCAGGACAAGACAAGCATCATACACATTTCCAGGACAATACAAGTCTCACACACATTACCAGGACATGACAAGCACCATACACATTACCAGGATAAGAAAAGCATCACACACATTACCAGGACAAGACAAGCACCATACACATTACCAGGACAAGACAAACATCACACACATTACCAGGACAAGACAAGCATCATACACATTTCCAGGACAATACAAGTCTCACACACATTACCAGGACATGACAAGCACCATACACATTACCAGGATAAGAAAAGCATCACACACATTACCAGGACAAGACAAGCATCATACACATTTCCAGGACAATACAAGTCTCACACACATTACCAGGACAAGACAAGCACTATACACATTACCAGGATAAAACAAGCATCATACACATTATCAGGACAAGACAAACATTACACACATTACCAGGACAAGACAAGCACCACACACATTACCAGGACAAGACAAACATCATACACATTGCCAGGACAAGACAGGCATCATACATATTACCAGGACAAGACAAGCATCACACACATTACCAGGACAAGACAAGCATCATACACATTACCAGGACAAGACACTCATACACATTACCAGGACAAGAAAAGCATCATACACATTACCAGGACAAGACAAACATCATACACATTACCAGGACAAGAAAAGCATCATACTCATTACCAGGGCAAGGCAAACATCATATACATTATCAGGACAAGAAAAGCATCATACATGGACATTGGATAATCGAGACTTTAAATATTATCGTAACAACGGTAGCTATGAGAACATATTGATCAAACTCTTACATAATGATACACTAAAACATGGTGCTCCTCGAGATATTTACTCGTATTTTTTATTCAATAGTTTTCTTATATTATATTATTTACAATTTTATGTATAGGTTTATTAGATTTGATGTTATTTTACTTTAATTCTGAATTATTGTATTGTATTTTGTTTGTTTTACATGTATATTGTTTTTACTGCAGACTTTGTAACGCGCATTTAAGCGCTATGTGAATTGTGCGCTATATAAATTTTCTTAATAATAATAATAATAATAATAATAGTAGTAATAATAAAAAGTCTAGTTTAAGGCATATGAACATACATTTGCCAAGCTGCTAACTGACCTGCATTTCATTTGTATGTTCTGGTTGGCGACGGTCATACTTGTCTTCCATGTTTCAGAACAAGTGTTGACAACTGCCAGACAATCTCCACAATACCCAACACCAACTGTCGCAGCTGAAAATCATATAGAGGGTTGACAGTAGCATATTAATAACTGCTAAATGTTCGTATGCCAGATCAATTGTATTAAACCGTCGGAACAAAGTTAAAGAATGGATTAGTATTTTTTTTCTTTTTTAAATTAATTGAAGAAAATTTGAAAAACTCGACATTCAATTCAAGAGGGAAAGCGCTATTCGTGGTTTGGAGGTAAGCAATCGCTTCTTCATGTATCTGGAAATCATCGGCCACACAGTGATTCGATTGTGGTCTATTTCTGGAACACAGGGGTCCAGAGAAAATTAAAGAAAAACATAACATTTGGGAGCCTTCTATTTCTGCTTCTTGCCTGGCATAGAATCACAAATAGTGCCGACTTCTGGCTGGTGGGGCATTTTAATCTTTTAAAAAACATTATATATTAACTTGTTTAAAGAGGGGAGAGGTGATGTAGGCCAAGCACGTTCCTCATTCCCTTTCAATTTTTTAGTATAAAATTATTTTGGGTAAAAAGACCCACTGTACATCAGAATCTGGTCTAAACCTCTCCACGGGGACCTTATGAATTAATCTTCAGAAATATATAATAGAAGCTTACCGAACAGTAGAATATAACTAAAAATGTTCATCATTTTAGGTCGAAGAAAAATAGCTTTATTGCCTTTTGCGAATGATCTGATAGAAATAAACGAAAAATTAAAAAAAGATAACACTGTGAGATAAGTGGGTGAAAGTCCACCATCAACTGATAACTAGGTTATATTAATAATGGATGGTTAGATAGAGAGATAACCTGAATTGAACCATCTGCCATTAATACATATGAGAGAGAGAGAGAGAGAGAGAGGGAGAGAGAAAGAGGGAGAAAGAGCTTTTAACGTCCACTAGACATAAACTAGGTCATTTCGGGACTAATATATGGTTCAATTTTATTTCAATTATTCGCTTGGGCGTTGGGGTCTTCAGCAGTGGAAGGGAACCAAAGGACCCGGAGAAAACCCTCGAGGTTGGACAGGTGACCCTACTCCTTGTTACATAGAACCGGGGAATCGAAACCACGCCAGCTGACTCAATGAGTCTAGATAATAAACTGCAACTGTATCTAACCGATATATTGGTCTAAACGATACACAGAATATAGAAGTTGTGCCATCTAGAATCTAAGTATTATATTGGCATGCTTCATCTTAAACCAAAATGCTATACAGTTATTCACCATATATAGCATCTAGAATGTTATATTGCTGCTCTGCACCATCTAGAATCTAAATGTTATATTAGTGTTTTTTACCATCTAGAATCTAAATGCTATATTGGTCTTCTATACAATCTTGAATCATAATGTTTTATTGATGCTCTGTGCCATCTAGAATCTAAATGTTGTATTACCGTGTTGTACCATCTGTTATCTAAATGTTATAATGACGCGTTACCATCTGCAATCTAAATGTTATCATGACGTGGTATCATATGTAATCTAAATGTTATAATCACGCGGTACCATCTGTAATCTAAATGTTATAATAATGCGGTACCATATGTAATCTAAATGTTATAATGACGCGGTACCATCTGTAATCTAAATGTTATAATCACGCGGTACCATATGAAATCTAAATGTTATATTGACGCGGTACCATCGGGAATCTAAATGTTATATTGACGCGGTACCATCTAGAATCTCATTGTTACAATGACGCGGTATCATATGTAATCTAAATGTTATATTGACGCAGTACCATCTAGAATCTAAATGTTATAATGACGTTGCACCATTCAGAATCTAAATATCATATTGACGTTGAACCATTCAGAATCTGAATGTCATATTGACGTTGTACTATCTACAAACCACCGTTTAATGTCTAATTTTGTGTCAACCACACATTATCCACAGACACAATGAATAAGCTCTTTGAGTATAGGACGTTACTATGTCCCACTAGATAATAATAAACACAAATTTCATCTCTCCCATAGTCCAGGATATCTTTTTGTCAAATTTCGAGTACGTGTTTACTAAGAGTTAAATAAGGTAATAGTTGTGTTCAATTTTGTAAATCCGTTTGCAGTGGAAGAAGCTGCTTTAATAAGCAAACAATTCCCCTCCTTGATCCCAATACATATAGATTACACACATTAATCACTTGCACGTTTAACTATTAATAACTACTTGGTCACCTGGTTAACATGGCCAGAAAGTGCTGATTATCAAGGCAGAGAAGGAATCCCCCCTCCCCTCCCGTGATGCAACGACAGCGAGTTTTACAACATCTAGGCGTTGCTAGACTGGTCTGCAATTCCAGAACTTATAGCTACATTATCTCCCGTTAACGCCGACACGTGAGCGATAGCGCCCAATCAGATATTGTGACACAAACACACCCAAATCAAACATGGCGAGCGCCACGGAAACTTTTACGTTGAACGAACCTAGAACTTTGCAACTCGATTATTACAGGTAGACATTTTAGCTGGAAAGCGCGAGACTTGGTATTCGCGATGATCGACGAATCTGATAGGCTCCCCAGCTTGGTCAGTAGCCAATCGAAATTAGTGCCAAAATATACAGGGTATGTACGGAGTTAAAGCGGGAGCAAGTCTTCTATTGAAGATGACCCCTCTCCATCTATTGACCGTCAGTTAAAGCGAGAGCAAGTCTTCTATTGAAGATGACCCCTCTCCATCTATTGACCGTCAGTATAGACTAACTGAATGATGTGTAGGTTTTACAAACTATTTTCTCTGGTAGTAAAATAATACATCCTCGTTTCAACATTTTTATTGTCATAACTATAATTTACATTGTCAACAGTCACATGATAGTTTCAATCATGATCTATGTAGGTGCACAATCCATCATATATTACTTACTATTATATAAACACGGGAAATAACACATATTTCAAACTAACACAGGGTATCATGTACATAAAATAAAATTTACTAGTGAAATCTGCTTTTCTTGCAAAATACAGATGCTTGTATTGCGATATAGATTGCAGATAAGTGTTCCCTCTGTGTACCTATTTACATCCATTAGAAATATGAACTGGAGAGCTGGGTTATTACCTAATTTACGCTATTTAAAAATGGGTTCCCGCGTACAAACTGGGTGATTTAATGGTATATATGGACTAAAAACATATTCAAACTAATTAATTTGTCATAATTTTGCTTCAAATCCTTCTCAAACATTGTAATTGCCAAGGAATGCCCTGCTATAAAAAATCGATCAAACCAGGTCATGTTTATGTCACATGACTTACCTCTCTCAGACGTCAGAGGAGAATTCATTGCATACATAAGACGATGTTGTCTTGAATAGCTTACTATTTATTACAAATATCGAATCCTAATTAAAATCTCGGATTATCCACTACTTGCGTATTTTTATTTCAGAAAGTTTGTACGTCTAACTCTTAATAAAGTTTATCAACTTGTACATCAAGCGCCCAATGTTCGCGTGTGACCTTTGACATCACGCGTGCAGACAAAAAAAAAAACTCTTAAATTTTTGTCCTGTATATGCTCCATGAGTATTTTTCTAGTAAGATTGGATATCTCTACTTTCCATATATACCAAAATTGTCATACTTTTATTGGAAATAACCACCCGATAAATACTTTTCTGGGAACCCATCTTTAAGTCTTCACATTGTTAAAGTCCTCAAATGTGAAGTCCTCGCATTGTAAAGTCCTCTCTTTGTAAAGTCCTAACATTGTAAAGTCTTCACATTTTAAAGTCCTCAAAATGTGAAGTCCTCACATTGTGAAGATAGAAGTTGAAACTATTCAACTATTATAAATATATACATTATCATTAAACTAAAAAAAAAAAAATTCCAATCTTCAATGTGTGTAAGATTCTGCTGATCCTTAGCCAAATCTATATACAGTACAGACAGGAGAGGAATGGAACTCAGCATTCCTTCAAAATAATACTTCGGTCATTCTGAGATGAACATACGATCATGCCTGTAATGCTAGGAAAGAGAATTCTGCCCGGAAAGACAATTCCCCCATGACAGTAGATCTGAGTTAAGGCATAGGCTTTAAGGGCTGAAGCCCAGGTGATGCTGCAGTCTAGGTGCCTCATCAGCTGGAGGGCATACAGAGATTAAGGGAAAATATATTTCATTTTTGAATGCTGAATCAAAGAATATATACTCTAAATTATCTATTTATAAAAGGGGCCCAATTAATACTGTATATATACAAATGATCATACAACAACAAATGTTCTTTAACAAATTTTGCATATTACCAAATGATATGTTTAATTTTCTGCTACAATCAGATTATGCTTTTTTCTTAACACAAACTCCCCCCCCCCCCTTTTAAAACATCAACCACAAGCTACAAAGATTAATGCAAATGCAGCTTTTAACAGAGTTTCAAAACAAAAAATGTGCGTTATCAAATATTATGGTTTGACTTACTTTTTAAAGCTACAATTTCATGTTTTCTAAGAAAGTCAAAACATAATTATTTCTATGTTTTTTGCTCAATAGGTTGTCAACTCACTATTATACGATCATAGATATCATTCTCTCACAATCAAAAATATTTCACACCGGAAACAATAACACAATTACCTCCCTTGTTTTTCTATTCCCTACCATGGAATAGCTATGAAGTTGAAAATGATATTTTTGCCAATTTCTCAACTGGCAATAGTGAATTTTAGGATTAATAGGATTATTCTTTATCAAGGTAGGACTGTTTATACATAGCATCGATTTTAAGGCTTTATTTTAATACATTTTAAAAATATAACTTAAAAATATGAAATTGTAGCTTTAATATAGCAACAGATATTTTTATGGATTTGTCAAACATTTGAGCACTGAATTTTTTCTGATATATTTAGAAATGAAATAAATAAATAAAATAGTACACACATATAATACTACAGGAACATACAAATATCTCTTTGGTTTACCTACCCTTTTTTTCTATTATTAAATTTCACATCAAATCACAATGGGTGTTATAAATGAAGGGAATAGAAGCTGTGATTTGAATTCAAATGTCTCGTTCACCTTAGGCGTTTAAATCTCCCCTTTTTGGTTTCCACACAAAATTCTATAAATTGTATTATAACATCCCCCACCAAAATTAATGACATCGAAGACGAAAATTGTAGATATATTTTTATAACAAAAATGCAGGATCTTGGAGGGGCTGAAAGTAGTTCACAGAATGATTCATGGAAGGCTTAAAATTTCATCATTTAGATGGGACAAATAAACAAGGTCCAACACGATGGCATAGCCAGTAGTTGCAGAAAAGTAGGACCTTAAAACCCCAATTTTATTTCTAAAAGTTGTCTATATATGTATACTCTTTGGGAGCCGAATGAAGGGGTAGGTTGGGATAAACAGCTTGCACAAGATAACAAGATGATTTGAAGGGTTATGATGGAGATTCTATTCTCTACATTCTATCATTCTGATCATGCTATCAATTTTTTCATATTTACATAATGTACATTTAACCTTATGAGAATAAACAAATATCGCATACAGATATCTGGTTCATTAGGCCACACAAATTTTATTTTCTGTTCTCCAGGATCCATTCTGCACACAGAGATATAACTACTTCATACTTGGAGAATTAATCTCTACCCTGAAAGACCACCATATCCAAAAATTAGGATACTATTTTGTAATGCAGTTTTACTCCATCAAACACACAAAGACGAAATAAACCTTTTCAATTTCATTTAATCGAAGAAGAATCAATACTTCCCCAAATTCTCAAAGTACACTTATTGTTTTCGTCCAAAATCGTCAATTTAGGACATAAAATGTTCGTAAACTAGCTTAATGTCTGTTCTCAGGTGGAGCTAATGGTAGACAGACAGCCTAAGTTTAGTATGCTCCACTTTCTTGATAAATAGCCACATACATTATTTGAAAGGTGTTTTGTTTAAAATTTAAAAAACTTAAAAATTTGAAACTAAATGCTTTTAAACAATGTGATCAAGTACAATTGGATTTTAAGTAAGTTTTTTTCTCGAAGAACTAAGAAGAAAATATTTTACAGTTGTTCCTGAAGAGTAGAAAACCAAATTGCTGAGGCCTTAGATACACTATAATCTTTCATTTAAAAAAAAAATTCTTTTTAAAAGAAGGTACTTAACAAAGATTTATAAAATAAGAAATCTTCAGAAAATAGTTTGCATAAAAGAAAATTCTTTTTTTTAAACAAAGATTAGTAAAATAAACAATCTTCAGAAAATATTTTGCAGCTTTTAAATAATTCAAAATGTTGTAAAAGAATGTATACTCAAAACTATGAGTTATTATTAAAGTAATTAATCACATTTCATTGTATTTTTATACCTAAGAATTAATTCCTTATTCTACATCCAGACAAGATATTGCATTATGATTTAATGAATTTAGTATTTGGAAAAAATTAACATAATTAAATATGGACAACTATTACTTGTTTATTATACAAAAGCACTACAATACTTATCGAAACATAGTGCTTTTTTATAATAAACCAGTGATTGTAGTCCTATTTGTTGAGCTATTGCATTATGATTCAATGAATTTAGAATGATATAAATGACACCAAGTTCAATGCTGGTGATTATCACTGACTGACATGTAATAACTATAAAACACATACCAGCGGAAAACAGTAAAAAGCTTGATAATGTAGCACTCTGATTAGAACACAGATCCTTTTTCGTTTCGTTTTTTTTTAAAGTTCAAAATTTCGTTTTAACTGTCTTTACTACACTTGGATCTGGAAGAATTGTTATATAACCTGCGTTCTAGTTCATGTGAGGGATTAGTCAATGAAATGGTCTGTTACGGTGAGTTCTTGGCATGCGGTGCACGGAACTGTGGATATCCCACTAGAAACATTAACACCCATTGGTTAATCAAATGTCTGATGTCGTAGGTCAAGAGCGGTTTGTATGACCCCGGAAGGGACCTTCCACTACAACATGTCAGATCTTTATGTAGTGGAAGCCATCGAAAGTATAAAAAAAACGAAACGAAATAAAGATCTGTATAATTTTACTCAGATTGGATAATGTAGAAAACTCTTTGAAATCTCGCTCAAATATATTAGTAGCTATCTTTCATGAATATGTGTTTTGGTTTATTACTCTGTCCAGTTACTCAATCAAACCACATGGAAAACAGTTAAAAGCTTGATAATATTGAGAGAATACTCTTCGAAACCATGCCCAAATATATTAGTAGCTGTTTTCCACAAGTATGAGTCTTATTTTCTTACTCCGTCCAGTTAGTAAATGCCTCTAAAAGATTACTTAGATATAGCTATACGGTTAGATTGTAGTACATACTGGTACAATATCAAAACTAACCGATACCAAATCCCAATTATTTTTTTTTTGTTTTCTATGTAATCTAGAGTGTAACTGGGCGGTATAGATCACGCTGAGATTAAATCATTAAACAAACATGGTATTATGAGCATGTGTGTCTCGGAATGGGTAAAAAAAAAAAAGATCTTTAAGAAAGAAAATTCAATGTTGCTCTTTTTTCCATTCTTCTAGTTTTTGTCTGATGGCAAGTTGTCTTTCTTCATCAATCTTTTCTTCTTTTTCTACTTCTATTTTCACTTTTTTCCATTTGTTCACTAAAGATGATACCTTCTTCTTCTTCAGGGCAAAATTTGTATTAGCCATATTCTGTAATATAGAATAGTACAGTATGTGAGGAGAGAGAGAAATAGGGTTTAAGATCCACTCGACACAAAATATTTAGTAATTTCGGGACTAAAATATGCTTCAAATTTATTTCAATAATTTGCTTGCATGCAGGGTCCTTAGCAGTGGGAGTACCCAGAGAAAACCCACGAGGTTAGACAGGGATCGAAACCACGTCAGTTGACTCAAGGACAGACCTTATGATGCAATGCGGCCACTCTAACCATTCGACCATCCAACCCCCCTTTTTCAAAATGAAGCACTAGATAGAAGGGTAACATGAACAGTTTCAACAACATGGAGGGCATGGTTTAACTCCTCCACATGGCAAGATGGTATCTTTACACTCAAGTGGGCGGTACAGCCAGGGTGACCTTGGGTTGCACAGATTTTCGTACTATAGTTGAACTATCTGTGTGCGAATGACAATTAGTTCAAACTGTGGTCGTAACCGGCAGAACCATGCGATAGTTCAAAGATGGCCGTCAACACTGACACATGTGTAGATTTGTCTGAATAATATCATAAAATTTCCGCTTGCTGTTGCGTTATTTACACCATGGACCATGGACCGTATAATAGGGTCCATGTTAACACCTGAAAGATGTGAATGAGCGTTTGGGTATAGATGTTAACAACTTTGATTTTTTGGAGGGAGTTTTCTTGATGAATTTGACAGATTAGGATCTTATTGAGTATATATTGGCTCACGACAAATTTGTGAAATTATCTTGTGTGACATAATTCGTAAGAAATATTTTCTGATTTTGACTTATCCTATTTGTAACCTACTTGCTTTCACATCGCAGTGTGGAAAATTTCAGATGCCCCAGAAAATGATAAACATAATAAAAAAACCTTCTGAACAGCAAAAACTAATAAAGTTGGTCCTCTTGTACCATCAATGTTACCTTTTTCTTCTTTTTGACTTCTTTGGTTACTTCTGCTTTGATTTCACTAGAAGACACCATTGGTTCTCCATCCAACTCAGCAACATCTGTCGTTGCTGCTGCACCATTACCTTGTATAGTGGAGCTCGACACCATGGAACTTGTGGAAGGTAGGGAACAGCTGGTGCCTGGGAGAGGATCATTCGATGATGATGATGTTGTTACTTCTGAATTATACTGAACTGGTTTACTTATCACAACTGTTGATTTGGGTAATGCTTGTTCAACTTCTGATGCTTCCGATGCCACATTATCTTTAGTTTCGACTAGTGCATCTTCTGCATCAGATACTGATATTGGGCAAGCTGGGGGAGGGGCAGGCAGTTCTTCTGGTTCATCTGGAGGTGGAGGCAGAGGTGGTGGTGGACTGGTGGGTTCTTCTACTTCAGGATCATCTATGATGTTTATTGTATCTGATTTTGCCTCGCGATTTTTCGACAGTAATCCACCCAAAGATATAGTCTGAAAAAGATACATAAATAAAATTGCATATATATCAAGAAGATGAATTTGAAAAAAAAAATGCACTGATTAAAACACATTCTAAATACAATGTTGCCACATGACTGTAAGCTTTAAATCTAAAGTCTGTTTTCTTTAAAAGATTAAGTAAGTTGTCTATGTACTAACCTCTACAATGCTCTCGATATCAATTTTTTCTTTTCGGTGGCTCTTACTCGATTTGTGACTAACTTCGGGAGATTCAGATCTCGATCTATCTCGGTCACGTCGACTAGACTTGGATTTGGAAGATCTTTTGTCCACTCTTCTTTTGTCCTTTGATCTCTTGCTGGAGTGGGATTTGGAGCTCCTGGATTTCGACTGACCGGAGGAATGGCGGCGGTGATGGGATTCACCTATCACTTGGACGCTGGAATCTGGGTGTTCCCACTGGGTATCACCAGTGACATCATTGATATAAAAGTACTGCCTGAAATTCCTACATGACAAAGCCATGCAGTAAAACAAAAATGCAGAGATGAATTTCTGACTTAAATAGCATTTTTAAACCTGTAATAAAAAACTGTAAATGGTGAATATTCAAATAAGATCAATAAATACAATACATCATAAATACAAATATCAGATACATATCCAGTCTTTTAGACCTGTCTGACATTTTTTTCCCCATTCATGTAATTGAATATTTATGGATTGTTCTACATTTTTAATAAGTACAACAATTACTACTACCCTTTAGAACAAGTTTGATTTTTGGTTATTAACTCTTTGTAATCTAATACTTCTGGATTTTTCTATATTCATTTAAGTACAACACGTAAGAGTGTAGCTACTCCTTAGAACACTTATGATTTTTAGTACATCTCAAAACCACTTTACAGGTATCAAAGCTGACTTTTGGAAAACGCACTTAAAGAGAGATAGAAAAAGGGTTTCACCTCCACGTGACACAATTTAGGTCATTTCTGGACAAACATATGGTTTAATTTATTTTAATAGTGCGCTTAGGGTGTTTAGCTGTTGGAAGAAATTATAGCAGTGGAGGGGAAAACGTTGACCCAGAGAAAACCCATGTGGTTAGACAAGTGTCCCTACTTCTTGTCATGTACAAGTGGGGAATTGAATCCACGCAACTTGACTTATTGACAGACCTTATGTTTTTAAGCACACACAGTAAATATTCAGCCACCCAATTCCCCCTTAATGTACTTGGTGCTTAAATTTTGATAATAAAGTTTCATAATTACAAGTCCATTTGAATATGTCATGACATACCAGTAATATTTTAGAGTGATAATTCCTCTTTAAATATTTAACCTAAATTCATTCTTTTTCTGAAAATTATTACTGATGCACCTTTATCATACATTTTAAGAAAAAAGTTTAAATTTACTTCGTTCCTCTTCTGAAATTCTTATTCTAATTTAGTTTTAAAAGAAAAGACAACAACAAAATCTTTAAATAACTTTATTAAAAAGTGAAATACAATTTAATGCATGGTAGGAAAGGCACTGAGAACCTATACTTATATCTATCTGGGCTGGGTAGGAGATTGGCTTTATAACTGAAATAATGTAACTATGACGACTAGTCGGTTATAGCCGAGAGAGAGAAAACGGGTTTAACATCCACTCGACACAAACTAGGTTATTCTGGGACTAATATATGCTTCAATTTCATTTCATTAATTAGCTTACGCATAGGGGTCTTTAAGCAGTGGGAGGAAACTGGAGGGGGTTGAACAGGTGACCCTACTCCTTGTCACATACAAGCAGGGAATTAAAACCATGCCACTTGAAGACTTTATGATGCAACGCGCACATGTTAACCATTGGTGAAAGCAGCCTGCTGACAGGTTAAAGTAGCTAAGTCTTTAACTTGATATTGTTCAAAGTCTTATAACAAGGGACTAGAAGAACGAGGCTAGACATATCCCACAAGTCATGCCGAACGGTGACGTGATATTCTTATCTGGAAAGCATGCAAAATAAATACTACCGGTGTAGACTGGAAAAACCAGATGCTAGAGATTGCCATTCGCATATTTCGCCGAACATAACTGATTTGAAATTTGAGTAAAAACCGAGATGATTGATTGTAAATCAGTTTATATACATCAATATTACATTATTATATGTGCTGCGACCCATTTGTGTCAATTTCTAGGTCCCTAATTATTTGTGATTTAGTTCCTTTTAGATACAAAATCAGCATTTATTGGTGTTGATTCGCTATACACTTAAAATTATGATAAAAAGAAAGAAAAGGACTGTCAGATAAAAGCAGTCTCAAGTGACTTAGCTGAAAGAAAAACTATGAAAAGTTGTCATGTGACTTTCTATTCAGAGCCTAAATTAATTTCCTTAAATCAAATCGAAATACGGAAAATTAGAAAGTTCATAGTGAAAATACTTTATGGATATATCGCACACAGACAAAATTAATAATTTCTGAAAGCTGGGCAATCCGATTAAATTACAGATCTGTATTTCGTTACGTTGCACTACATGAAGATCTGACCAATTGTAGTGGAAGGTCGCATCAGGGTTCATTAAAGCTTTTTTTGACCCTATGACATCAGACATTTGATTAACCAATCAGCGTTGATGTTTCTAGTGAGATACCCACAGTTCTGTGCATCGTACGCCAAGAACTCGCTGTAACAGACCGTTTCATTGGCTAATCCCTCACATCAACCAGAATGCAGGTTATATAACAACTCTTCCAGATCCTAGTGTAGTAAGACAAGTAAAACGAAATTTTGAACTATCAAAAACAAAACGAAATAGGATCTGTATTTTAATCAGATTGTGACTGAAATTTTGAAAATATCACACGACACACTGAAGCCCTTTTTTTCTGATTCACTGACGTCGCTGTACGTGTGTTGAATTTAGCAACCAACTAGTTGCTGTTGAGTTGCTTCCAGTTGCCAAAGTGTCAATGTATGCCAAACGTGTAGATCTACTACAACCGATCAGCTGTGTTTCTTCCAATTGCAGTGTCGATGTGCATTAAAATGCCTATTTGATTCAATAGACAATAGTGTTCATACATAAAGCCTACTTGATAACACGACCATAAATAAGAATCATGATATAAATAGTAAATCATAAATTAATGGTTATGGGTGTACAATGTACTGGTTCCATACTTCTTGTAAATAGTTTATGGTTTTTTACCACCAACATATTTTAAAGTCACTGAAATATAAATTCTTTAATAATGCATTAAAATCACATAATATCAATAACATAAATAACTGTTCACTTCCTTCCTATAAATTCAAATTAAAAGTTCTAAAAAATGATTATGGCGTTACAAGTGAAGTTAAAGATTGGTTTTCTAATGCTTGCTTGAAACTATGTTTTCAAATGTTTGCTTGAAACTATGTCTTCTAATGTTGGCTTGAAACTATGTTTTCTAAGGATTGATTTAAACAATGTTTTCTAATGTTGGTTTTTCTAATGTTGGCTTGAAAGTATGTTTTCTAATGCTTGCTTGAAACAATGTTTTCTAATGTTGGCTTGAAAGTATGTTTTCTAATGCTTGCTTGAAACAATGTTTTCTAATGTTGGTTTTTCTAATGTTAGCTTGAAGCTATGTTTTCTAATGCTTGCTTGAAAGTATGTTTTCTAATGTTGGCTTGAAAGTATGTTTTCTAATGCTGGCTTGAAACTATGTTTTTTTTAATGCTTGCTTGAAACAATGTTTTCTAATGTTGGCTTGAAACTATATTTTCTAATATTGGCTTGAAACTATGTCAAAAAGAGAGAGAGAAATTGGGTTTAACATCGACTCGACAGACTAGGTCATTTTGGGACTAACACATGGTTCAATTTTATTTCAATAATTTGCTTGCGCATAGGGGTCTTTAGCAGTGAATACCCATGAGGTTGGACAGGCGACCCTACTCCTTGTTATGTACAACCAGGGAATTGATTCTACGCTAGTTGACTCAATGACAGACCTTATGATATAGTGCGCATGGGCAAACCATTCGGCCATCCAACTCTCTCTTTGGTTAGAAGGTCACTTCAAAGACTCAAACCACTAAGTGCTGATAATTAGTAGCAATGACATAATGAGATTTCTTAATTACATTTGGAAGTGAACAAGTTAAACAAATTTAAAAAATAAAATTATTATTGAGTTTTAACTCACCACAGCAACTTATATAGTCATCGTCTAACCATAAACGTCCGCCATTCCACATCTCAAATTATTCAGCTGCCACTGATGAAATTTCCTTTTTAAAAATAGTAAGAAAATCTCCCCTGCTATACACTCTTACACATTCTTGTAGCAGTATGGACCATTTGCTTTATGCCAATTGTTTAATTTTGAGTCCAAAATTTTTCAAAATGTTCATATATGCTGTTTTTTTCTGTCTGAACTTGATATATAAGAGGTTTTTCATGGTCCATACATACTGTACACAGCACTGTAATATTGATGAGAAAAAAATGTGGACATACCTGTCCCACTGGCAGGTCCAATCATCTGGCATGGCACTTTTCTCGTAATCTTTTAACTGTTTTTCTAACTTTGATAATTTTCTGAGGAAAAAGTCCTTCTTTAGGCCACCATTTAAATAATCAGAATATCTGGTCTATAAATACAATGTTTTATTATAAAAAATTAAACATAGGTTGCCAGACACCAAAAGATAATGCGCATTAACGAGGAATTCAACTTTTAGAAATTTATTCTGACACCGCACCCAGTTATTTAAAAGAACTCTTTGATTTCTATACTCCCCGGCGATCCAACCTTCGTTCTTCAAGTGATCGTAGCATATTGAGGATCCCCAAATATAATAAGCGTTCTGGTGAATATGCTTTCTCCGTCAGAGCAGCTAAAATGTGGAATGATCTTCCAAAAACTCTTAGAGAGTCCTCTTCCATCCAGAGCTTTAAGACTAACTTAAAAACATACTTATTTCAAAAATGTTTTTGAACTGTTTTGTTGTGAATGCGCTTAGAAACACTCATGTGTAATGAAGCGCTATATAAATCGAACAATAATAATAATAATAATAATAAAGTCTTTCTTTAAGCCACCATTTAAAGGGGCATTAGGTAATATTAGACAAAGAGCTGACAGTGCTTGCTATAATAGTTAGAAAATAAATAATGAGAACAGAATATGCTGAAAATTTCAGTCAAATTGCTTCACTCTGAACTGAGATATTAGTGATTCAATTTTAGGCTAGCCTCGAACATCATTACTAACTTTGGTTTGATAATAAACCAAGTCTCGATAATCCATTTTTACGTTAAATTATCCATCACAAAATGTATTCAAATCCACTAATTATCACATAATGCATGTTTAAATAATCGGAATATCTTATCCATAACTAAAGTGTTTTAATATTAAAAAAAGTTGGAACAACAGAACTGGAAAGCATAGAAGCATGTTTTAAAACGGGCATAAAAGTTAGAATATGTTGTCATTATACATCGTTTTAAAACTAACAATCTGATTAAAATACAGATCTATATTTCGTTTCGTTTTTATACTTTTGATGGCCTACAGTACATGAAGATCTGACAAGTTATAGCGATAGGTCACGTCAGGGGTCAAAAGACCGACTTTTGACCCTATGACGTCAGACATTTGATTATACCAATCAGCATTGATGTTACTAGTGGATTACCCACAGTTCCGCGCAAAACACGCCTAAAGCTCACCGTAACAGACCGTTTCATTGGCTTATCCCTGACACCATTCAGAACACGAGCTAAATAACAACTCTTCCAGATCCTAGTGTAGTAAAGACAAGTAAAACGAAATTTTGAACTATAAAAACGGAACAAAATAGGATCTGTATTTTAACCAGATTGTAAAACTAGCAAAAAAAGTTAGAATATGTTGCAAATTAAATCAGTCTTAAGGCAAACCAATTACTTTTCCACATTTTTCTATGGCTACCTGATATCTAACAATAATCATACTGTGTCCATGTATGTCAATACAATAAATATCTATCAGTTACCTGTAATTCTATGGCTACCTGATATCTATCAGTTACCTGTAATTCTATGGCTACCTGATATCAAACAATAATCATACTGTGTCTATGACAAAAGAATAATATCTATTAGTTACCTGTAATTCTATGGCTACCTGATATCTAACAATAATCATACTGTGTCCATGTACATGTCAATACAATAAATATCTATCAGTTACCTGTAATTCTATGGCTACCTGATATCTATCAGTTACCTGTAATTCTATGGCTACCTGATATCTAACAATAATCATACTGTGTTCATGTACATGTCAATACAATAAATATCTATTAGTTACCTGTAATTCTATGGCTACCTGATATCTATCAGTTACCTGTAATTCTATGGCTACCTGATATCTATCAGTTACCTGTAATTCTATGGCTACCTGATATCTAACAATAATCATACTGTGTCCATGTACGTCAATACAATAAATATCTATTAGTTACCTGTAATTCTATGAGCATTATTTGAAGTCTTGTTAACCCTTTCTTTGACACACTTAAAAATTCTAATTTATTCTCTAATACTTCAGTTATATCATCTACATCCACCTGTCAAAAATAAATTACTGCTTTTAATTTGTAAATAAAATGAGGTTTTCTACTCTTCTGCTCCAACTGGGCTAATGAAGACAGGTATAAACCATACAGTGTTCTGAGGGAGAGTGATGCTACGGCCTACTCTTATATCGGATTCCAACTGCCAAGGGATCTCTTACGTGTACACCAATGTGTACACAGGGCCTTGGTTTTTCACTCCCATCAAAATGACTAGACAGATGTCCTTGTTAAGCCCTCAGTCCTGGACAACTGGAAAGGGAAAAACACACTGGAAAAATCCTGATGAACTTTCCCGGCCAACACCGGGAGAGAACCATATCATCTGTATCTAATAAAGTTGATTTATTGATATTATAATAACCTACCATATCATCTATATCTAATACAGTTGATTTATTACTTAACATTCCACCATTCACTTCACTCTCAGATTCATCTAAATATAAAATAGTTTAAACATCAAACAGATCCATCTAATTTTGACATTTAACATCAAACAAAGAAAATTGTTTTGATCAAGATACAAATAATAATATTACAACTTAAGATAGGTGGTTGAAATAATATAAACCCTTTTTGTTACTGGTTTATAGCTTCCTGTGGCTATTTCTATTATAGGGGGCGGGGTTGGGTGGCCGAATGATTAACACATGTATGTTGCATCATAAGGTCTGCTTGTAGGTGACAATGAGTAGGGTGGCCTAGAAATAGCCGCAGGAAGCTACTGACCAGTAATGGAAAGGGTTCATCATTATTCCAACCCTGCCAATTGGCTTACAGCAGATAGTGATTATTTTAAAACAAATGCTTGGTTATGTTGATTTCCAGCTGTTCATTCATTATGTCCATAGAACTTTTCGTGCTCAAAATAAATTCATGTTTTAAATTATCTTACCATGTTCATAACTCACTAAAGCTTTTCTAACAGCTTCTACTGACTGTTTACATAGTTTCTCTGCAACTGGTTCTGGTGTTATCCGCTCATTAACATTAGAAGATTTAGATTTTTTGGATACACTTGATGTTTGTATAGAAGAATCGGGTGATGAATGGCGCTTATGACTATGTTTATGAGTATGCTTTTGACTATGCTTCACATCCGAAGTTGTTGTACTTGATTCCTCAGCTTCTAATTTCTTCAATTCATCCTGGGAAATCAAATATTAAAAAAAATTATTAATACCATATATTCATAGAAGTTCTGACAAATATTTCACAGTGAACTGGATAAAATTTAGGCCTACAGCTATTTAAGGTCTAATGTATGGTTAAACAAACTAAACTAGGTCATTTCAGGATAGACAACATGGTTCAGTTTTATTTCAATAATTCACATGCATGTAGGGGTCTTTAGCAGTGGGAAGAAACGAGAGGAACTATTCCTCGTCCAGTGTAAGTAGGTAATCGAAACCAGGCCACTTGATTTAATGACGGACCTTTTGATCTAAGGTGTAGACGGTCGATCATACGGCCTCTCAGCCCTACTATCTGAAAAGAAGACAACCATACATCAAGATAAAATTGCTTATATATGACCCAATCCCACGAAGTCAGGCACTTGTCGCACAACTTCATTTTGTACTACGGGCACAAAAGCATAAACTGTATGCCTTCTTGTTGCTGTGAATGAGTTGAACTCCAGATGATACAACCAATTTAAAAAGAATTGTATTTTTGGAAAGCTTGGACTACGGACTATTCAAATATGCTGCCAGCTCTATTTTTAAAAAGATAATTTGCCAGGCAACGAAACATACGTCCACAGCGGCTAAATCGTCCGAGTGGTCGACAAGGGTTGTCGCATATTTATTCCTTTGTAGGTAATTGGGGGCCTTTACAAGACAGTTCCATACAGATCAGATTATAATTTTTGCCGTTTGAGGGTTCACAAGGTTCTACAAATTGAAACAAGGGTCTCAACTCTGGAAGTAATCTACAGAAATTGTTGAAATTTGACAGGCTTTTTCGTTTCACAAATTTAAATGATGCATATAAATTTCATACATATCAGATGATAACTTTCATCAATTGAGCATTAACAAGGTTGAACATAGTTAAACAAGGGCAATAACTCTAGAAGTAATAAACGGAAATTGCTGACATTGAATAGGATTCGTCTCTTTACTAATTTAAATGACGCATGTAAATTTCATACAGATCGGCAGATAACTTTTGATGTTGGAGCATTCACAAAGTTCAATAAAGTGAAACAAGGGACATAACTCTAGACGTAATAAACAGAAATTGCTGAAATTCAATAGGCTTCTTCGTTAAACTAATTTATAATGCATATAAATTTCACAAAGATCGGATGTTAACTTTTGGCATTAGAGCTTCACAAGGTTCAACAAAGTGAAACAAGGGCCATAACTTTAGACGTTATAAACGGAAATTATTGAAATTATATAGGCTTCTTCATCTCACTAATGTAAACAATATATATCAATTATAAAACAATTGGATGATAACAAAGTGAAACAAGGGCCATAACTTTAGACGTTATAAACGGAAATTATTGAAATTATATAGGCTTCTTCATCTCACTAATGTAAACAATATATATCAATTTTAAAACAATTGGATGATAACTTTTGGCGTTAGAGCGTTCACAAGAAATTGTGGACGATGGACGGACGGACGGACCGACGAACGGATGGACAGACGGACGGGGGCGACGGCAATATACGTCCACATTTCTATGTTGGCGTATAAAAATTGCATTTTTGGAAAGCATAGGCTGTGACTATTCAAATATTCTGAGAGCTCTATTGTCATAAGGGGGGTTAGCTGAATGGTTAGCATGTGTGCGCTGTATTATAGGGTCTATCATTGAGTCAATAGGCATGGTTTTGATTCCCCGGTTGTACATGACAAGGAAAAGGGTCGCATGTTCAACCTTGTGGGTTTTTTTACGGGTCCTCCGATGTCCACCAATGGCTAAAGACCCCTACGCACAAGTGAATTATTGAAATAAAATTGAACCCTATGTTAGTCCCAAACTGACGTAGTTTGTGTCGAGTGGACATAAAAATGACCAGGAGTCTGGTTTTGTCTTAAAACAAACATGTCACTAACCCAATCACTAATCAAAATCATCCATTTAACGTAGAAATATTATATAATTGATGAAATACTTCTAAAATGTCTAAATCATTAAGAATGTCCAAAAGTACATCAAGTCCATGATGAAATACTTCTAAATCATTAAGATTGTCCAAAAGTGCATCAATTCCAATAAATAACAAATAAAGAGAGAGAAATGGGGTTGAACGTCCACTCGACACAAACTAGGTCATTTATTTCAATAATTCACTTGTGCGTAGGGGTCTTTAGCAGTGGGAGGAAACCGGAGGGCCTGTAGGAAACCCATGAAGTAGGAAATATGAGACAGGCTAAATTAAATCCCAAAACATAATTCATATTCCAGTTAACGATTTTCAACATTAAAAAAAAAAAAATATGACAATGCATATAAATGTTTAAAACATGTCAATGAAAAGATATGTATATGTATAATATTAAAATTTATAATAAAAACCGGTATGTTTTTAAAATGAACTGAAATGAAATGAGTTTAAACATCCTACTATTTTGCCTGTTTTTAAAAGTCTAACGCTTCACAATATAGACCTGGTTAGGCCAATAAATTCTGTAATGACTGGCAACAGTAATATTTTGATCATTGAGATACTTGCACTCAATCAAAATGTGCTTCACTGCCAAAGGAACATGGCAGTGTTATAGTATTAAAACAATAAATGTTGATCTCTGTACCTTCTTCTTTTCTAAAGCTTTCTCAAGTGCATTATCAATATCATCCAGATCAAGGGTTGTTTCAGATTCTCCACTGGGTTTTTCACTTGCAGTTAAATCTTTAGAATGGGTTTCTATATTTTCTTCAGGAACTGGAATGTCTTCTAAAGGAGTTCCATTGACATTTTCAGGTGGGGGGACTTCAATTTCCATTTTTTCCAGTTCTTCTATTTCTGAATAGAACTGTTTCTCTGGATCAGTTAGCTGTTGCTGCTCTTTACCTTTATTCAGATCTGGGTTACTTCCATTGGCTTCAGCTAGTGGAGTGACATTAGCCTGGTGGACTGCATTTACTGTAGCAGTTTCCATTTCATTGTAGGATTGTGTAGGTGGCTTTGGCTGGATTTTAGGATTGATGGTCTTTGGACTAGTAATTAATCTTGAAAAATACAAAGATACACATTGATAGCAGAACAATACAAAGATACACATTGATAGCAGAACAACAGAATGATACACATCAATAGCAGAACAATAGAATGATACACATCAACAGAACAATACAAAGAGACATGTCAATAGCAGAACAATACAAAGATACACATCAATAGCAAAACAATAATAAGATATACATCAGTAGCAGAACAATGCAAAAATATGCATCAATAGCGAAATGAATGAAATGGGGTTTTACGTCCTATTGTTCTGCTTGCATCAATGACAGAACAATACAAAGATACACATCAACAGCATAACAATACAAAGAGACACGTTGATAGCAGAAAACATAACATTCAAACTGATTTGAAAAAACTGTAAAGTCAAATCAATGGCTATCTTTTCAAAATTTTACTCGTTGGTCAATTTTTTGACATATGAGCAAAGAAAGTCTAATTAAAAATAACAATTTTTTTCCAAAATATATTTTGAAGTGAGAATTTTGAATCTAGTAATAGAAATATCAGTCCAAAAATAGTTAAATTTTGTTCAGTATTTACAAAGAAATGATGAATTGAAAATTTTGCCACATTTGATATCCTCAGCAGATGATATAAACAGGTCAGCGATACCTGGGAAAAACCCAAGCCGGGAGATTATCTATCGTTAATATTTCAATTTTGTTTTTTTTAATTAATGTTAAATTTTCAATCTGATTAAAATTTAGATTGGATTTGGGCGTGAAAAATGCCAACGACAATGAGTGGCTTTAATAAATTCCTACCCCAGTTTCTTTTTCTTGAGATATTCTCTTCTCTCTTCTGGTATCTTATTGAGTTGTTCCTCATACAGCTTATACTGTAATAAATATTGTGTATAATCTGGTGGGATCGTCCAGGTCACTTCATTGGTTATAGTGTTCCAATAATACTGATACTGGGTATTCTCGTCTACACATATCTGCCATAGAGTGGTTGGCTCTACAGAGAAAATAAGTAAAATACAAATCAATTAGAATACTTGGACACTTCAAACCACTGAGAAATCAGGAATCAAATTCTCTCAATCCACAAAATAGCAACAATCTAGTTAAAAGTAGGATTTCAGGCCACAACTCATGTGTTGACTGCATAAGAAAATATCTCGACCAACCATTACAGCTGAAACATTTTTGGTGTGTTTAATTACGTCACGATTCTACTCTTTACAGAGAGAAAGAAATTGGGTTTACTATCCACTTAACACATACTAGTTCATTTCGGGACTAACATATGGTAACTTGCGTGTAGGTACTTGGGTCTATAGCAGTTTGAAAAAACAAGAGTACACATAGAAAACCCACAAGGTTAGTCATGCGAAAGTTGCTTTACGACTTACCATCTGGTAATTCATTTATTTCAGTCGAGGTAGCTTCCTCTGGATTTTCTTTCCTTTTATTCCATTCTGTGGCTCCTTTAACAAACATTGACTTGTAAAAATTAGATGATTTCTTCTTGTCAGATTTGGCTTGTACATGAGTAACTGGGGGTGTGGCACTTCTTTCTCTTGATGGACTATTAGAAGCAGATAAAGAATTCACTTCCTGAAAAACAAGCAGTAGCATATTGTGCACTAAGTCATTTTATTGTAAAAATCATATTATCAGGCTGTACCAATTTGATGTTCTCTTCTTCAAGGAACTCTTGTTAAAACTTTGCTTCTTATTTTTTCGGGAAAAAGATTAATTTATAAACCAACAATACTTGGTTTTACCATTCAAAAGCTTTTAGTTCCATACATTTAAGTTTTGAAATTTTAACAAAACATTGTACAAAAGAAATGAAATGAAATGAAATGGGGTTTAACATCCTACTGTTCTGCTCCTAAACTGGGCTAATGTAGACGGGCATACGCCATACAGTGTGCTATGAGGGAAATTTTGCCTGGGCAGCGGCACTATCGCCTACTCTTATATCGAATTCCAACTGCCAGGGGATCTTTTACGTGCATTCCAATATATACACGGGACCTTGGTTTTTCATCCCATCCGAACGACTAGACAGTTGTCCTTGTCAGGCCCTCCGTCCTGCATCACTGACAAGGGGGAACCATGTCGGAAAATCTGGATGAACTTTCTCGGCCAATGCAGGGATCGAACACCCAACCTCCAGGCTAGCGAGCCAGCGTCTTACCCACTTAGCAACGTGATCCCTCCTTGTACAAAAGAATTGAGTGGGTTATTTATTGAACATGACCCTGAAGAACTAAACATTATATTGGTTTAGTCAAATCAACTTTTTCAAAAAATGATGAACTGAAGAGTCTCGATTATCATTGCTACAGTTGTTACGATAGTAAACAAAGTCGTGATTATCCATTTTTTAATTAAATCATTAACCACCAATCATGTTTAAATCTGTTGAAAATCGTGACCATCTGATGATTATGGTTTTGGCAAGTAAATAATGTTTAATAATTAATTCATATAACATTTAAGAAATAAAGAAAGACCTTCTTCTGTAGTTTAACAATGAATCGATGAATCAATGAATACTTACATTCAAGAAATTAGAGACTTCACCATCTACACTGGTTCCACTAGTAGTAACATCTAATGATGTTGTAGAACTTGTGGCGCCTAGTGATGCAGTAGAACTTGTTGCCCCTACTGATGTAGATATTGTAGCAGATAGTGGTGTAGTAGAACTTGTTGGGCCTACTGTATTATCAACACCTGTAACAAATACAGTCAAGATAAAACAAACTTTAATAAAATGGATGAATCTATTTCCATGCCTGGAAATAAGGCAGCTGTCACAAACAATGTCAGGCACAGATTCAGAATTTGTCAGACTCAAAACCTCTGGTGCCTGCCATTTTGTCCGGGACTGATTTGTCTTTTTTATTGATATTATTAACACATGTCGGGCACTAAGTTGAAAATGTCAGGTACTATTTCATTAGTGCCTGACATTTGTCAGGTACATGCAAAACTCTTATTTCCAGGCCTGTCCATTTCTTTTATTCTCCAATTGATCCTCACAAAAGCATTGCTATCACGCTAACATATTCAATAATTAACCTTTTGTTATTAGAGCATTCACTTCACATATGATAGCTCTACAAAATAAAACAAAGACAATAACTCTAGAAGTAATTAACGTAAATTGTTGAAATTCAATCGGCTTCTGTGTGTGACTAATTTAAATACTGCATTTAAATTTCATACAGATCGGTTGATAACTTTTGTTCACAAGATTCTCCAAAATGAAACAAGCCATCATTCACAAGGTTCTGCAAAGTGAAAAAAGGGCCATTACTCAAGAAGTAATTAATGGAAATTGTTGAAATTCGATAGGTTTCTTTGCTTCTCTAATTTGAATAATACTTAAAAATTGAATACAGAGCTGATGATAACTTGTCATTGGAGCATTCACAAGGTTCTACAAAGGGAAACAATGGCCATAACTCTAGAAGTAATTAACAAAACTTGATGAAATTTACTAGGCTTATACATTTCACAAATGTAAACTACATATATAAATTTCAAATAGATCAGACAATAAATGTAGTCTGTAGAGTGTTCACTAAAAGTTGTGGACGAGGTGACAACAATACACAACTACATTTCCATGCAGGCGATTAAAAACAAATTAATTTCCTCACCATTATTTCCATTAACATTAGAGTCTTCCTCTTCAGAGTTATTGGAATCAGAATCAGAATATTCTCCAAGGGCAGACAACCCAGCTATAGAAATAAAAATAAACTGGTAAAACATTTTTAAATTCATCAATATAGTTGGTGAGTTAATCATCTAATTTTAAATCTTGGTTAGCTAACACTTGATTTGATATTTAGCCTCGTGAAAATATGCTTTATTTTCAACAAAAGAGAGGGGAATGGGGTTTAACGTCCACTCGACACAAACTAGGTAATTTCTGGACTAATATTTGGTTCAATTTTATTTCAATAATTCGCTTGCGCGTAGGGGTCTTTAGCAGTGGGAGGAAACTGGAGGATCCGGGGAAAACCCATGAGTTTGGACAGGCGACCCTACTCCTTGCCACGAACAACCGGGGAATAGAAACCACGCCAGTTGACTCAATGGCAGACCTTATGATACAACTTGCAATTGCTAACCATTCGGCCATCCAACCCCCCTTTCAACAACAGAAAAACTGAAACTGTATTTTTACTTTTACATTTTAAAGCATCTGTAAAAATAGGAAATTGTTAAAAGCTTTCATCATGTATACTAACCAGGTTTAGATCTTTTTGGACTGTTAACACTCATTTTATTATCTTTACGGGCTGAAATTGATGAATCAAATGTTTCATTAAACTGTTGACATAACAAAAACAAAATACAGCATTATTTGAGTTCTATCTTTACAGGAACATATCAACAAAAACATTATGTTTAAAATCGCCCTTTTCAGCATATGCCATAAGGGAAATATAACATGGAAAGCAGTGCTACAGTCAACTGTAGTCAGCATTGCTAAATTTTGCAATTGAAATGCAGCACATTTGATAAAAACAAGCAGTTGCCATGCAAGATACGCCCACATTTTGCAAGAGATGGACAGAGAATAATCAGGGGCCATAATACAGGAAGTTATGAAAGGAATATCGAAAGGAAACAAGATCTTTGGTTTATAAACATGCATTTCAAGTTTCATCAAAATCAGATGAAAACTGTGACCTCTGGAGTGTCCACAAGCTAAAAACGTGATTTTTCGTTCAATCAGGGGCCATAATCCATGAACTTATGGTTTGATAAGTGCCAATATCAAAAGGAACCAAGATCTTTGGGAGATAGACCTATATTTCAAGTTTCGTCAAAATCGGATAGAAATTGTGACCTGTAGAGTGTTCACAAACAAATTGTGGACAGATGAACAGGGGCGAAGGAATAATATGCTCACGTGAAAATGTGGGCATATAAAGAGACACAATATCAGTCTTCTGGCTGCCAATTCCTTCTACTTCTACTACATTGTGGGGGGGGGGGGTGACCAAATGGTCTAACACATGCGCTTTAAATCTGATTATAAGGTGTGTCAATCAATCAAGTGGGGTGGTTTCGATTCCCCGCATATACGTGACAAGAAATAGGGTTGCCTATGCAATACCCGCTCCTTGTAAGTGACAAAGAGTAGGGTCACCTGTCCAACCTCGTGGCTTTTCTTTGAGTTCTCTGGTTTCCTCCCACTGCTAAAGGCCCCTACGTGCAAGCAAATTTTTGAAATAAAATGACCTAGTATGTGTCGAGTGAGTGAACGTTTAACCCATCTTTATATCTTTTACAATATAATATTTACCTAAAGATTTTGTTTCATTATTATCATCAAGCTGTAACATTTGTCGTCGTCCTCCTCTCGTAGTATTCATTATAAAGTAATTATGTTTCAGCTCATTGTCTTCTCATCACAGCACCTGTAACATAGGCAACAAAAATATTTATTAGAATGACTTAGTCAGTCATTCCCAACCAGAGTGCCGCAAGATCTTCCTACGTGTGCCGCAAAATTTTGAACGGCAAACTAAGAAAATGCAAAAAAACATGTGATCTCAATTGAGTATTTACTGGTAAGTTAATAGCTGTGTTTTTCTTTATTTAGTTTGTCATTCTATGTGTGTGTCTATGACTAGTCTGTGTCTACGGTTGTATGCCGTCTATGACTTGCCATGTTTTTATTTTGCAATATTCAAATATTTTTCATATATATATTTAGCCAGGTGTGCCACTATTTTTTCATGTGTTCCAAGATGTGCTAGCGAGGTAGCATCTAGTGTGGTAGCGTCTTCCTCACTGGTGAGCAAGCCATTAATAAAAGCATTCAGTTGCTTGTTACTGTAGACAGTTATTTATGTTATACCCTTTATGACTGCACATAAGTAATCTGAATCTGAATAAATACTCAAATGACCAAAATATGTTAAAATCTTGAAAACAGAATTCCTTTTGTTTAAAAATCTGGCATAGGAATTGTTATTCCTTGCATAAATGTTTCTTACACAGCGATTGGCTGTAAATAGTAATCGCCCTGCGTAAATTTTCTGACTACCCCAAGGCCATAATATCAGACTTGTGGTTAACAGGTCAAAGAACTACATTTTCAAATTTTGGTTGTCTGTCTCTTGATATGCAAGCCTGGACAGAAGGCAATAAATTGATCAGCCCGGACCAGTTTATGTAACTACGTCTTATCTAAACAATGCATACATAGGGTGACCCACCATAAATAAATATCTCCATATATCTCGACAATTACGCCACAATATTTATATATATGCCAAGCCTCAAATCAGTTTCACACAATTATAGTCACTAAATAAACGATCATGTTGTACCTAATAAGCTATGACCATTAATCATGTATAAATAATAGACTGAAAACTGGTTCCAAGAGTCGTCCATAACATCCACACACTTTTGAGTAAAAGATAGGTTACGTGCCCTTGTTTTGAAATTAGTCTCGCTTAACCAGTCTATCGACCATTCTACGTCTAATTGACAGGGCGGGATAATCAAGACTACTTTTTTACGAAACGTAACAGAAAGCTAGAACAAGAAATTGAATTTAGAAATAAGCACGTTAGGTAGCTCAACAATCGTTTTATGAAGCTTGTAAAAGTAAAATGAAACTACTGCTAGTATCATGTTCCTGCCTAACCCGAGTGATTCAGAGATATTATTTGTACTAAACCAAAAGATGCCGCTCTTAACGGTACAGTTAATGATAAAGCGATTTAAAAAATGAAACGAACGTAATTTCTAAATCTGCGGTAATAACCAAGAAGCTTAATTTAACTGCTATTCAAAATCGTCAACAATAAATTTTTTACGGCTGTAATAGTTGATAGATTTGTAGAGAATTGCACGTGCCATGGCTATTTATAGTATCATACTGTCAGAAAGTTGGTCTCGGCACGGCAATTGTGCACGCTTCAGTGGTAGTCTCGAACTATCAGCGGTGGACTGTATTTCTGTGAGTACATGGGTCACCCTAGCATGCACCATCGAGTCAATTTTCGACGCCGTGTGATGTGACGTAACATGTAGAAGGCATACTTGAACTTATAAAGGTCAGTTAGTTATAAGAAGGCTTTCGCAATACTTCTGTAAAACAAATTTAGAAGACACTTGTCAGTACAGACTTTTATATAGGCTACTTGTCTGACCAAGTCTGTGACAGTTGCTTTATGTACATGCCCAGGTTTGTATATATTCATTGTGTGATAATTTGTACTTGACAAAGTCTGTGACATGGTGTCTTATGTCCAGGTTTGTTGATGATACTCACTTCCGAGTTTGTTGATACCGTACCGTACCGTGTAAAATGTGCCTGTTAGGCTAGTGTTATTCTAAATACCAATCTAACTCAACAAACAAGGAAATGGTTGAGAATAATATTATATAATGTACAGCACCAAGTTTTACACAAAAAACTAACAGCATGTATTTGGATTCCCTTTTAAATGCTGTCAAAAAAACCTGATTATATTTTTTTATACAGTTATGTAGGCCTACCATACACTGCCAGCAGACATTGAATTAAAAAAGGTTTTTAATGAAATATTTAGCCCATTCATATAAATATTATGAGACATTTTTTAAAGCCGATTTTGGATTGCACACGTGAAATTGTTGAACAAAAACTGAATAAGACTGTCGTTCATTCCCTTTCCAGAATTCCGGTCTTCAGCAGCCAAGTCAGGAAGGGACGTTAGCCTAACCTAACTTCGTAAGTCTAACCATTACCATTACTCCGGCCCCGGGCATTCGATTTCATTTTTCCAAAAGTTGTTTATTATTGTAATGCAAATAAACAGAGTGAAATCTAATGCTAAATACGAGTCTTTGTGTTTCAGACTAGGTGTGTGGTAGGTACCGGAAACTCGCTACGATATGACGGAAGAAAACATGACACAACTAAAGAATAAGAAGAGAAACAATCATTACTCAGATTTAAGTCAGCCATTTTCCCTTTATAATATTTCACACGGCGAAGTCGTGTATATTTTTTCAGTTCGGGACCCTTCGGTCTAATTTTTCAATTCGGGACCCTTCGGTATTTGTCCAAACTGATCCGCAGTAAACATTCCCATGGCCACCTTTAAAGCGTTTGACCTCAGTTTTCCGTCCTATCCGAACGGCTATACGTTGTCAATAATCTTTCCCTCCATTCTGCAGAAACACGCTGGAATATCCCGATGAACTGATACAATCTGACATTGATCGTGATAGTTCAGGTATTTTAATTCCAAAAGGTGAATATTGGTTGTGGGTAGTCAAAATCGTGTTAATTGCTTTTAGTATTCTATTTTACTAAACGGACCTATCTGCAGCGAACGTATATTTTGGCAGTTTCTACTTTTTGCGTTCTTGTTTGTTCTAACTTCACATTCTGTCTGTATAAGATGACTGACCTATATAAGTTCAAATACATAAATCTACACGTGACATCACATCACGCGGCGACAATCATTGGCTCGAGCGCGCGTGCATTGTTTACATAACATCAACTGGTCCGGGCAGAATGATGCCTTTTTCTCATTTTATATACCCAAATACACTAAATAGGAAATAGCTTTTATCGAACACCTTTATTTCTTTTTTTTTTAAAATTAAAAATAAAAAAATAAAAAAAATAATTATAAAATTTAATTTGCAGAAAAGTTAATATTGAGTAGCTAATTAAGCGACGTCATCCCTCTCAATGTTTTCACAAATAAACTAATATTAGTATTATATTTTCACCAGAATTACTATTATTTCAATGTTGCTTTGAAATGAGTATATTATGCCGTGTGTATTTCAATCCACTGCTGTCGTGCAAAATAAAACGGGTGTGTGATTGGTTGGAATAGACTATTTTGACGAATCGCAGACTGAAACAGATATTGAAACAGTAATTTTCAGCAACAAAATATTGATGCGCATGGCTTTCAAATGAATGGGATAGTTGCTTGCTAAAAAGTCAAAATAGAAAATGGCCAATATTATTGCGAAGGCATTAATAATTGTAGACAATAAAGCATACATAATTAATACACGAGGCGCAATTATTTAAACAGCCCTTCACGAAAAAGACAGTTAAGGGGAGACAACTACATTTAAGCGCGTCACTCGACTATAATTACTAACAACAAATCTCTTTCTTTGAGTTATTCTAAAATAATTATAGCCTAACCTGCTTGCCACATTTTAGGTTTTGAGTATGATTTGCAGTTGGTAAATCATACCAATGGCTTAATTTAAATCTTAAAAAAGCCATTTATGCTTTCACAAAAACATCATTTTATATTAGACACCCCCCCCCCCCAAAAAAAAAAAAAACAAACAATATTGTACTTTGTAAAAGTTGTATAAAAAAATATTGCGTTCTTGAATGTGTCCAATTTAACAGTGAATTTATTATTATTATGTAACATACTAAGAACCTAACTACATTTTTTGGACACCAACCACCAACGCCCCCCCCCCCCCCAGTCAAAAATTTTTCCGTACGCCTATAATCAGAGATGTATTATCTCAAATTTATATGTCTAGTATGCTATTGTGAACATTGCGATAATTTTCATTCTGTCTTAAATAGATAGATGTTTAGTTGATTAACTTTATTTTCAGCTTATATTCACTTTATATTATCTGTTATCGAAACATTCCAAAGTAATATTACTTTTCAGATTTGAAATATAATATATATATGATACTTCACTATTATACTAATAAAACATGAAAATGTAACATTGATTTGTACATGTAGATATTTCCATAATAATTTTATAAAAAATACAACAATTAAGAGTAGGCTGTATCGCAGCTTCCCGGTCAAAATTTACCTCATTTCAGGCGACATGGCGAATGCCCGTCGTTATTAGCCCGACTTTGCGTTAAACCTCGTTTTAATTCATATAAATCTCGTGTATTATAAAGCAGAGATTATATGTATTTTCGCTATAAGTGACACATTTACTGGGGTTTACTGGACGTTAATACAGTTACATGTATAACTGTTAAACCATGATAAGGTCCATGGTTAAACTAGGGTTGGGGGAATCCGGGTCGACTTTAAATGCCCGATATTTTCTAATGGGGCTTGGTCCGAGAAAAACGATTTTGGACGAATATTTGACCAAAAATGTATTTTTAGGTTGGTGCGGGCCGTTTTTTTTCAAAATGGCGGCCAAAATGGGCAGAAAATCGCCTTTTTTTAGTCAAATGCGTCATAAATGCTTCTAATACCCTTTGTAATATGTCATTTCTATGGTTTTCAGGGTGGCCGATTGTGTTTCTGACCTTGAAAATCAATTTTAATTTTCCAAGATGGCGGAAATCCAAAATGGCTGTTTAAATTACCCAAAAATCGAGTTTTTCTCAATATATCTTCAGGAATACATTTAAGGCATTTTGTAATAAGTCATTTCTATGGTTTTTGGGGTCGCCGATTCCATTTCTGACCTCGAAAATCAATTTTGATATTCCAAAATGGCGGAAATCCAAGATGGCGGCTAAAATTACCTAAAAATCGAGTTTTTCTCAAGATTTCTTCGGGAAACATTTAGGGCACCTTGTAATATGTCATTTCTATGGTTTTTGGGGTATCTGAATTTCTGATCAGAAAAATCAATTCCGAAATTCCAAGATGGCGGAAATCCAAGATGGCGGTCAAAATTATATTTAAATCGATTTCTTTTCTTTTATTTCCCCAGGAATACATTCTGTATCCCTCTCTAATTATCCACAAACTATATATCTCGAAAAGTCTCTGGATTTCCGATCTGGAAACTCTATTCATTACATTTTTCTTAACCGGCCGCAATTATTATATAACCGGTAACTGCAGGAAAAAATCCACTAATGATTCGGTGCAGTCGATGTATTCCAATGTGTGGTTTCTATGTAAATTCACCGTGTTTTTTTGGGCCATAACTTTAAACACTGTGTATTACGGTGTGGTTTATATGTGTATTCATCGTGTTATATTGGGCGATAACCATAAACACAGTGTATTTCAAGGTGTGGTTTATATGTAGATTCACCGTGTTTGATTGGGCGATAACTTGTATTACAAGGTGTGTTTGAGATGCATATTCACCGTATTTTATTGGGCTATATATATAATAATATATCTAAATAGATGGGTGGAATTAATATAAAAAAATAAGTATTTTTTGTCCTCACATGTTGGTTTTTTTTTTACGGCAACAAATCTACCACAGATTAATGGAAATAAATAAATAAAATTCCAGAAAACATGAGATCTAGTGAGACAGCCTAAAATAGTTATACTTGAAAGAATTGTCTCCCCTTCCATGTATCAAAATGTCAGTCGGATAGATATTTCGTTTGTAGCAATGTACTACCAACGTTATTGATTTATTTTTTTCTCGATTGACAAGTTGTATTTTTACTGTTATAGTGCATGTAATAAAAGACTGGTAGATCAAGCCAAAAGATGCAGAATATGATGATTATGGACCAATAATATTGGCGAAACACAATAGTTATCTTGATCGAATAGAAATGGATGCTTCGCTTTAACAACATAACGATATTTTCATGGCATAAAGTAGGGTGCTTTAGATTTTTAAAGGCGCAAATATGATGAAGGAAGGCGATGCAAGATTGTTACAAGAAACAAACGAAGAAGATTTGTGCATATTCTTGGAAAAAATAATTTCCGAGGTGAGTTTTCAGTTGCGCATGATAGAAACGGTCCATCTATGACGCTAATAACGTGCAGATCTGTTCTTATTTACCGTTATTTTTTTTCGAGAACCACATTTCATCGGAGATTCCTAGGTTTCTGTTCCACCTAATTGCATTTTCTAATGGACCAGTGGTTATATAAAACTGCGTAAAAAGCAGCTATTGCTATTCTGCTGTTATTTGTAGCACCTGTATTTGGCGGTGTCAATGTGACAAGTCGGATATCTTGACAACGACTATTGGAGTATTGCAATTTACGTCATATAGAAGGTCGTCAATATGTCGCCGTAACCATGCAATGTAAAACAATAATACTCATGCTTTCATTTTCATTATCTGATTACAGATCGAATATGATGGCATTCAGTAAATATCAAGGCCATTCGTATTATTAATTAAGATGGATGGGTTATTTGTATAAATATGACATAATAACAAACATGTCATGTCTATCCACAATATGCATTCTTTCTTATAGAGAATAACATTTTAAGAACTGTTTAAACCTATAATTTTCCTTATGACTTATAAAATATAGAATATATATCATGTATATGATCAGTAATTTAAAATAGATGCATTATGAACAATGAACATATTACTAATATTTTAATAGTATATTGATATAATACATGTAATATAAAACGTACATAAACATATTAATATTATTTTAATAGTACAGTCAATGTACTACAGTGTAATCATATAAAGCATAGACATATTATTGATGTTATTTTAATAGTACAGTATACATGTAATAGTTTAAAACATTGATTCTATTTAAAAAAAAAAAAACCCAAAAAAACCAAGCCAGACATGTACATGTAAAATGTTGATAACAATGTTTTAAGCTGTAACACATGCTTGTGTAAGAACAGTTTTTAATTTGATTTAAGCAATGTTACTCTATCTATGATTATTGTCCTTACAATGGGTTTTTTTTTTTAACTGGGGGGTGGATAGTCGAATGGTTAGCATGTGCACGCTGTATCATACAGTCTGTCATTGAGTCATCAAGGAGTAGGGTCACCTGTTTAACCTTGTGGGTTTTCTTTGGGTCCTCCAGTTTCCTCCCACTGCTAAAGACCCCTATGCGCAAGCGAATTATTGTAATAAAATTAAACCATATGTTAGTCCCGAAATGACCTAGTTTGTGTCGAGTGGACGTTAAACCCCATTTCTCTCTCTCACTCTTTTTTTCACTAAAAGCATTGAATAAAGAAAACAGATGATCTGGATATAAAACTACACTATCAGTAATTGATATTATACAAATATCAAACAGTAATTGATATTATACAAATATCAAACAGTAATTTCAATATACAATTGCCCAGTTCTATAACACATCCCGGGTTGTATGTGACAAGGAATAGGGTCGCCTGTCCAACCTAGTGGGTTTTCTACGGGTCCTTCGGTTTCCTCTGACTGTTAAAGATACCTATGTGCAAGTGAATTATTGAAATAAAATTGAACCATGTCTTAGTCCTGAAATGAAATAATTTGTGTAGGGTGGACATTAACCCATCTCTCTTCCCCCCCCCTCTCTCTCTCTCTCTCTCTCTCTCTCTAGCCATATAATTAATATTTCCCAAGTATGGTATAATTGACTATGTATTTTACTGCACACTGGATTTGCCGATATTCAAGGACAGTTTGTTACTTCTTAAAGTAACATTGCATCTTTATATTTTTTGCTAAAATCTAACAACTTAATCCACGCTAATATGTACTCAGATTGATTATTTAACAAAATTAAGCTACAAACACTAGATATCTACCAGCTTGGATGCAATCAGATTTAAGCTATGCCCATTAGGTTTCTTGGCTACCAATAAATGATACCAGCATCTTGTTACCCTCAAGCAGCTATTCCACTTACTCAGACTCCTCCCAATCGCCCACTCTTATGACTAAAGGAAGATAAAAGTTTTTTTTTTTAAACACTATTGAGCAGCAGGGGGTTTGGGATGGCCTAGTGGTCTAGAGTGTCGCGCTTCAACCTCTAGCTGGTTGGTCACCTCTGGCTTGCGGTTGTGGTTTTCATCCCCGGTGTGAGTGTATGTGGCTTGGAGATTGGGGCGCCCTCTCAACCTCATGGGTTTACTCGGGGTACTCCGGTTTCCTCCCATAGGAAAGACGCATGCGCTAAGATAATGAAAACGACAAAAAAAAAATAACTTGTCTGCAATATCACCTTTGGTGGAAGCGAACGTTAAACACTAGGAACAACTACAACAACTGAGCAAAGTTGGGGATAATGACGCATGTTTAAGGCTACATGTACAGTGCTTGAAAGAAGACTTATGATAACATGTACTGTCAAAAATACTACCCACCTTGGCCAGATAGGTAAATCCGGCACTGAGCTTTTCCAAATTTAGATTAATCCTAAACTTGATGTTTTTAGTAGTTTACTGCGTTAACTGTTTTAAAAAAGAAGCCAGTTGACTGTTAAAGTGTCATAGGTCAAGGACATTGTTTTATTTAATTAACATATTGGATATTGTCTATAAATAAAATATAAGAATGCTATTAAAATATAATGTCAGCCTCCTGAAATATAGATAATCTGATAATTGAATAACGATGAAACATAATAAGAGATAATATGGAAGCCAGTAATATTTAATGAGTTCTCGCTGCAAGCTACAAATGTCAGCAGATAATGAGCAAAAACTAATCCATGTTCATGTAGTTGGTGTATGTATATATGTATTGGAATAAAAATTATGATAATTGGAAATTGGACAATCAGTATTCAGTATTTGAAAAAGGTGGTAATTTAATTTGTTGATCAATTTATCAAAATGTTATAGAAACAAATAGTTAATTAACACATGTGGGAGGTTGGATGGCTGAATGGTTTGCATGTGTGCGCTGTATCATAAGGTCTATTGTTAAATCAACTGACGTGGTTTCGATTCGCCGGTTGTACTTGTACGTGACAAGGAGGGGTGCCTGTCCATTGTCCAACTTCGTGGGTTATCTCCTGGTCTTCCGGGTTTCCTCCCACTGCTAAAGACGCCTATGCGCAGGTGAATTATTGAAATAGAATTCAAACATATATTAGTCTTGAAATGACCTAGTTTGGTTCGAGTGGACATTAAACCCCATTTGTCTCTCTCTTTATAACACACGTAATCTACATGTATGAACATGGTGATTGGGTTGAAGGGACAATGTGATGCAACTCTGTTTCCCAGTGGTAATGTGAAAGCCTTCTTTTAACTCTGTACAAGATGATTGACCTTTAAGGTCATGGCAGTATTGGTCGAAGTTTGAAGTCAAATCATACGGCTTCGATAGCTCGTGCGTTGTTTACATCAGACGTAGTAACACAAACTGGTCCTGGCAGAATTGGTGCCTTTTACTCATTTTACTATTTTATATAGGCTACATGTATATAAGAAGGGGGGGTTGGATGGCCGAATGAGTCTATCATTAAGTCAACTGGCGGGGTTTCGATTCCCCGTTTGTACGTGACAAGGGGTAGGGTCGCCTGTCCAACCTTGTGGGTTTTCTCCGGGTCCTCTGGTTTCCTTTCACTGCTAAAGACCCCTACGCGCAAGCGAATTATGGAAATAAAGTTGAACTATATGTTAGTCCCGAAATGACCTAGTTTGTGTCGAGTGGACGTTAAACCCGATTTTTCTCTCCCTCTCTCTGTATATAAGAAATTGACTGTCACTACTTAGAAGAGAAAACGAAAAAAAATAGAAAAAGTCTGTGCATTACCATGTTTTTATGTACAGCCTATTTCTATTTCTCTCGTGTTCTCTTACCTAGTGACATTCAATTACTTTTTTGAAATGTCAGATATCCTCTCATAGTCTCACATAACAACTTTTGGTCTTCGAAGAAATTATGAGTGAGCAGAAATTTGCCCGTGTATCTGTTATCACTCGTCACTTCAGTCACCTACATAGATTGATAACTCTTGTTTTCCTTTTGCGTTCGTCACTTCCGTTTGTTGAACCCTTCATTACTCATCTATCGTAGCAATGATGTTAAAATAATAATTGGAACATGTTTAACCAGTTCTATAACATACATGTATGTGATAATGACTGACACCAATATTGTCCTTGTAGGAAATATTTTGTTATCCAGATATACGTCCAACACCATTATTATTTTTCTTAATAATTTAGAAAAATGTTTTAGAAATTAATTTGCAGAATAAAAAGAGTTATTATTGATAGCTAATTAACTCACGACGATGTCATCCGTCTCAGTGATAGTAGTGGCCAGGCGAATATTTACTGCTGATCAGTTTGGGGTTTTGCAACTGTCTATTACCTCCCTTGTGTTAGGTTGTTCTACAGTAGTGGGAGGGTTGGATGACTGAATGGTTAGCGTGTGCGCTGGCGCTGTATCATACGGTCTGTTATTAAGTCCACTGGCGGGGTTTCGATTCCCCTGTTGTACGTGACAAGGAATAGGGTCGCCTGTCCAACCTCGTGGGTTTTCCCCATGTCCTTTTGTTTCCTTCCACTGCTAAAGACTCCTACGAGCAAGCCAATTATTGAAATAAAATTGAACCGTGTGTTAGTCCCGAAATGACCTAGTTTGTGTGGAGTTGACACTATTTTCCAAACGTCCTAAATTGTCCGACCAGGAACATGCCTAATCAGACTTCAAGACATGGTGAATAATATTCAAATTTCCAAAATTGATATAGTGTACTGAGTGCATATCTACCACTCAACCGAATTATCATTGATAATAGGATGAATTGATTCAGTAATTAAGTGATCTACATATTTACCTTGTGATACCGTCTTTACACCTACATGTACATACTAAACTTACGCTGTCTGTCTACAATTAGCTTCGCTTAATAACAAGCACTAAGCTAGTTGTCCTAAATCGACGATTTTACTTAGTTTAGTTCAAGAATTTTGAGAAGTATATATTCTTTAATAAAATTGAAAAGGTATAATAAATCGTTCTGTGTATAACCGGTGTAGGGCCGCATTACAAAACAATATACTAATTGTTGGATATGGCAGCCATTTAGGGTAGAGATCTATTCTCAAAGTAGAGTAGAGTAGACAGTTAGCGCAGGACTAAACAGTTAATACCCAGGCGTGTATGTCCTGTACTTGAAAATTGCAAAGCCATATTTTCAGATTCCTTGAGAACGAGTATGGACTTGAATGAACGGTTCTGTGTACATGTAATATGATATATGCACATTGGTATTAGTCATAGTATAACATGATAGTTCATTAGTCAAATGTAATTGGTTGACAAATGATAATCAAACCAATCAGATTAATTATATATTCGATCACATGGTTAATTAACCCAATACACAAATTGTATTGGTTGACGTGGTGGTTTAAGGGTGAAACTGGATGTTTAATTTTTTTGGGTTTCTTTAGTAGGGGAATGGGGGAGATTCTAGTGGTCTAGAGTGTCGCACTTCGAGATCTAGTTAGCCGATCTCCCCTGGTTTTTGGTCGTGATTTTGATCCCGTGTGTAAGCAGATGTGGCTTGGAGATAGAGATACTTCTCAACCTCGTGGACTTACTATGGGTACTCTGAAAGATCCCTACTCATGCACTGAATATAATAAAATAAGACAACTTATCTGTGATAACACCCTCAGTGGAAGTGGATGTTATACCCTAAGAACAACAACATTGAATTTACTATATCTTCGGTTAGTCTTAACCCTATGTGGGTGCTCAGTGTCTTACAGTTCACATCAATTTTTATCCCAACCATTAAAACATAATGGAGTGAATGCAGATGATAAGTGAGATGCGATTTTGAACTAAATACATGTATACTCATTTGTGGCAAATTTAAAATGAAACTACATGTAGAATGGATATGAATTTTATATCAAAGTTATTGTTTTTTTTCATTAAAATTGTCTAATGCATGCATATGTTGTTTTTTTTCTTCAGAATGCACAAGTATTTACATTTCTGGATCTAACCACCGAAGTTAAAAAGGTACGTTAATGGTAGTTTTTGTTATTATAGCCTATGTTACCCAGACTATATTTATAATCTGGGCTAGTATTCAAGAAAGCTAACACAACATATATATAGAAATTTGTGCCACCTTAAATGTTCAGCTCAACTCTCTATTGTCCATGGGGCTGAGGGGGGTTGGATGGCCGAATGTTCAGCGTGTGCGTGTTATATCATAAGGTCTGTTATTGAGTCAACTGGTGTGGTTTTAATTCCTCAGTTGTATGTGACAAGGAGTAGGGTCGCCTGTCCAACCTCATGGGTTTTTTCTGGGTTCTGCGGTTTCCTCCCACTGCTAAAGATCCCAATGCTCAAGCGAATTATTGAAATAAAATTGAACCATATGTTAGTCCTGAAATGAAGTAGTTTGAGTCAAGTGGATGTTAAACCCCATATCTCTCTCTCTCTCTCTCTCCCTCTCCATGGCACTGAAATGAAATTTATATTTCTGTTAGGTACCAATGCAAATCGTTCCTACCGTCTTACATTACCGTTATTACTAGATCACCATGATAGCACCTTGAATAACATACATTGTATACAGTGAGTTAATGTCTTACGAAATGTTTCAAAGGTTAATATGACCCGTTTGCTATTTTATGTCTGGCAGAAAATTTATTTTTGCTCTTCTGTAATGAAATCAATGAAAGATTAGATATGTAATGAATCTAAATTGTAGATTTAACTATATATTAAGTCCATCTGGTTAAAACACAGATCCTATTTTGTTTCGTTTTTATAGTTCAAAATTTCGTTTTACTTGTCTTTACTACACTAGGATCTGGAACTCCCACTATAACTTGTCAGATCTTCATATAGGTTAGGCCATCGAAAGTATAAAAAAACAAAATGAAATATACATGTATATCTGTCTTTTAATCGGGTTGATATTAAGTAACACGTTCTAGCATATGTTTTATTTTGAATAACATTATTGTTGTGGGGATCACATGGCTAAGTGGGTAAGACGCTGGCTCGCTACCCTGGAGGTCGGGTGTTCGATCCCTGCATTGGCTGAGAAAGTTCATCCAGATTTTCCGGCATGGTTCCCCCTTGTCAGGGATGCAGGATGGAGGGTCTGACAAGGACAGCTGTCTAGTCCTTCGGATGAGATGAAAAACCAAGGTCCTGTGTATACATTGGAATGCACATAAAAGATCCCTTGGCAGTTGGAATTCGATATAGGAGTAGGAGTAGGCGATAGTGCCGCTGCCCAGGCAAAATTTCCCTCATAGCACACTGTATGGTGTATGCCCGTCTTCATTAGCCCAGCATACATGTAGGAGCAGAACAGTAGGACGTTAAACCCCATTTCATTTCATTTCATTTTCATTATTGTTGTGTGCTTTCAATTCACAGAAATGTATTGAAGCTATTTTGGAGAGACTGCGAGGAAATCTTGCATCCAGATGCATAATCCTCTGTCTACAAACACTTCGAATCTTCAGTCGAGAGAAAGAGAGAATGGAGACGTTGACGTCAGATGAGAGTATTAGATTGATGATGACGTTAGCAGGTTTGAAGAAATTTACGGAAGAGGAAGAAATGTGTACGAGTACGATACAGTACCGAGATCAAGATGGTGAGAATATGTCAATTTAGTTTTTTGTGCAAATGTTTAAAATCATTATTTTCTGGCGTGGTTTCTCCATGTCAGTGGTGCAGGATGGAGGGCCTGGCAAGGGACAATGTATAGTCGTTCGGATGGTATGAAAAACCGAGGTCCCGTGTACATATTGACGTGCACGTAAAAGATCCCTTGCCAGTTGGAACTGATGTAAGAGTAGGCCGTAGTGCCGCTGTTCAGGCAAAATCTCGCCCATAGTACACTGTATGGCATATGCGCGTCGTCATTAGCCCAGTCAGAGCAGAACAGTAGAACGTTAAACATGGCCGTTGATTGTCATTTGCAATTTTGGAAAATTGTCTTTTTTCACATCTAAATCAATGCTTAAGAAAATGCACTAAAGTCTGAAGTTCAGACTTTGCTGAAAAATGTATCGACTTATGATCCGAAAAATACGGTAATTTTAGGGGAATTTGAAACCGGTACCGATGGGCATTAGTCGGCACGCTTTCATTCTATGGTATTACAATGTCATGTAATTTTATAGGAATATTATTGACATAAATTTGAATTCTGTACGGGAATTAAACATGAAAAATAACGAGGTGCACCTATTTTTTTTATTACGTATCAATTTGAATATTTTGTTGACATGTGATTCTTAATTGCGGTTTGAAAACGCCTGCTTAAATAACGATAAGAGTTATGTCCCTTTATTTTTGGGAAGAAAATGTCTGACAACTAAAATTTTGAAATCCCATCACTGGTCTGAACCTCATTTGAAGGATTGTTAATATCTTGCAAACTACAATATTGTGAAAGTTGCATCTCTAATATCAATCCAAAAATTCCAATTCCGTTCATGTTGTTTTCTTTATCAAATGTTAATTAATCAATCTGAATACATCTGAACATGGATTTAACCGTGAAAAATGAAATATTGTTCAAAAAATGAAAATGATGATCAGTGAAAACCAAACGATTAATGGTAGATCATTTTTCGGCTTGGATTCGATCAGATTAGAGAGAGGCCCATCAAAATATTTAACCCAACACTTAAGTTACTAGGGTGTTTGGTGGCCGAATGGTTAACACGTCTGTCATTGAGTGGTATGCTTTTGAATCTCCGGTTGTACGTAACAAGGAGTAGGGTCGCCTGTCCAACCTCGTGGGTTTTCTCCTGGTCCTCCGGTTTCCTGCTAAAGACCCCTATTGAAATAAAATTGAACCATATGTTAGTCCCGAAATAACCTAATTTATGTTGAATGAGTGGACATTAAATGACTTAAACCCCATCTCTCTCTCTCTGTGATGTTACTTAAAACTCATCATACAATTTCGATTGCATGCATGGCTCTTGACCTAGAATTGCTGGTTGGGTACTTCATTTGATGGGTTTAGTAGATTTTTCTGTGAAGGATATATAACAGATGTAAATATATATATAGAAGCTATCAATGTTTAAATTTGAAGTGGCTTTAGATGTTTTAATTAAACCATGAAAAGGAACAACACTCTCTACTTGAAATATGCTACTTTAGTTGATAGATTATAAACCACTCAAGTTTAGATTGTTGTACTCATATTTATAGGCCCACACTGAAATGTGATTGTAAACATGTGTTGCCATCGCCCCTCTCCGACTATATTTGCCATCTGATCTTTTTTTTATGTATACTTGTATGTGTTGTAAGGGGTGTTGGATAGCTGAATGGTTAGCGCGTTGTATCATTAGGTCTGTCATTAAGTCAACTAATGTGGTTTCGATTCCCTAGTTGTACGTGACAAGAGTAGGGGTCACCTTTCCAACCGTCGTGGATTTTCTCTGGATCCTCCTGTTTCCTTCAACTGCTAAAGACCCTACGCACAAGTGAATTATTGAAATAAAATTGAACCATATGTTAGTCCCAAAATGACCTAGTTTGTCTTGAGTGGACATAAAAACCCCATCTCTCTCTCTCTCTCTTATGATCACTTTAAGAGCAACAGTTATTATCTGATCTACTTTTTAAAAAAAAATTGTTTTTCTCAAATATTGTGATAAATATTTCTGATAATTATTCCTAGAGTGATTGCCCTTGATCACTTTTCAGAGTATTGCGAAAACTATTTATTTACCCAGAGATTTACAATGCAAAAATATTTATAAACAGCTCTGATGGCTTACCTGCTGTGGCTGTATGTTTCATTGCCTGGCAACCTATTTTTGCTCTTTAATGGAGTGTGGGTTATGATGACAAAACTGCTTATAATAATTATGCAACCACTTGAGATCTGTACTTGAGATCTATATTTATTCGTACATGTATGTAATGTTGTGTATTATATACATTAATGTGTATTAACTATTAATATGTGATGTTTGTTTTTGAACGATGGTTACATATGTGACCCATGATAGCAAAATGAGTCAAAAATCGCTTACGATATGAACAACCGAATGGTTAGCATGTGCGCGTTGTATTATAAGGTCTGTCATTGAGTCAGCTGGCATGGTTTCGATTCCTCGGTTGTACGTAACAAGGAGTAGGGTCGCCTGTCCAACCTTGAGGGTTTTCTCCGGGTCCTCCGGTTTCCTCCCGCTGCTAAAGACCCCTACGCGCAAGCAAATTATTAAAATAAAATTGAACCATGTGTTAGTCCCAAAATGACCTAGTTTGTGTCGAGTGGACGTTAACCCCTTTTCTCTCTCTCACGATATGAACAAAAATATTAAAATAAGCTCAAGATGTATTTTTAATCATATAACATAAAAGGTAAAAGTTAAGATTTGACAAATAAAGCAAGCTAAATTTTTTTAATATTTTTATTTTGACATTAAGAATGCAGGAGACTATTTATCCTTGGTTTCCCCAATGGTCACATTTCTTTTTACTCCACTATACTTTGGGTTAATACAGTCTTAAGACCAACTAGAAATCAGCCAGATTTCTTCAAGTTTGGGAATGTGACCTCAAAGATTTGTTGAAGAGAATCCTGTCATCAACCTCTCAAAGACAATAAATTGTAGCCCAATTATTATCTATTCAGATGGTGTATTGTATAAGTGTCATATTACACTGCTTTATATTTAGAATGTAACACTAAAGCTAGATGGGTTTGGAATCAGATTCTATGAAATTTGAATAAGAGAATAAGAAAAACTAATCAAATTAAACACAGAAATAAACAAATTTAATAACAATTTAATAAAATTTAAAAAAATTGATTCAAATATTACATAATGTAATAATAAGCTTATTAATTTGATGTAATATCTACAGCAGCTTGTCTAAGCCAGGGTATAAAATATCTTACATTATTTTACTCATATACTTTGATATTGACCAATTTGATGTTAACCAATTAAATGATTTTGGAACTTTTTCTTGGGGAGATAAATATTCATAAGTAAAACAAGGGTTGTTGAGCACATTACCATTGTATAACTCTTGCCAATTATATATTGATTGCTATAGAAAGGGGCCAATATCGAAATATTAATGGCCTATTGATCCATCGTACAATACTATTTACGAACTTATCAATTATCAGTAAAAGAAAATTTGATCCAAAATTATCTATTTTGGTGCAAAAATATGAACATTTACTGATTATTTACATACAGGGAAAAGGTCACCCCAAAACAATCTACATGTATTTGTTATTTAAAAGAGCTAACTCGCTAATATTTAGGACCTAGAAATTGACACAAATGGTTTGCAACACAAATAATAATGTAATATGAATGTACATAAACTGATTTAGTATTTATTGCGCATGCTCTCCAGATAGGAATATGACGTAACCGTTTGAGTTACTTGTGGAATATATCTAGCCCCATCCTTCTAGTCCCTTGTTATAAATGGTACTTAAAGGCATTCGTGAACCGATGGTAAAATGTTTATTTTGTCTTACAATCTTATGGAAGCCTATAACTACCATTTATAATTTCTACTTTTCGCCCCTTCAAAACACGAAAGTCGAAAAGTGACCTTGAAAGTAGAGACTACATCAACTTCTGAGGCGAAAAGACAACAGTACGACAGCAAGCCAAAATCAAAGGTCGCTAATATCGCCATCAATACTAGACTTTATAAACTATTTTGTTTATTGTCAATGTCAACAAAACAGTACACCTTTAATAATGTATTATAACAATATTACTTATATTCTCTGTCACCACAGGGGGATCACGTGGCTAAGTGGGTAAGACGCTAGCTCGCTAGCCTGGAGGTCGGGTGTTCGATCCCTGCATTGGCCGAGAAAGTTCATCCAGATTTTCCGGCGTGGTTCTCCCTTGTCAGTGATGCAGGACGGAGGGGCTGACAAGGAAAGCTGTCTAGTCGTTCGGATGGGACAAAAAACCGAGGTCCCGTGTACACATTGGCGTGCACGTAAAAGATCCCTTGGCAGTTGGAATTCGATATAAGAGTAGGCCGTAGTGCCGCTGTCCGGGCAAAATTTCCCTTATAGCACACTGTATGGCGTATGCCCGTCTTCATTAGCCCAGGTTAGGAGCAGAACAGTAGGACGTTAAAACTCCATTTCATTTCATTTCATTTCTGTCACCACAGAGTTCTTGATGTGGAAATTTACACGGAAATATTTATTTATGGCTAGGGATATGATATCATATCTTTCTTATCTAAATTAGATCTTGCTTATATATATATATAACCAGGATATAATATATATAACCAAGATATAATTTAGATAAGAAAGATATGATATCATATCCCTAGCCATAAATAAATATTTCCGTGTAAATTTCCACATCAAGAACTCGTAGTATTATTCTTACAATTTCTCGTACAATAGGGGCCACAAGGCAAGAAGTTAGGCCCGATATACGCGAACATCAAACCCAGATCTTTGATACATAAACATATAATATTAAGTTTTTTTCAAAACCGGATACAAATCGTTAGAGGGACCACAGCCTTCGATCCGATTATCACAAAATTCAAACCCAGGGTGTAACGGTGTATATTTAAACGGTTTTTAAAATCGGGTATAAACTGTAATTTTTGGTACACCCGGGGTCCATAATCTAGGAGGTTACGGACCGATATGTGCGAATATGGAAAAAAACAAAAATCCGTGGAATATAGACATATATTTTAAGTTTGATCAAAATCGGATAAAAAAATTGTGACTTCTACAGTGTCCACAACCTTGGTATTATATACTTTTATACTATTTGCGAACGAGGAGCGGGCAGTTTCAATCCGATTTTCATGAAATTCGAACTCAACCATCATAAGGGTGGAATGGTGATATGTTAGAACAGCTTTTAATATTGGATAAAATGCCAATATCAAAAGGAACCGCGTGTCCACAAATAAATTGTGGGCTGACAGGGGCGACTCAATACACGTCCACTTGAAAATATGGGCGTACAAAAATATCTCAGCATGATAAAACTTGGTTTTTGGAAGACTAAACAACTGATATCAAAGACTTTATATGAAATGGGATTTTTATTTTAGAAATTAAAATGTTAAGTTATTTGATACTCCCACTGGCAGGTTAATAGTTGTCAACGCTTATGTAATTTATATTAGGGCAATACTACTCAAGACGGACATGTTGTTTAGATCAGCATACCAAGCAATTAAAATCAGTGAACCGGACCAAACCCAAACATCCAAAATTTAGCACTTTTTCCTAGAAAGTCCTAGCACTGAATACATAGGTTATTCACGATTTCAAATTGTGTGCTCTGACCTTAATCGTAGCTTGAGTCTGCGAACCAATCAAAAAACAGTTTACAAACCAGTCTTACTAAGACTCTTTCGCCTCTTTTTGCAACACAATGAGAGTTATTTCCCTTCGCCAACATCCTTTGCAATTAACGATTTATGGGATTGGTTGATAAAAATAGCACAATTAACAAGGGCAGATAACTTGAATACGTGCCCTCCCCCCCCTCCCTCTAGTGGAGTAGATCGGAATAAGACCACTGGGGATACTGCTAATGGGGATCATTAAAAGGTTAATAAACAAATACGTGGCAATAAGTACAGGTAAATGATTTTTTTGGGGTGTGTGAAAGCATATAGCCAACCTGGGTAGTAAGTAAAACATTGTGTGAAAGCAACCAAGCCAACCTGGGTATTGAGTAAAAACATTGACTCCGATATGATATTAATGAATTTATTAAATGATATTTTACAGTGATTGTTGAAGCCCAGAAATGTTTGTGTAACCTGATATTTAATAGTACAGCCGTACAGAGAAATTGTTGGTGAGTTTATTATATTTTAAAGGGTTGGGTGGCCGAATGGTCTAAGGCACATGCTTTAGATCATAAGGTCTGTCATGGAGTCAAGTGGCGTGGTTTCAATTCCTGAAATGATCTACACCCCACAAGACATACAGTAATCACCGATTGTAGCAGCTATGAATTACCAGAAAGCAACCTCACCACAGAAAATGAGAAAGCACAAACCACTAGTGCTGGGTATTGCCACTGCAGTCACGATACGATACGTATTGCGATTCAGGTGCTACGATACGATTTTATCGTGTTACCAAGAAAATAACAGGTTAAATGAATAATTAATATTTTTAGTCCTGCCGATGTCGAAGAAATAAAACTGTTTTATATCACAATATTGATGTGGATCAAAATAAGGACCGAAATAATTTAAGCGCGTGTGTGTACCTATGGATAATTTGTGACATGGATAGGTTACTTACTGGAGCGACAAAAAAGTAATCACAATACATGGATGCAGCATCTCGCAGTTCAATACATGAATCGCGATAAGGTGAATCACAATACATTGATTCAATGATATATCATGTCAGCACTACCAACCACCAGCTTTTTGTGCGCTGTATCATACGGTCTGTCATTGAGTTAACTGGCTGGGTTTCGATTCTTTGGTTGTACGTGACAAGAAGTAGGGTCGCCTGTCCAACCTCATGGGTTTTCTCCGGGTCCTCCAGTTTCCTCCCACTGCTAAAGACTCCTACACGCAAGCAAATTATTGAAATAAAATTGAACCATGTATTAGTCCCGAAATGACCTAGTTTGTGCCAAGTGGAGGTTAAACCCCATTTCTCTCTTTCCCTCTCCAACCACAAGCTTTATTGATTTATGAAACTTACTAGTATTATTCACAGAAAATCTCTAAAAAATATAATCTGATGTTTTAAAAACTTTAATATACACAGCTTAATTTTTGATTTTTTTCAATTTCATTTACTCAATAATGCTTTTAATGTTACTTTTAATAGACTATAAATTTTTTTCCAAAATTATTATTATGATAATAGAAATGTACATCAACAGGATTAACGATAATCATTTTTAAAATTCATCATTTTAATGATTATTCTCACTCAAAGAAATTACTTATTACACAATCGTGTTCTATAACTAAAAAAAAAATTGTCAATCACCTGTTTTATGGAATAATTTACCATTTAGTTTAAAAGAAGAGTTTGAAATCAATCGATTAATTTCCGTCCTGTCATACTCAAGAATAAATAATGGCGTAAATGAATTAAAGTCTCCCATTAGCATAATGATCAGAGAATATATGTAGATACAGACCGATCATTAAGATGTTGTACATCTCTCTATTCTTTTAAAGAAACAACTTAATACACATTTATTTAATTAGGCTTTTAATGGACTCTGTATACAACTGTTAACATGTCCATAATCTTGTTGTTTATTTATGATACATTGTCACTTTGTAAAGTGCCCCTGAACATGTTATATGAAAGGGCGCACTGTAAATATGCTGTAATAATAATAATAATAATAATAATTAATATGTACATGCATATGTACAGTCTGTTATTCCTGAGTTCAGAGGACCCTTCACTGTTGAAATAAATGCATAAAAAAAAAAGAACAAAGAACATAAATACAGGAACACGAAAATATAAATGCGCAAAGGTCTAACACAGAGTATGTTATTCCGGAGATCAAGGGGAACCCGTCACTGTTGAGATATAAAAAAATAAAAGAAATAAGAACAAGAACATAAATGTGCAGGGATGTACTGGGTTTTATCGGCCCGGATTGGAAAAAAAATAAATTGATATAATATTTTTTGAAATAAATAAAATTCGTCTTTGCATCCTCTGAAAAATATAATTACCTAATTCCGAGGAGAAAAACTGATCTATGAATAAGTTGCTGAAATAATGTGTATTGAGCTAGTTTTGCTTTCTGAACAGGTCTCGTATTCTTTACTGCGATGGGGGGCCAAGTAAACCAGTTGGTCCAAGGGCCCAGTGCTACCTAGTTCGCCCTTGTATATGCATGTACAATTTTTACAAGATTATTGGAGTAACAGAATATTGGGAACAAGGGGCTATATATTTATAATTTAATAAAGTAGTACTCGTCCTATCAACAAATGATTTAGATGTGTTTTATAATGTGTGAACACTATATAAAGTCAATATTTATTTTAAAGCCAATGTGGTTGTGTAGAGGCTTTAGTACAAAGGTTAAAGACATATGGTGATCCAGAGTTGAGATTTGATGTAAAGGTAATGACAATTTATATAATCTTATAAAGGCATTTAGTAACTGAATGGAGAGTAATAAACTATAACACATACTTATGGAAAACTGCTACTAATATATTTGGGTGACATTTCGAAGAGTAATCACTCAACGTTATAATGATTTATATGGACGTTGATATTTAACATTAAATTTTAAGCATGAATTACCCTTCACACCATTAAGCTACACAAGTTCTGAAATTTAAATAGTGTACATGTTATCATAAAACTTTTAAGAAAAGGTTGTATTGTTGTCATATTTGTCGATGGTTTTCTAGACTGGCCAGAATAGGGTAGAAGGGGTGGGGGCAGGTGGGACCCTAGTAGAGACAGAAGTGGAAGCTTTGGTACAGATTATTGATATTGTAAAGAGAGTCATGGGGAATCCTTTATCATGGCAACCACTTGTTTTATTATAAAATTTCTCTCTTCAAGGTCAATATGTATCTTTTTTATTAATCAAAAATCACTGTCACCATGATTGTATCTAAAAAGTTCCATTGTCCATGCGTAACTGGTATTCTTTTTTTTATGTGGTTGATTATCCAGTAAATTTTGCCAAATGTTGACAAATGACTCTGACCCTCCCTATATTGGCGGTTCTGGGTGACCGAGACTATATCAAGGGTAATCTGTATCCCTGTACAACCCACCGCTGGTAAAATTTATGACCATATTAAGGTTAGTTAATGTTTTGTTTTTATTTCAGTTTTTTGACATGAGGATGTTATTTTTGTTGACTGCATTACCAAACTGTATAGAGACGAGGTAAGATAGCCATATTCTCTCTCAAATTTAATGTACAGTAGTTCACTAGTTTTTCTACGCCCATTTATGTGGAGGGGGGTTGGATGGCCGAATGGTTAGCACGTGCGCGCTGTATCATAGGCCTGTCATTGAGTCAACTGGCGTGGTTTCGAATCCCCGGTTGTACATAACAAGGAGCAGGGTCGCCTGTCCAACCTCGTGGGTATTCTCCGGGTCTTCCGGTTTCCTCCCACTGCTAAAGACCCCTACGGGCAAGCGAATTATTGATTGAAATAAAATTAAACCATATGTTAGTCCCGGAATGACCTAGTTTGTACCAAGTGGATGTTAAACCCCATTTCTCTCTCTCTCTCTCCATTCATGTGAGCGTACACTGTTGTCGCCTCTGTCTGTCCGTTCACATTTTGTTTGTGGACACTCTACAGTTCACAATCTTTATCAAATTTTGACAAAACTTGAATTGTACATACAATTTTGGTTCTTTTCGATATTGGCATGAATTGTACAGTAACTTCATGGATGAAATCATGCATGTCAACACATAAATCGCTTTGCTTTATAGGTGGCCCTTTGGCGCAATGGTAGCGCAGCTGATTCCAGATCAGAAGGTTGCTTGTTCAAATCACACCAGGGTCCTAGACATTTTTTCCTGGAAAGAATAGAAATGATTTTCTTAATAAATAGTCCAATTTATTTATAGGATAATATCACACTGTTACAGTGTATATTTCTCTGGGAATTAATTCTATTGTCAATGTCTGTTTTTCTCTGGGAAAATTACAATGAATAACTAACCTACACCTTACATTTTAGTAGGTAATTCCCCACAAAATCTATATTTAGTAACAACTCATTCATGTCTTTATATAAATTCTACTATTGTATCGGAGGCCCTATGGTAGGGTGACCCATGTACTCACAGAAATACAGTCCACCGCTGATAGTTTGAGACTACCACTGAAGCGTGCACATTCGCCGTGCCGAGACCAACTTTCTGACAGTATGATACTATAAATAGCCATGGCACGTGCAATTCTCTACAAATCTATCAACTATTACAGCCGTAAAAAATTTATTGTAGACGATTTTGAATAGCAGTAAAATTAAGCTTCTTGGTTATTACAGCAGATTTAGAAATTACTTTCGTTTCATTTTTTAAATCGCTTTATCATTAACTGTACCGTTAAGAGCGGCATCTTTTGGTTTAGTACAAATAATATCTCTGAATCACTCGGGTTAGACAGGAACATGATACTAGCAGTAGTTTCATTTACTTTTACAAGCTTCTTAAAACGATTGTTGAGCTACCTAACGTGCTTATTTCTAAATTCAATTTCTTGTTCTAGCTTTCTGTTATGTTTCGTAAAAAAGGAGTCTTGATTATCTACTCAAATTATTACTTATAATAAATATGTTTTACTGAATGTCACATTAACCTCAGTAGTATTTTCAAAAGGACTGTGGACTGGGTCATCAATAGAATTCAAAAGGTCCAGGGACCAAGTTTTTTTTTAAAAAGAAATTCACAAGGCACATGATAGGATTCGTGAATCAACATGCAATTGCAACAGGCCTGTCAATAATAGAAATTATTTTATTAATCCAAATAATATCCTTGTACTAATATTTTGCACTTTAAAAAAATCATGAAAAATGTTTCAAAGAGATGTATACCATTTTAAAAAAACCTTTAAATATATCACTGTTACATCCTAATGATGGGTTAGTTCGAATTTCGGACTGAAACTGCCAGACAAAATAAAATGGCTGCTCCTTGTATGCAAATAGTGTAAGAGTATGTAATTTGAATGTTGTGGACCCTCTAGAAATCACAATTTTTATCCGATTGTGATGAAACTTAAAATGTATGTTTATATCCGAAGGATTTCGGTTGCTTTTGATATTCATGCATATCGGACCGTAACTTCCTGGATTATGACACCTGCTTATTCTCTGTCCATCTCTTGCGAAATGTGGGCCTATCATGCATGGCAATCGCTTGTTGTCAACATGGGGACATTAACCCCATTATGTACTGTACTATAAAGTGCCCTGAGTGGTTGTCACAAGTATACTGTTATCTCATATCTTTATGGTAATTAAGAATTGTAATTAAGAATTGTAATTATATTTCAGACCTAAGATACGATATGAACTACATGGTTTTACATATTTAATGGAGGTTCTTGATTTAACTCTGCGTGCTGCTGAAGAAAGAAAGGCAGGACTTGGTGACCAAGATGTCGAACTTTGCTCAGAAATATTGAAGATTTTGTTTAATTTAACAATAGAGAAAAAATCCGCTGATGAGGTGAGAACTTATGTTGAGTTAGAAAAGAAGGTGGGGATTGGCACTGAGTCAATTTGAGTGAAATGGCTTTTTTTTTAAATAACAGTTTTAGTTTTACCTGACAAAATGTCAAGCACTACAGAACTAGTAGCAGACATTTGAAATTAGTGCTGGAAAGCTTGTTAGTAGTAATGGCTGTATGTCATGAACTTACAGGAATCCTTTGTCAATATCATCATTCTCCCAATCAGAGTTGTCTTTCACACTAAGGGGGTGGGGGTCACGGTGGCTTAATTGATAAGAATCTGGCTCGCTAGCTAGTCTGGAGATCTAGTGTTTTATTCCTGCATTGGCCGAGAAAGTTCATCCAGATTTTCCGGCATGGTTCCCCCTTGTCAGTGATGCAGGAAGGAGGACCTGACAAGGACAGTTGTCTAGTCATACGTATTGGATGGAAAACCGAAGTCCCGTGTATACATTGGCGTGCACATAAAAGATCCTTTGACCGTTGGAATTTGATGTAAGAGTAGGCCGTAGTGTCGCTGTCCAACCTTGTATGTTTTCTCTAATTCCTCTGGTTTCCTCCCACTGCTAAAGACCTCTACACACACACAAATTATTGAAATAAAATTGAATTATATGTTAGTCCTGAAATTACCTAGTTTGTGTCAAGTGAACGTTAAACCTCATTTCTATTTTTAGGAAGAGGAAGCACATTTTATGCGATTAGTGAGTATACTTCGTGATTTACTCATGTGTAAAACTTTATCTAAAGATAAACAGGAAGAACTTCACAGGTAAATATCATTTAGTATGGCTTTTAATATTTTCTCTTAAATCTGTGGGAGCTGAGCTGGCACGATAACCTGGTGGTCCCGGGTTCGCTCCAGGTGTTGGCTGATAAAGTTCCTCAGGTTTTACTGGCGCGGTTTCCTGGTGTGATTTGTGGACGGAGGGATGGCAAGGACAATGTATGATCGTTCGGATGGCACGAAAAACCATGGTCCCACGTAAAAGTAGCCTTGATATTTGGAATTTGAAAATAAGTGTTGGCTGTAGCGCTGCTCTCTAGGCAAAATTTTCCTCATAGTACACTGTATGGCATATGCCTGTCTTCATTAGCCAAGTCAGAGCAGAACAGTAGGGTGTTAAACCCAAGCCTGGACATAATAAGGCACCTGTCAACATATATATGTTGTGTGATAATTTGTACTGGACAATTGTGCTGGGTATTGCCACTCCAGTCATGGTACAATACGTAATGCGATTCAAGTGCTACGATACGATTCATATCACGAGTTATAACCAGGTCGATATTTACCAAGAAAACAATAGGTTAAATGAATAACTGATATTTTTAGTCCTGCTGATGTCGAAGAAATAAAACTTTTTTAATTTAGATCACATTATTGATGTGGATCAAAATAAGCACCGGTTAGTTACTGAAGCGACAAACATCCATAAAAATAGAATTGAGATACATCGATTCAGCATCTCGTGATTCAGTACGCGAATCGTGAGAAGGTGAATACGTCGATTCAACGAAATATTGTGCCAGCACTACTCTACAAGGTCTGTGACAGGTGCCTTAGGTCTAGTCTTGGTTAAACCCAGGGGCGTCCCCCCTCCCCTCTCAGCTACATAAAAAAATTTGTAAAACAACAATTTTATCAGAAAATGTCATGGTCGTGTGCTTTATCCTTGATCATCGGATGGTGGGATGGGATGGGCATTCAAAGTGCGAGATAATGATACTGAAATAGGCCTATGTGATATCACAATTAATGAAATTGAATCACAATGTGATCCTTTTAATTCATTATAAAAATTAACTTCAAATGAGGTGTTTGATTTCTCTCTTTAAAAAGCTCAGTGTGTATGTATGCCTACGTAATCTGGAGACGATGATAGCATCATGCATTGTCAAGTGTCCAATTTCCTAAACAGTAACCTGGCAGACCCCCTCCTGCAAAGAATTCCTGGATCCGCCCCTGAAACCCCATTTTATTTCATTTCATTTATGTTTCATTGCCTATGATTACGTTGATTTCTTTCAGTCATACTATAAATCTGTTGATCAATATACCAGTTGATTTTTATGAAGAGTTACTGACACCATTAAATGAATGTGAAGTACGAGGTATTGAAAATAAAGAAGTGGAATATGATGGTAAAAACATGGAAGCCATTATCGTATTAATTCACTTTCTTGATAGACGACTTGATCGGGTGAGTTTTACTGGTTATTAATTATATATGTGACCCATGATAACAAAATGAGTTGCAAGTTTTTATACAATTATATGAACAAAAATGTTAAAATAAGCTAAGAATAACTTTTTAATGATATAACATGAGAATTGAAATTTTTAGATTTGACAAATAAACCAAACTTTTTTTTTATACTTTTAACCTATTTCTATTTCTGACTCATTTACTTGTCACATTAACAAAAATAATCTTTTAGAGGCATATACATTAATTTAGCATTTGTTTTTATTAAAGCCTGCCAAGAATATGAAAGAGAATTTAACTCCAATTCTGCATTGTTTATGTGAAGCTTGTAGACACATCAGACCCATCCGAAAGTTCTGTAGATCAAAGGTGCTGCCCCCGTTACGAGAGGATGTTAGAAGGTTACCAGAAGAGGGAACATCATTTAGAAATAGGTATTTAATCCATTTGTTCTAACTTCCTGAGGGTGGGGGGACAGGGTGGGGGGGGGGGCGGGGTTGTTGAATGGTTTGACGTGTGAGCGTTAGATTATAAGGTCTGTCATTGAGTCAAGTGGCGTGGATTCGATACCCCAATTGTACTTGACAAGGATTAGGGTCGTCTGTCTAACCTCCGGTGTTTTTTCTCCAGGTCCTCCAATCCTCCCATAGCTAAAGACCCCTACGCGCAAACGTATTATTGAAATAAAATTGAATCATGTGTAAGTCCCAAAATGACCTGATGTTGAGTGGACATTAAACGCCATTTCTCTCTCAAACTTCTCGATTACCACGGCCTCTATTCTAGCAAATTGGGGGGTTGGATGGCTGAATGGTTAGCGTGCGCGCGCTGTATCATAAAGTCTGTCATTGAGTCGACTGGCGTGATTTCGAATCCCCGGTTGTACGTGGCAAGGAGTAGGGTCGCCTGTCCAACCTCGTGGGTTTTCTCCGGGTCCTCCGGTTTCCTCCCACTGCTAAAGACCCCTACGCGCAAGCGAATTATTGAAAAAAAATTAAACCATTTGTTAGTCCCGAAATGACCTTGTTTGTGTCGAGTGGACGTTAAACCCCATCTCTCTCTCTCTCTCTATTCTAGCAAATTAAATACTTTTATGGGATGATTTCAAATTAACATTTCCTACATTGTAATTAAGAGGTGGCCATTGTCTAAAATTATTTCTGGAATTATTTTCAGATTATGTAAATTACTAACATCACCTGTGACAGAAGTGAAAGATTTGGCGGCACATTTTCTCTTTGTTCTATGTAAAGAGAATGGTAAGTTAAATTCACTAGTCTTTATCTATCTGGCTGTTCAAAGTCTCGATTCATCATTTTAAGCAATAGGAATCCCTTGAAAACTAAAATATTGTGAACAGTGAATCTCTAATAGGACATCTCTAATAGGACTATCAGCAAAGTCCAGCTTGGGCCAAATGAGCGCTGTGGGGCCCCTGTGTTTTAGGGGGCCCAGCAGTTCATGGCAAAAAGAGAAAAAAACTATTACATTCCAGATGAAAGTTCCACTCAGAGGTCTTGCAGCGTTATGGGCGGAGACTGGACGAGTTTGGTCTAAACCTTTAACGATCGCGATAGCTTGTATGCTAATTATGAGCCGTTATAAGATATAAGGTATAAGATAATCTTTTCATAACAGTAGGGGCTCCGTCATTCTAATCTGGCCAAGGGCCCACGCTCTGGTTAAGCTGGACTTTGACTATCGGTCCAAAAATGATTCAGTTCTGTTCAGTATTTACAAAGTTACGCTGAATTGAAGTTTCTTTGATCTACGCTGCTCACTAGGCAATAATCTCTCCGCCATTTTGTTGTGGGCGAACATAAATGATAGTCATTTTTTCAATCTGTTTGAATCCATGCCAGGATGTTATCTAGGATTGGTATTTTGATTTTGTTTTCTTAATTAAATGTTAAATAATCAATCTGAGTACATATTAGTGTAGATTAAGGCGTGAGAAATTGGATATTTTACAAATAAATGTAGTTTAAAATACCATGACATTTTCCCTTTCACATATCCAGACATTTTCCCAAATCAAGGGCAAATGAGATAAAAAAAAAATTTCTTTAAATTATTTAAATAATAAGTAGCAAAATTAAAATGTGTGGAAATGCTTGGTTGATCATCCTACATTTATTCAAGGAAATTCCAATGATTGAAAGGTTTATATAAACATATAAAAAATATAGGCCTAATCTGTTTCTCAAATACTCCCATGTCACTTAGAAGAGCCACTTGACTTGCTTTTATTTTAAAAAAATAAGAAATAAAAAAACAGTTTATTTAATAACTGCAATTAAATATTTTCCGCTGGTTACAGGAAGCAAACTGATATGTTAATGTTTGTATATTCTATTTGATGGATGATACATGATATTTTGTATATTCTATTTGATAGAAGCTACATGCTAATGTTGTATATTCAATTTGATAGATGTTCTATTTGATAGCTGTCATTGAGTCAACTGGCGTGGTTTCGAATCCCCGGTTGTATGTGACAAAGAGTAGGGTCACCTGTACAACCTCATGGGTTTTCTCCCGGTCCTCCGGTTTCCTCCCACTGCTAAAGACCCCTACACGCAAGCGAATTATTGAAATAAAATTAAACCATACGATAGTCCCGAAATGACCTAGTTTTTGTCGAGTGGAAGTTAAACCCCATTTCTCTCTCTCTCTCTCTATTTGATAGATGTTACATGATAATGTTGTATATTCTATTTGATAAATACTACATGTCAATATTTTATATTTTCAGTAACAAGAATGGTGAAGTATACAGGTTATGGTAATTGTGCTGGACTATTGTCTCAATTTGGTCTGTTAAAAACAGACCCAGCTAAAATCATGGGAGACTACTCCAGTGATTCGGAAGATTCAGAGACTGAAGAATATACACAGCTTAAAGACAAGTAAGGAAGAAATCTCTTAATATAAGACAGGACTGTTGTAATCGAGAAAGTAGAGAGAGAAAGAGAAATGGGGTTTAACATCCACTTGACACAAACTAGGTCATTTTGGAATTAACATTTCATGAAAATATACGCATTGGTGTGCACCTAAAAAAAAAACAACCTTGATCATTGGAATTTGAAATAAGAGTTAGCTATAACGCTTCATGCAGGTAAAATATCCCTCACAGCACACTGGATGGTATAGGCTCCTCTTCATTAGCCCAGTCGGTGCAGAAAAGTAGGATGTTTAACCCCATTTTATTTGATTTATTAATTTGTTTTATAGAGTAAATCCTGTAACTGGATGTTATGAAGAACCACGAGCTGATCCAATGGCTGGTATGTCTGATGAACAGAAAGAATATGAAGCAATGAGGTTATTGGATGCAATGGATAAATTACAATTGTAAGTAACAACAATATGTGAGCAATGACAACAAAATGAGTCTTAAGTCGCAAGTCGACGTTTACGATAATAATAATATATGAACAAAAATAATGAAATTTAATTTGCTTTATTGACAAATCTGAACTTTTATCTTTCGTGTTATATCATTAAAAATAATTTTTATCTTATTTTATCAATTTTTTTTCATATTGTAAGACTTTCGACTCATTTTGCTATCACAGGCCACTAATATATTATATTATTAAATTTATACATTTTAACACACAGAAAATTGAAACATAGTTTCATTCTTACAAAAAAAAAAGTTTGCATTAATTTAACAACTGTTATTACTCAGGATTTAATTGTTTAAATCATGGAGATCAACTCTTGATAGACCAATGAGTAACAAAGAAATTATAATATTGGAGTTGTTTCCCTTGACTCATTATTCGCCCAAGAAATAAAATCTATTTCTCTATCTTGGTAACAAAATTGGTGATAGGTTTCTGAGAAATTAAGAAGAATTAGCTATGTCTGTGCTGCATTTCATTTCATTGTGCATGCCCAGGAATCGCAATAAGTTTGTTTCCCTTCATTAGAGGGAGCCACGAGGCTAAGTAAATAAGACGCTGGCTCGCTTTTCTGGAGGTCGCGTATTCGATCCCTGCATTGGCCGAGAAAGTTCATCAGGATTTTCTGACTTCGTTTCCGCTTGTCAGTGTTGCAGCCCGGAGGGCCTGACAAGGACAAATGTCTAGTCGTTTGGATGGGACAAAAAACTGAGGTCCTGTATATACATCCGCATGTACGTAAAAGATCCCTTGGCAGTTGGAATTTGATATAAGAGTAGGATATAGTGTCGCTGCCTGGGCAAAATTTCCCTCATAGCACACTGTATGGCATATGCTTGTCTTCATTAGCCCAGTCGGTGGAGAACAGTAGGATGTTAAATCCCATTTCATTTTATTTGTTTCAATATGGATTATCTCTCCTTTTTAATCTACCCAAAAATCCATTTCGCAATAATTTCAATTTTTACAAATTTAACTTCATTAATGTTATCATTTGTTTTGTAGACAAGGCATAATTCAACCAAGTCGTATAGGACCAGATGGTAGACCGGTTCCTATATCTCATGTACTGGAACTAACAGAAAACCAAGGTGCAGCAGCCAATAATGAGTCACAGAAGAACGATGCTGATTAATTTATACATATATATATCTATATTCTATTAACACATACATACACTTTCTGCTATTTTTAACTGAGCTATATGAGATTCATTTAATCTGTTGTCTTTAGCTGTTCGTTTGTCAACCCTACTCAACTGGACGTCATCTCCTTTAGTTATTACCAACCGGGGGAGGACTAGGCCTTGAATCGTCAGATGTGGTACTAAGGACCATAGGGGTAAGATACCCATCAGCCCTCGATTGAATATTTTTTTCTTCAAATAAATAAAATTTATCTTTCCATCCGAAGAGGAAAATGATCTTTGCATGGGGTGTGGGAAAGGTGAATCAAGCTAGTTTCTATTTCTCATCATGTCCCATATTCTTAGCCGCAGTGAGGTCCCAATTAAACCAGCTTTGATTCTGCTACCAAATAAAATAAAACTATCAATTTGTGATGAATAGATATTTGATACATGCCACTAAAAGGGGGCATGGGTGGCCAAATCGTTAATAAAAGGTCTGTCATTGAGTCAAGTGGGGTGGTTTCAATCCCCCACTTGCATGTGACAAGGAATAAGGTCATCTGTCCAACCTTAAGGATTTTCTCCAGGACCTCTGGTTTCCTCCCACTGCTAAAGACCCCTATGTGCAAGCAAATTATTGAAATAAAATTGAAATAAGTCCAAACATGACCTAGTTTGTGTCGAGTGGAGTTAGACCTCATTTCTCTCTCTTTCCCACTAAGAGAAGCTTGACATGAATTTTTAAGTTGGTTGGTATTAAGAAGATGTTGAGTTGAGTAATAAGGGACCGTTACAAAATATCCACATTTGCATCCAAATGAATAACGCAGGGATAGAATATCTCCAATCATCTACAGCACCGATGGAGGAAAAACATGTTGAAAAATATGGATTTTGATGAAAGTTTAAGACAAAATAACCAGCATTTAATTTGATCATTTTCAATCCACGGTGTTGTTCCACACACAGGTTTATTATTTAGAGGTAAATTTTGAAATTTTGCAACGGTCCATTAGATTGATATACAGCTGTTATTGTGTTATAAATTGCCATGATATAATACAGTATTTTATATTATTTATTGTTATATATAAGATAACTCTCACGATATACAATGTATAATTAAGTGTGTTATTTATTATAGAGTTAAATAACGTCTCACAATAACAATATACAGTGTATAATTAAGTGTGTTATTTATTATACAGGTTGTTATGATATATAATATATACATTATACAGGTTGCTATGGTATATAGTATATACATTATACAGGTTGCTATGGTATATAGTATATAATATACATTGTACTGGTAACTATGGTATATAGTATATACATTATACAGTGTGCTAAGATATATAGTATATACATTATTCTGGTTGCTATGGTATATAGTATATACATTATACTTGTGGCTATGGTATGTAGTATATACATCATACTTGTGGCTATGGTATATAGTATATTCATAATACAGGTTGCTATGGTATATAGTATATACGTTATACAGTTTACTATGGTATAAAGTATATGCACTATACAGGTTGCTATGGTATATACATTATTATTATTATTATAACAGATTATATACCATATATACCTACACAATTCAATGGTTCAGTCATGGATCAAGCTTATAGTATGGCTCCCACTAGACTTAAGATTATACACAGTTGAGTGGTTCAGTCGTTCTGAACCTGTATCAAACTTTATATGCCTCCTAGTAAATATTGAAATATCTTTTTCATATTAATAGCAGTAAACAGTCCAAAAAGAAAAGAAAATCTAGAATTATCATCAGCATATAAACTTAGATTTAGTTTATAAATATAGCTTTGATCTGATATAGTATCAAAATATTGTGCTTTTGAATCTCTTTATGTATGGTGTATATTGATAATAAAACATTTATTTATAATCATAATTAATATGATAATACTTAATTGAATGTTGGACATGTTGGGTCTCAGTTAATTAGGACTATATAAATAAAGAATATCAACTTCCAAATGATATACAGGGCACATGTTGGGTCTTAGTTAATTAGGACTGTATATAAAAACGTCAACTTTCAAATGATATAAGAAAAATATGTGGGTCTCAGTTTATTAGGTATTATAAAAAAAAACAACAGTTTCCAAATGATATATATATATATATATACAGAACAGATCTGTCAACATCGTGGGTTTTCTCTGGGTCTTCTGGTGTCTTCCCACTGCTAAAGACCCATATGCGCAAGCGCAATTATTGAAATATAATTGTACTATATGTTAATCCCGAAATGACCAATATTTATCTCTCTTTGTAAATGAAAATGCTTGTTTATAAATGTGGAGCTTGGGACACAACATATTTAAGCATGTTAATTAGCACACTGTGCACCGTAACTTTGATTTTCATTGACTCTCGATCTATGTCCAATATTCGAATCATCTTTAGTGTTCATATGTAGAGTATTTATTGGATGTGCACTACAAAATGTTCAAAATCATGTGTACTGAATATAAACTGCATGTATGTTCAGTTTTATATTCTATTGGCCAACATTAGTCTGGAATGTTACAAATTTAATGACTAATATAACAGTACTATAAGCATCATCTGTCGGTAGGATAACATCAAAATGTTGTTGGCCAACATTAGTCTGGAATGTTACAAAGTTTAACATGACTCATCTATCAGTACCATATGCACCATCTGTGTTACTATAACATCAAAATGTTATTGGCTAACATTAGTCTGGAATGTTACAAAGGTTAATGACAACAGTACAAAACAAATACATTGTTATTGACCAACCTTAATCTGGAATGTTACAAAGTTTAATGACTCATCTGACGGCACCACAACACAAAAACATTGTTATTGACCAAAACTGGTGTGTTACAAAGCTTAATAATTAATCTGTCAGAAGTATAACATAACAGTCAATGGTTCATTTGAATAGATACTATGTTTGTCAATTACTAAAAGCTATTAAAACAACAAAATGAATGTATTTAACACTTTATTTTGATCTAAATTAAAGAGGTTTAGCACCTTTAAACTAGTATGAGGTCATTCATTCTGTGTCTAATCAAAGAGGTTTAACTCACTTTAAATTGGTATTGGGTCATTCTGTGTCTAATCCTTTACTGTGCTACAGACAGCCAAATTTCAGATATCATATCTCAGTAACGGTTACTTCGATCACGCTGAAATTGGAATATCATATTTATCAGCCAGCATATGAGCATATAAACCAAATTTACAGGAAAATCAAAGGATGTATTATTCATTATTTTGGGGTTATTTCACCTCTTCACATTATTCAGGCTCTCAGAGTCTTCTGAATATTACTCAACTCACAACACATGGTGGAAGTAGAAATATTAGTATTGTTAATCATTTAGGGGAGGATAAGGCGCTAAATTTGTTTTAAAACAAATTGTATACAGTAATTATCTATAGCTTGTCAATACTCACGGTTGTTATTTTTTGGTGCTGGCATCTTCATTAGATATTGTATATTGTAATTTATTTAGGATACAGGGGCTTCATACTTGTGTTCACAAGCTCCTGTGATTTAGGAAACATTTCGTAGATTTAGTTAATATTTTGATCAAATTAATTTTGACCATAATTGGAGTTGGCTCTGAAATATTTCGCTATAATTATGTGTATTGTGATTATGTAAGTTTGATTTTTTTGTCAACATTGGCTCACTGTATCATTGTCAATGCAGCACCATAACCAAATCAGTTAATTTGATCAGAGTGACAAATGCAGTCTATTACGCAAGCCTGGAGATAAGGCACCGGTCACAGACTTTGTCATGTACAAATTATCACATAAATATTATTTAGAACCCTGGGCCCCATTTCTCGAAATCTTAACTAAAGATAAAATCCAAATTTTAGTAGGTACTTCAGTTTTGATTGGCTAAGCACTAAAATCAATCTGTTATCCAATCAAATTACTAAAATTTGCATTTTATCTTACTTAAAATTTCGTGAAACGGGCCCCTGGACATAAGGCACCTTGTCACAGACATTTTCAGGCACAAATTATTAGACAATGTATATGTTATAATATATACGTAGTGGGATAATTTGTGTCTGTGCGAGGTGCCGTATGTTCGGGCTTGCAGTTTCATTTTCTGGATATTATTGTCCAAACAGTTGAATCTGTAGAACAGTATGGTCAGTGCAGAGTAAGGTCACAACCATTTGATTTTTTGGTTGTCGGAAACGACTGTTTACATTTTTTTTCTTAATTTGTAAGGAAAAAAACATATTTAAATACCAAAAGTACTTGGTTGCACTATTCAAAAGCTCTTCGGTGCAAATATTGAAATTTTAAATTAAACATTTTTTTCATGCGGCTATTTGTTGATCAAGACTCTGAATAACTGAAAATTAACTTGATGTAGCCTAAAATCAAGTGAATCAATTAAGATGTTAGATATATAGTTAAATAATGATTTTCTTCTGGATTTTATGATGTTTTGTGTATAATCTTGCCAAAGAAAATTAATTAAATAAATAATTCTTAAGATTTATTGCTTCAAATCAAATAGCTTATAAAATATGTATTCATATTGTATTTAAGCTAGATTAAAATAGCATATCGGTGAACAATTGGCGCCACAGGCCTACCGTTCAAGGGGGATATTTTGAATATTATTATGGTTATAATGTTCCAACAGAAAATTGTATATGATTTGAACTGTAGGGTCTTAAAGATATTGGGAATTATTGAGCATGGCTGGGTAGTAGCAAAAGAAATAGCTAGTGGGCCCCATCTTCCTAGGGTCCACGCACCAGCTCATTCTCAGTTGCTTTTGGAATGGGATATTGTCTGGGTGTTGGTGAACCCAAAGTCACAAGAAATGGCTCCTCACCCCCTTCTCTCCCCCACTTGCTAATTCTCGGTCGCTTTTTTGCCAGTGTTAAAAATAAACTTCTTTAGATATGATATATACTGTATAGCTTTTGACCCTTTTGTGGGGAAGGAGGAAGTGTATAGGCTACTCCTTGGGGATGATACTCGATTGAACGTCTTGGAATTGAATTCTCTCAATCCTCCAAATAGTGACAATCGAGTGAAAAGGTGGATTTCGGATCACAACACATAAGAAAATATCTCAACCAACCATATTCGTTGCGTTTAATTACGTCACGATTCTACTCACACCACCTTCGTTGTCCGACTCGGAGAACTGTGACTGGGTTGAATTCGGCGTCACTCGATGGCAATTCTTCTCCCCGTTCTGGACGTTCCGGACTGACAATCGGGCATACCCCAATTGTGATTAGCATGCTGATAACCTGTCTCTAATATATCTACATAATATACTAAAAGATCAAATTTTAATGAATTGTTGTTGTATTGTATATAATGATTATGACTGTTATTATTTTATATTGTGTAATTAGCTGTGATATATTTACTGTGGTTTATGTTCATATAGTCAGTTATCTCCCTTTATTTCACCAAGCCCTGGAAGGCGTTTGATTGGACCGATTCCGAATTCTGCATTTGAGGGTTAACAGGTACGCATGTTTAAAATGCTTGGAATAAGATTTCATATTTAGACAGACAGAAGGGATAATTATAGAGGTTAGCAAAGTTTTTTCAGAACAAATCGGAATTCGGAACTGCTGCAATTAAACATCTTGATAATAATCACCTGCTCTGATATATGTTATTTCATTTTCAACTGTTCATTATTTATTTACTACTAATCAAAGTTCAGTATTTAAGTTCAGGAAAGATGTCATTGAGGGGTTGTTAGAAGATGCTCCCATTTACATTTGTGCTGTTGATCTTCTTATTAGGGATGTTTTATAAAGGTATTTGTAAGATGCTGATAAAATGGATGGGGTTAAAGATGGCAGCCACCAGTTGTTCCCCTTTTGGCATTTTCACTCTGTGTTATTAGGGATTTTTACAAAGGTATTTGTAAGATGTTGATAAAATGGATAGGGTTGGCTAAAGATAATCGCGTGTTAAACATGGCACCCACCCGTTGCTTCCCTTTTGGCATTGTCACGCTGTGTTTGTTATTTTTCTTGCCTGCATATTTCCGTAATGGTTTTATTATCCCGGCTGCCCTTACTATTTGTTTTTGATATAATCAGGCAGGTTGAACTAAGCAATAAATTGTCAAAATTATTTAACATGCTCAAATACTTCAGGCAAGTTTTAACGCATAATGTAACCGTAAGACCTATACATTAAACCAACAGGTCAACTTGGATGATCCTGTGAAAATCTAATCCCTTTAATCTGGTATTTAAAATACAATTCAGTTTTATATCCTTACATTCATAATAACACCATTTTATGGATTTACCTCTTCGTGTTCTATTACATGCAACGTTTCAACACTCTTACAGGTATCTTACTCAAGTCAGAAAAACATTGAGCTCTCTCTCTCGGTCCTCATGATACTTATTTCTGACAGATGTCGGAGATGGGAGCGTCAGATAATTGAGATATGGCTTAAGGGCGGGGCGAATGTACGCACTGTCAGGATACAGGAATTTTCGTCAATTCATGTTGATGATAAAGGGCGTAAGACACCCTGGAATAATTGTAAGAGATGGTCGTTCCCTGAAATAATTCTAAGAGGTGGTTACTACCCTGGAATGGTATAGATATACCACTATTAACAACGTCAGACCCTATCCTGGCAGACATGCCCCAAATGGCTATCACAGGCTCGATTGAGAGAGGACAGATATTTCGGACTGCTCTGAACGTAAATTTATATCACAGTACTAGTATCATGTTGACCACAATCTTTAGCTAGTCAAAGTAAATGTATCTTTTGTTGTATGTATATATACTGATGTATTAAACTGAATTTAATGGTAAAACTATTTTTTTTTGTATTCATAAAACACCCTTTTCAGTTTGGTGGCTGAACTAAAGACATGAAATGAAATGGGGTTTAACGTACTTCTTTTCTGTACCGATGGGCAATTGAAGGCGGGGTTACGCCATACAGTGTGTTATGAGACAAATTTTCCCCGTACAGCGTCGCTATGCTCTACTCTTATTTCGAATTCAAACTGTCAAGGGTTCTTTTACGTGCACACTAATATGTATACATGATTTGGTTTTTCGTCCCATCCGAACGACTAGACACTGCCATTGTCAGCCCCCCCCCCCGTCCTGCACCACTGACGGGTTTGGTCGCAGGACTGAAAACCTTTGGGAACAACGATTCAAACAGCGCCGACACTCTACAGACAGCAAGATCAAGAACGTTAAAAGATCTTTCTGTGGCTAGGGTGAAGAGTAGTAGAACTTCAGGTGCACACAAAGTTGTTTTGTCTGCATTGAGATCAACGTTCACACAGAGTTGTTTTGTCTGTATTGAGATCAACGTTCACACAATTGTTTTGTCTGCATTGAGATCAACGTTAAAACTCTGGAATTGGTGGGGCTATTATCCTTTAGATATTAAAAGGACACCCATTCAAAAAGTAGGGTTGTCAAAACACTGAGCTCAACGTTAAGCAAAAGCAGCTTGGGGGTTAGTAGGGGGATATTATCTTTTAAGACATAAAAAGGACACCGCAGCCAAAGGGTAGTGTTGTCAACATTGAGCTCAACGTTAAACTATAGAAACCTTAGAGTTAGTAGGGGAATATTACCCCTGTAAAAATCAAAATGGCACCACTGCCATTCGGTATTCCATTTATTTATTCAATTGCATGAAAGAGTATAAATTACTGTTTAAACAGCTTGGACAAAGGTTTAGTAAAACATTGCATCTAATCTAAAAATGACATCACCATTTTTAATATCCACAGTGCTCAAATGCACACACTTCGTATCAATCTTCAGTAAAGGAGGAATTTTTAAGAGATATCAATAATGCATGAGTATAATTGTTTCAAATCATTCTTCGCAATCAAATGAAATCATTAAGCAGCATTATTTTTAGCCCATTGATAAGGATCGCCTAGAGTTGCGTTCCAGATCTTTTGTTGATCGGGTGCTTCACAGGAAACCGATCTTTGCTTATTTACCGGAACACCAAACATAGCATCACCAAGATCTTCGCTGAGATCTGCCAATATAGCTGGTTCCTTGTAATGAGTAACCGCCTGAGCCATGGCCCGAGCTCGTTTGGATGGATTAGAACTCTTGAAGATTCCAGAACCGACGAAGACGCCATCCACTCCCAACTGCATTAAAAGAGAAACGTCCGCTGGTGTTGCTGAAACAGAAACGAAAATGGGATTTTGAGAAAACAATTCGGTTTGACTTAAGACAAAATGGGTTGTAACCACTTTAAATGTCTCATTGATATAATTTTAGACGTCTGGAAAGGATGGGTCGTCTAAAACCGAAAGAGCGCTGTAACGTCTTACAAATTAAAGAAACCCGACGCACTACCTACACTATCGACAAGTAATGAGGTGATTCGCCGATACTTATTCTTTCTACGTTAATTTAATTCATTGGAATAGATTACAAGGACTATAACTCTAGTAGTAATTATCGGAAAGCGTTGAAAATCAGTAGGCTACTTTGTTTCATGACTATAAACACTGAGTAGAAATTTCACTTACCAAGTCCACCAGCAGCAAAATTAACCACAGGAAGTCGTCCAAGTTCAGCAGTCTTCTTCAAGAGGTCAACTGGTACTCTAAGTTCCTTAGCATAGTTATATATCTCTATAGCATCTAGTGATTTGGCTATTTGGATCTGTTTATTGATGGTACGTGCATGTTTAACAGCTTCTGATACATCACCTGTAACATTACATACACCTGATGACAATCGTTTCGTGTTTAAGGTAATTGACTAATTATTCTTAAAAGCCCAGTGGAGGAAATAGGATATTAATTTCGTTATAGTGGGCAAAAGAATCGTGAAAATTCGGGGTATCAATGGTGACTGGACTGAAGGGAATTGAACTTTTTTCAGACTCATATTCCCTTTTTAGAGCTTCGACGATCACAATATTATATAATCCTTTAGTGGCATTTAGCAATTGGAAACATAACAAAACTGACACAGTGCTTGATAACGATAAGAGAATACTTATCGAAACGTTGTGCTTGTGTATAATAAACCAGTGATTGTTGTCCCATATAACTGTGTCAGTTTTTCACAATATTATAGTTGATGCGAGATTAACAATCCCTCAAATGCTGATCACAGACTTTAGTTTCTTCACAATGTCTGGTCCATTAATTAATAGTTGAAATCCTGCTAGAAACCGGAGAGCATTGGATGTAAACGTACCTGTTCCAGCTTCACCTTTAGTTCTAATCATAGCAGCACCTTCAGCTATTCTTCTTAAAGCTTCACCAAGATCTCTAGCACCACAGACAAACGGTACCTTGAATGGATGTTTATCAATATGATTCACTTCATCAGCCGGTGTCAGCACTGGAACAGAAATTAAAAACTGCATAGAATTGATCTGTATTTTTAATGATTTTACGAAATACAAACGTCAAACAAAAATGCGTTAGCTATGTGAACTTTTCTAATAATTTAGATTTTTTATAATCTTTTCCCAGTGCTTCGAGAACTTTAAGTTCCATGATTAGAGGTTATGGTATCAAACTCTCTACGGAATTGCAAGATCAATGGGTGGAACTCAGTTCTTTTGTATCATCCGAACGACTAGGTGCATTTTCCTGGTGGGGTCTGGTGATCGAATGGTCTAACGCTTGCGATTTTGATAATAAGGGATATTGTTGAGTCAAGTTGTTTGATCCCTTGTACGTGACAACGAATAGGGTCGCCTGCCCAACTTGGTGGGTTTTCTCGGATTTCTCCACTGCTAAAGACCTATACGTACCATCGAATTACATAATATATAAAATTGTACTATATGTTAGTCCGGAAATGACCTAGTTTCTGTCGAATGAACGTTAAACTCCATTTCGCTTTCATTCCCTCCATGTCAGCCTCGCAGGCGCTACTCTTGAACAGTGATGGCCAGTCTTTAAAACAATCCCGTAACTATTGTTAAACTCTACAAAGGAAACATACCTTCCGATTCATCAATCATATCCACTCCTAATGACTCTAATATCTGTGCTTCGGCAAAATGGCCGATTCTAGACTTGGCCATTACAGGTATTGTTACAGCTTTTATAATACCACGAATTTTCTGAAATTAGAAATAGTATGTTTTGGATATGTATTTAGCTTACTACTGAACATGCATTAGTATGATATCGTTCTTGAACGGAAATGAAATGGGGTTTAACGTCCTACATTTCGTCACCTACTGTGCTAATAAAGATGGACATGTGCTATAGCCTACGATGTTCTATAGGGGAAATTCCGTGTGGACAGCGACGCCCTGCTCTTATTTCGAATTCCAACTTCAAGGGTTCTTTTACGTGCACGCACATGTGGAATCGAAACTCCGTTTTTCGCCCTCTCCCCCCTACATCACTTACATGGGGAAACCTCTCCGCAAAATCCCGAGGAACGTACTCGGCCAACACCGGTAGCAAACCTGATAACTCCAACTCATCGAGCTAGTGTCTTACTCACTGAGTCACCGCGACTCCCTTCTACAAAATAATCGAACTGATAATAACCACTGTATTGGCAGTATCACAATGTGTCATGCTTACCCTGAAAACAATGGGGTTAAACGTATACTAATGAAGACGGGGCTTACCTTTGGATCTGTCATTCTTGCTACACCACCATCTCGTCTGATATCAGCAGGTACACGCTCTAACGCCATTACTGCACATGCCTAGAAACAATACAAGACAAATTATCAAAGGGCAGATAATCCCCGGCATTAGATTCATTCAAATTAAAAAGAGTATACTCAACATTTATACGTGGCGCACGCGTATTTATAACGTTTACACCGAATGTCTAATGTGAAATTGTCAACTCTTCACATATTTGTAATTACGGAACAAAATTGAATCAGGTTCAACTTTCACAATATATCGTAGCTCACAAACGATTAACAATCCCCCAAATGGTGGCCTTTTGAATGTTAAGTGATATAAATAAAATACAGTTAGTAACCCCAAGGTGGAGAATGAAAACAATTTGGACAAGATATTTTAGTTTTCTTGCTCCATTAAAATGGAACCACCTTTCCGTGTTCATCAAAAGTGGTCCTTCTATTGACTGTTTCAAATCCAGACTTAAAACATGCATATTTAAACATGCATTATTATTTGAGCAAGAGCTTTTAGTTCCTATTATTATTATTATTAATAATCATTATAAATCCTGAGATTTTTTATAGCTAAATATAAAATAGGTACCCCAGCTTCTTCTGCTATGATAGCTTCTTCCGGTGTGGTGACGTCCATTATAATACCACCTTTCGCCATCTGAGCTAAACCAGCTTTTACTTTAAACGTTCCTGTGAAAGCCAAATAAAAAAAATAGATTTTAATAACAATATTCCTAAATGAGATAAATAGTCGCAGAAGAAATGCTATTTTGTCACATACACGCAACGCGACAATCACCAATTATAGACGCCCTTGAATACATAATTAAAATTAATTTGATTACATTCTCAGCACACTCTTTGGCTTGTACCTTTCACAGCATTTTACAGGAAGTACCTAACAGAAGATGTTATACAGATGTTATTTTATATAAACGCCACAATATAACATTATGTATTGTAAATATCTAATAACGGATGAAACCAATAGAAACGAATGCAGCAATCACCAATTTGCGAGAAATATGCATATTACTTAAATGTTCGGGTGCATTTTTCATCTTGGCATTCAGCGAACAACATTATATTATGGCGCAGCATAGATGATTGAATTGTAACCCTCGGACGAAAGAATTCACCTTTAACAGACATTGGCCCTGCTTGATTTATCCATACCGGCGCATACCGGCTGACCACAGTTCGGCAGTTTCCCCGACGAGGTCACTTGATTTAACAGGAAGTCGACAAAAATTCGGCCGCGGCGTACGCCGAATGCGCCGCTTTGTCGGCAGCGGCGATCACCGGCGCAAGATGGTGAACATGTCAACGAGATAAAAATTCACGTTAGTTGGGAATGCCATTAAACACGAATATTAAAGCGTTAAAATTAAACCAAATGCTTTAAAGTTGAATTAAGGCTTCGTAAAACCAGATGTTCATATGTCATTTATTTATTTTTTTTTCGGTAATACTACAAATAATTTTCTGTATTATTTTGTGGTCACTTACTTATAGTAATGCTTTCATGAATATTGTTTTTACATGCCCACATTGAAATGTGGTCGTATATTGTCGTCGCCCTGTCCGTCCGTCCATCCATCGGTCCGACGTCCATAATTGCTTGTGGACGCTCTAGAGGCCAAAGCTAACATCCGATTGATACACAGGGTTTATATATAAGGTCTTGAGACGAACAAGTATATTTTTCAATGAATTTTGATAACTGAACAGCTAAATCCATGATATTAAATTTTTCGTATTCTAAACGTTAGCCTTTCGGCGGACAAATCAAGCAGGCCCAATGTCTAACACAGCATTGGCCAACAATGAATAAAATTAAACAGAGTTGCTAATCGTGATGGTCATTAGAATGAGTTCTATGTCATTTCAATGACATATAAAAATCACAGTCTAAATTTAAATTTCAACGACATATAAAATGGAACAAAAGGTTACTCGCGTTAAATAACTTTAAAAAGACAATCTAAATTTAATACCTACCAGTGTTATAGTGTTAACAACTTTAAAGCTAGTGTTTTGAATATTATTAAATTAGAATGCATTGTTGATTATTTCAAACACAAATACAGATACAGGTTTGTCTCATCGGTTTGTTTGTGGGAAGCGCTGTCATCGTGTACTTACTTCTATTTAAGCATACTAAACCTAGGCACAGCTTGAGAAAGTATTAAGTAGATGGATCTATGTGTGCAGAATGCTATTTAAAGTTGCAATTTCATATTTTTACGTTATATTTTGAAAATTTATTAAAATAAAGCCTTAAAATAGATGGTATCTATAAACAGTCCTACCTTGTTAAAGAATAATCCTATTAATCCTATAATTCACTATTGCCAGTTGAGAAATTGGCAAAAATATCATTTTCCTTTTCAAATTCAAACGTTTGAGGATAACTACTCCATGGTGGAGAATAGAAAACAAGGGAGATAATTGGGAGGTAATTTTGTTATTATTTCCGGTGTAAATGAGTTTTAAGTGTGAGAATGACACCTATGATCGTATAATAGTGAGTTGACAACCTATTGAGCAAAAGACATAGAAATAATTATGTTTTGACTTTCTTAGAAAATATGAAATTGTAACTTTAAAAATACAACTCTAATACCTACCAGTCTTAACAACTGTTTCAGGGGAGGTAACCAAGTTGGTAACATTGATACCTGGAAGGGAATGAACAATGTTAACATATAATGATAGTAGTTTATCAATTGATAACATTGATACATAGAATGGAATGAACACAATTATTAACATTTAGCAAGATACTAGTTCATCAAATTGGTAACATTGATACCTAGAGTGGAATGAACAATGTTAATAATTATCAAGATACTAGTTTATCAAATAAGTAACATTGACACCTAGAATAGAATTTGAATTTGTAGCATTAATTTAATGCAAACTGACTCGGCACTCTTTGGGTCAAAAGCTGACTATTCTTGTCGTCTGATCTGTGAATGATTTAAGATATAAAATAGATGGGCGGGCCCAGAAAAATCCCCCGTTACACTTTCCTATTAAAATCTCATTGCTTGAAGCCCAAAGACTTACCATTTTCCGTGGAGCCATTCACAGTTTGTGACATTTTGGAATGCGGTAATTGCCTGTTAATGAAAAAAAAAATGATACTGCAGTATCATCAATAAGCATAATTAATTCAGGAGGGAACAACTTTGGCATTCTTTAATTAAGAGAATGATCATAAAATTACTCGATATACAACAGAGGTTGTTATAAAAGAAATGGTCTCCGAAGCCCTTAATTGTACAGTAAAGGATTTTTAAATTTGTCTGTTTCAGCTATTGACGTTATAGAGGCATTCGGAAATGATCGTCAAAGTTACAAAAGCCTCTACGTAACTTAAATAATTAAGGATTATTTAAGTTCTAATGGAGGCGTATAAGGACCAAATGTTTCTTGGATATATTATGCCAAGAGTCCAAGACATTCACTTAATGTTAATGCCGCACGGCCCCTGGAACTAACATGGAATCTATACACTGTTAAAATTATTATGTATTTTTACCCTTTTTAACTGGCAGAAATATTGCCATATTTCATGTTATTTCACAGTCTGTAATGTAACTTTACTCCTAGCTATTATCCATCCAAGGTAAAATTACATGTATGTAAATGGAGTACATGTAAACTCACCATAATGTTAATTTACATAAATTTGTACAATAACATTAAAAACAAAAAGATATTGTGTATTTTGACAGAGTTTATGTACTAATACCGCATAACTATTGTAGAATTACATATTATGTAATTTGCCATAGTAAGATTTCTAAAAGGAATATGTTTGTCCCGGCTTGGCTAAATAATCCCAGGACCGATCCTGGCGAACACAGAAAGTTTTGCGGACCTTTCAGCCGAGCATGTAAAACAACATTCGATAATGTAAAGGAATTAGTTGTTGTTCTTAGTGTTTAACGTCCGCTTCCACCGAAGGTGATATCGCAGACAAGTTGTCTTTTTTTTTTATTTTAGCGCACGCGTCTTTCCTGTGGAAGGAAACCGGAGTACCCGGAGTAAACCCACGAGGTTGAGAAGGCGCCCCTATCTCCAAGCCACATACGCTCACGCCAGGGATAGAAACCACACTCTAGACGTAAAGGAATTAAATGAAATGGGGATTTAATGTCCCTCTGCTCTGCTCCTTGCAATGGAAAGAGTAGGTGACATAACACCGTCCAAGCAAAATGTCCCACACAACCCAATCTATTGCATATGTCTGTCTTTATTAGCCAGTTCGGTGCATTCAGATTTTGAATAACCTATTTCTCTAAAATGGACTAAACTAACTGACAAAACAGTAAATATTTTGCGCAAAATTCGATATGTAGTCAAGGGGGAATAACCGATGTTACCACTATTTGACTGTAAATTTACAATTTTCTGTAAAAATAATATTTTCAACGACATTTTTGTTAATATACAGCCCATATAATGTAAACTGGCATATGGTTGTATAACTACATTCAGTTTGATGTAATTTTACATAAGCCTTGTATTTATATGCATTTACATCGTTTTAAATGTAAGTTAACAAACCATGTGATCTGACAAATCCGGCACTGTATTTTTACTATACTTATAACTGTAATTATCACCCAATAATACATTCTACAGTAGATATCGCTTGTGTGATATATTTCATAATCTACTGCGATATCTCGTTGATAAAGTAAAAAAAAAAAAAACCTCGGCAGAGCCTCGTTTTTTGTTACTTTATCAACTTGTGTTGATATTTTTTGATATCAAAAAAGACTGGTAGGAGATTCTTTATTAAACATATAATTTTAACAGTGATGGGGGAACCACGCCGGAAAATCCAGATGAATACGAAGCCTCCCGGTTAACTTACCAACGCCTCACCTACTAAGCCACCGCGGCTCCGATCGATCGAATAAGGATAATTGCACACTTTGTTTTCTATTTACCAGTAGGGGGGTTGGATGGCTGAATGGTTAGCGTATGCGCGCTGTATCGTAAAGTATTTCATTGAGTCAACTGGCGTGGTTTTGATTCCCCGGTTGTACGTGACAAGGAGTAGGGTCGCCTGTCCAACCTCGTGGGTTTTCTCCGGGTCCTCCGGTTTCCTCCCACTGCTAAAGACCCCTATGCGCAAACGAATTATTGAAATAAAATTAAACCATACGTAAACAAATAATCAAGATATTATTAATGCTAATTCATTAAAAACATCAACAACAAGCAAAAAAATAAAAAAAAATGCAAAAAGAGTCTGTATACAAAAGGAAAAAATACCCACAATCATTTGAGGACTTGAATGAATGCCATTTACTTCACAGTTTTAGTGGAAACTTTTCAGATCAAGTAACCGGGACACGTTATTTTAAATGCGCAAAAGAAATGAAGACATATTTATGGAGTCTCTATAAGTAATATCTTCATTATTATTATACCATATCATTTCAATGTGACATCTTACCTCGATTCTGGTTTGAAACAAAATGAATATTTTCTTCAAAGTTGGATTACAACACGCAGAATAACTGACCTTCACTAGCTGACCGTTCCAGTTAAAACGAGACTGATGAAATATATTTATCTGTTATGACATAAATCTATGTCGGTATTTATCTACATCATTTGATAAAATAGGACACATAGGTATGTACAGTATATATATACACCTACTTATCCACGCTGCGCTAATTTGTATTATATAATACCTGTATTGTTTTTATATAAAGCTTAGTATATTGTTATAAAACCAGCGTTTTAAATCTCTAAAAGGTAGATATAAATTTTAACACATGGTATAATATTAATGATATATAGTTATTGAATTAATTACTATGTGATGTTTCGACAAGGAAACTCTCATCTTTATCAAGTAAATGATACAGTTATATTGTTACCATACCAATGTTTTAAATCTTTAGTTTAGCCAATCTAAGTGTGTGAAATAGCTTTATTTAACGTCCGCTTCCAACGAGGTGATATTGCAGACAATAGCCAAGCTAAAGGTAGATATGTATATATATATATATATATTGTGTGGCCCAGAAAAAAAACCCGGCTTCCCTATCCGGCAAAACTTAATTGACATTCTTTTTTAAAATTCATACTAGTTTAACACTATTCGAGCAATGGACCTGCAACTTAGAGAGAAGTTGACAAACTTTCATATTGTGCATGTGAAATGTTAATGATATAGGTATGATACATTTTAATTATTCCACTTTAAATTGTGTACTAGTTTTCTTCTGGACCACCCTTTAAATGTTTTGAGAAAAGAAATATGTGACGATATAATGATATGCATCCCTGTCTGAAAAGACAAGGCAACATTTAGTTAATAAACTATAATTATATACTTGTGGAAGAAAAATTCTCTCGGCGTTTCTAGCTAGTTTAGTAATTAGGGCAATCATATATCGACAAGTTTGTGTAGTAGTTTATTGCCCTGTCTAGTTACTAGCTAAATTCCTCAAAAGGGGGGGTGGGGGTGGATGGCCGAATGGTTTGCACGGTCCGTCATTGAGTCAACTGGCCTGGTTTCGGTTTCGGTTCCCCGGTTGTACGTGACAAGAAGGAGTGTCGCCTGTCCAACCTCGTGGGTTTTCTCCGGATCCTCCGGTTTCCACCCACTGCTAAAGACCCCTACGCGCAAGCGAATTATTGAAATAAAATTGAACTATGTGTTAGTCCCGAAATGACCTAGTTTGTGTCGAGTGGACGTTAAACCCCATTTCTCGCTCTCTCTCTAAAGGATTTGGTCATTATATGTGGTTTTTTAAAAAAAAAAAAACGTATTGAGATACTAGGCCTACGAACGATATAACACGTGGACTTTTATCCACGTTGCAACATCTATATAAAACTGGTATGTATACGCTAATAGGCTTTAAAGATGCATTATGTAAGATTTAGATAAAGAGCTGGGACCGGTCGCTCAAACCACAGTTATTTTAACGATCCGTTAAACTCTAACCGATCGTTATCTTGCTAACGTGTCGTTTAATAGTCCGTTAAATTTCTGTTGCTGGAAAGTCAATTTCTTCATCCGTTTGCTAACGGACTGCTTAAAGTTAATCCAAGAGAAGACTGTTTGGTCATTGGCTGATTTTTAAATTTATAAATTCAATGTACATATATAACAACAAGAAACGACAGAAATAGGGACAACTGTGCAATCTGTACACAAACCTTCAAAACACTATAAAAACATCTATAGAATACTAAAGTATTTTCTTATAGAAATTTTAGCATAAATCTGTAGGAACAATTATAGGATTTGGACTACAGAAACTGTGGAATATCTGCGGCTGTTATTTCCTACAGCCCCCCCCCCCCCCAAAAAAAAAAAAAAAAAAAAAATTATGTAGAATACTATGGAAATTAATCCTATAGAAAATGGGATAGCCACCCACCTCAACCCTCTACAGTGTTTTATAGAATTCTATAGAAAACTACATAGGTATTCAATAGGCTTTTTTTGCTAAGAGTATGCTTCGACTGACAGCCGACTAATGCCATCGTTAAACAAATAACGGAGCCCAACACCTTCGTTAAATATAACGGCAAGTTAACGACATGTTAAAGTTAACGGGGCTTCCAGCAACAGACTTTCTCTCCTTTAAAGATTACGATCAGTGTAACAATATTGATAGGAGGTATATTATGCTCTGTATTAACAGATATTGGTTTTCGGTGAATATAAGAATAGATATTGGCAATATTATCTGCTTTGGTTAATTGCAATGTTAGTATATGTATGCGTCAAATTACTGTTTTGAGATAAATTGAGAATAACAGAAACCTATGACACTTTGATACATGAAATGTTCCATAGCTCGATAAACATGATGTTTACATCATGTTTTGATGGGTTAAAATTGTATCATGCCGTCACTTGTGTTGGAAAATTCCTATTGCATCATTTGTCTTAGTATCCAATCATATCAGTAATTGCACAGATCTGAACGTGATAGACTTCAAGGCCAATACCAATGTGGGTCATATAAAAGAGGCTGCAGTGCCCTTTAAGATCAGATATGATTAGGTTCCGGACAGATGACCATCTTAGTTCCTAGAGACTGTCGCTGAATTCTCAAAGAGGGTAGAAATGGCCCTGGTTTTTTAGATGACCATACATGTATATGATGTAGCAGTTTCCCCGAGACTAGCCATGCTGGTTAGACTTTTACAGGAGTTGGGGGTTTAGAGAAAGATGTTAATTTTAAAAAAGCTAATGTAATTTATTGTGCATTGTAACCATATATCTCCAGCTTGACATAAAAATGTAGAACTGAACTGTTGCAGTGTTATTCCTGGTAAGACAAACATCTTAATAGTTGATAATTGGCTTATCATGTAAATAAATGTCTAACATATGTGCAGATGTAGCTCTTACATAATGTACCTTTAATATTCAAGACACTGTACAACAGCTATTATCTTTTCACACAAAAATGATATTTGTATGTATACGACATTGGGTTTAATTGTGCAGTACATTATATAACATGTGAAACGTTATCTGAGTACGTATACATGTATAATATGTGGTTTGAATGTCAAACATAAAGTGCCGTAGCTATTCATTTTTCACTCAACGGTTTAGAAATATTCCTCCTTTTCTTGAATTGATTGTATAGTTTATTTTGAGTGAAGTCTGTGTTACTACAGGCCCAGGACTGTACAAGATAAACACTAGCTTGACATTCATTAGTCTGACAATTACTGTCCAGGGTCGGATTGTGAAAAAGCACAATCTATGAGGACAAATAGTTTCAAGAGATAATTAGATGATAATGTTACTTTAAATAAAGCATAAATATCAACATATTTAACTTAGCGTGCTTTTGCAGTAGTAGTAATATTTAGGCCTGTTATCAGCAAGTGTTTTAAAAATTAACTGGATCAAGTATTCTAAAATTTAGACCAAAATTTAGGCACTGATATTGTGAACTAAATTTTGACAATTTGGTAGAAGGTGATATAAATAAGTTAAATAGATTGCAAATATAATTTTAGGTAATGATCTTTGCTATATGTTTGAACGTCTATACGCAAGTTCCGGATATAACGCAAAGTAGAAATGGGAACTTTAAGATCTTGATATAATTAGACTATTTATAAACCGAATATCAACACCATGAACCGACACCATGAGAATATGTATGAAGTGGTATAAAGCATGCGCATTAGATCCTAAGGTTGTCACTGAGTTAAATGACGCGGTTTTGATCCCATGCTTGTACATGTCTGTCTGACTGGCTGATTGGCAAGGGCAAAGCAAGGCACATTTTATGCTATCCCTGTGAGCGCAATTTCAAAACGAATTAATAACTCTAGACACAGAACAGACCCTAACACATTTTAACGGTTAAATAATTACTAACTTTACTCTGGCCTTTTTTTCAGAGTAAAAGATGACTGGAACTCAGATGATTAACATTGGTGTGCTAGAGGTACAAGGTGCCTTCTTAGAACACAAGATATCCTTGGTAAGAGCAGCTCGAGAACTAAATGACGTCATCGTCAACGTCACTGAAATACGGAATCCCAGCCATATCACCAATGATCTTCATGGCATCATAATACCCGGAGGAGAAAGTACAACGATTAGTTTGTTTCTAAAGAGAAATGAAATGGAGGAACCATTAAGGTCGTGGGTAAAAGGAAATGGTCATATTACATGGGGAACATGTGCTGGAATGATCTTATTAGCTAAAGAAACAGAACATCAGAAACAAGGTGGACAAGTATCAGTAAGTTATTCAAATTCAAAATCTCAGTAAAACGAATTATAGTGGAGCTAAAATCAAGGGTTGAAATTAACTACAAGCTAATCATGTGTGAGATATCTTATCAGTCGTGGTGGCTCAGTGAGTATTACGCTGGATTGCTAACCAGGAGGTTTCGGGTTCGCCCTCGGTGGTGGCCGAGAAAGTTCTCCAGGATTGTTCCCCGTTTTCATTGGTGCAGAGCAGTCAGTTTGTAGTCGTTCGGGTTTTACAAAAAACGTGGGTGTTCACGGAAAGAACCCCTGACAGTTGGAATACGAAATAAAAGTACCACGTAGCGCCGCTGTGTTGACAAAATGTGGCTCATAGCTTAAAGCCCTGTAATGGACTTTCTCATAGCTCAATGTATGACGTAGTCTATAATGTCCATCTTCACTGTATGAATGGGGGGGGGGGCCGAATGGTTAGCGCCTGTGCATGCATTGTATCATAAGTTCTGCCATTGAGTCAACTGGCCTGGTTTCGATTCCCTGGTCTTACTTGATAAGGAGTAGGGTCGCCTGTCCACTGCTAAAGAACCCTGCGCGTAAGCGAATCTATACTAATATTTGTGACTGTCGTTTCTCTGTCTGAAATTTGGGGTATAGGGGTAGCTCGGACCGGGGAGTAACATAGGCCAGGTGGCGTTAGTCTACCACTTCCGGTTTCGGGGTTATGTCTCTCTCTCTCATAGCAGGATTGAGGCTAGTAATTATTTCCCTACGAATGTAGTTTGAGTTATACATAGACAATTTTTCCCTTTTCCTGCATTTTTTGATGACTCTTTGACCTAGATTTGAAGAAAAGGGATCAAATTTGCAATTTCATAGCAGTTTTGGGCAATACTGATGATATTACAGCTGAGGGATAGGGAGTGTAAAGTGTCTTTCTGCAGAGCAATAATTGCTTCGGAGGTGACATTTTGACCCCAGTCAGCATCAAATCCCCCTAGCAACCCCCTACAAAATTATGAGGAAGAGAGTGCCAATTGCGGTCCACTATGTGCCTATAAAGATTGGAACCACCGGAATGTTGAGCAAAAAGCTACAGCCATTGATGTTACAGTCATTTATCATTGAAGTCAATGGGCAGTCATGAGCAGAACGTTGAGCTAAAAGCCAGTTATCTCCCCTGCGCCTTTAACATGTCACGTACACGTACAAAATAAAAGAAATGAGATTTAACGTCGCCACTTCTACTGCAAATACAATAAGGATAAACCTATCTATAAAACGCTGTAGTCACTCATTAATTATTATAGAATTGCTTCTTTTTGGATAGACGATACATTTGGGACAACAGATCCCTTTACGAAACCACCTTAATAACACTCCATATTCCCGAACGCTGATGCTCGCGAAATGAAATGAAATGAAATGGGGTTTAACGTCCTACTGTTCTGCTCCTATACTGGGCTAATGAAGACGGGCTGATGCTCGAGAAACAATAATTTAGCTCTCCAGTAATACAGGGAGCCACGGTGGCTAAATGAGTAAGACGCTGTCTCGCTATCCAGGAAGTCGCGAGTTCGTTCCCGGTTTTGCGAGAAAGTTGATCGGAATTTCCCGGCGTGGTTTTCCCCTTGTCAGTGGCGGCGCAGAAATTAGGGCTGTCTAGTCCTTCGAATGGGACGAAACACCGAGTTCCTGTGTACATATTGGCGAATGGCGTGCACGTGAAAGATCCCTTGGCAGTTGGAATTCGATATAATACCCAAGAGTAGGTCAAAATTTCCCCCAAAGCACACTTCATTAGCCCAGTCGGAGCAGAACAGTAGGACGTTAAATCCCCATTTCATTTCATTTCTCGAGTAGCACAAAAGACTGAAAACCCCGATCTTACTCATCACCGGCAAGTGTGCTCTTTTGTCAATAGCGCCCAAAGTATGACAAAAAATAACCGACAAGGAAACATATAACGCAAGAAATATGTGTTATAGATATGCACATTCTAAATATTCCTATCGGTAATTAGAAGTGCCCCTGAAACCCTGGGCCCTGTTTCACAAAAACTTAAATCTCCTTAAAATCGTCTTAAACTAAAATTCCATCCTAACTTAAGATAGATGCGTTTCACAAAATGATTTTAAGCATTTTAGATAAAATCCACTAAAATAATATTGTAAGTTAAAATTTTATCTTAACTTATAATAGAGGCGTTTCATAAAGCTTTTTTAGGGACAATTTTAACTAAAATCAATTTTAACTTAGGACAGCCGTCACCCTCTCCTAACTTAAAATCACGACATTAACAAACATTGATTAGAGCTACGTTGTGGGATCTATTGCGACATATGGATATATTTGGAATAATGATAATATTGCCAATGGCTCGGGTTGTATAATTTAAACATACTATCATTCACAAAAATAATTTTCATTCATTTTTTTTCATTGCATGGGAAATATAGCTGCGGCCCACCCGTTTATTTTATTGTAAGGCAATATAAGCAATTAAATGACGCCCTAAATTAAAACTCCAAGAACAAAAAAAAAACCCTCAAGACCCCTGTAAACAAAGTTACTATTTTATATATTACTATGATTCAAGTATAAATAATATTATTTTCAAAAAATTGATAGACCAAAAAAAAAATCTAAACCCACTTCATATCTAATGTCTAAAAAAAATAATTTGTAGGCCTACAATTGTTTAAAATGAGAGAGAGGGAGAGAGAGAGAGAGAGAGAGAGAGAGAGGCGGGGCTTTTCGGGACTAACACATGGTTCAGTTTTATTTGAATAATTCGCTTGGGCGGGGAAAACCGAAGAGGTTGGACGTACAACCGGGGAATCGAAACCCCGTCAGTCCTATAATACTAGATACGCCATATGCAAAGTATTTATGGCTTTGGGGTTATGATGATTTATATAGGAGCCAAGGGTATTTTATATTGGGAAAAATCATTTTAATTTAGTAAGATAGATAGGCATTATCCAATAAGGAGTATGGCACTTTGGCATTTTCAAATTATTATTGAAAGTGTCAATGGGACTGACATTTCAAATCTAGGCATCGCCGGAACATTGGTTATTTCGTGTATAAGCTTAAACGTTATTAAATACTTTTAAAAATCGACAAAATTTTAGTCTAGATTAATCATTTGAGTCAGAAATATCACATGTTCGTGATAATTTCTCAGTAGTTTCTGTTATCCAAAATACCATAAAACTACGAAATCCAAGCGATTTAGTTTATCGTTACGCATTATCTCCATTGAAGCCTGCGAGTAAATCAAATGCCAAGGTCACGAAAGCGACATGCAAGTTCAAGGCCAACCAACTGATACATTTCAAAACAAAAAACACGCAATTAACTTATTTATTTCATCTCTCTACGATTGACTGACCATGTTGTTACAACGTATGAAACCCTCCTCATTGGTATTGTAACGGTTAGTTCAACCTGGCAACAGTTTTCAGTTCCGAAGCGTGTACGCTCACACCCTATGTGCCCTCAACGGAATTATGCACTGCGCGAGCGCAAGCAATTTTAACTAAAATCTATTAAAATTGCATTTTAAGTTACAATCGATCTTCGTGAAACGCTTAAAATTTAAAATTTAAGTTTGATTTTAGTTAAAATCTATTTTAGTGATTTTAGTTTAAGTTTTTGTGAAACAGGGCCCTGATTAGCTTTAAGCAAGCTACAGCATGCAATATCACCCAATATTATCATGTGCTTAGTTTGATAATTTTAGCTGAATATTTCTTATTAGTAATCTATATTAGATTAGGCTAGATGGGACTAAGAAAGTTCTTGCCTACACGGGCAATCAGCTGTGAATCCAGATCAACTCTCACACGCGTTTAACGGAACTAATTAAATTATGATTTATTTTTTTTATTTAATCTATTTTAGCTGAGATGCATGGATACTATCGTTTCTAGGAACTATTTTGGCAGACAGATAAACAGTTTTGAAGCAGATCTGACAGTAACTGATTCAGATTTAATTTCGACACCAGGATGCATATCTGATCTGTTCCACGGAGTTTTCATCCGTGCACCTGCTATTATAAAAACAACAAGTGATGATGTTAAAGTACTAGCAACGTTACAAAGGGAAGACAGGTCTGCTGTAATCGTGGCAGCAAAACAAGGGAATCAACTCTGCACATCATTCCATCCGGAGTTAACAGAAGATACCCGGTGGCATAGATATTTTATTCAGATGGTTCTGAAAAGCTTAAATTCAATTAATACATGATGTTCTTTTATTTAGCAATCCTCGTCGGAAACCTCGAGACTGTTCTATCGAGTTTATATAATAGGCTAACTCGCGATTTATTTTTTTGCATTTCTCCACCATTTTGTTTTCTGTACAATAAAATCATTCTCTTTGCAAGAATTTTTCCGTAATCCGCAAAAAAGTGTGGCACGCCCCCTTCCAGTTATTATATTCGACGGTGCCGTGGCTGAAAGTTAACCATAAACGTCAGACAGATGTCCGCATTTTATCTAGAGCAATTTTTCGCTCCATACCTACTTAGTTGGTGTCTCCGATTGCAGTGCCGCCTAATCTAAATTCTGCTCAGACTGCGTATCCACTTTCTGTGTTCAATTTTATAGATTTTCAGATCCAAATCAGGTTTCTTGAATCTCTGAATACTTTCGTTAATGTGGTTCGCTACAACAAAACGGGATCGAGAGAGAATTGGAAAGAGAATACTCTCTTGGAATATCTGCATTCATATGCGCCTTGAACGTTACCGGGTCCAGTGTAATTGATTCAAATGGGGTTTAACGTACTAGTATTTTATGGGTGAATTATTGCCAGAACAGCGGCACGACGGCTTAATTCCAACTATCATTGGTTCTTTTACGTGCACGCCAATGTGTACACCGGACCTCGGTTTTCGTCCCATGCGAACGACTATACGTTGTCCCTTGCAGACCCCCCCCCCGTCTTACACCAACCCCAGGATCGAACACGGGACCTCCATGTGAGCGAGCCAACGTCCTACTGATTGGTTCCCCCTTTTCATTTCATCTTACTGTCTGAGCCACCGAGCCTCCTTAATTTGTTCTACTTGGACCTAGTTATTGTGCAGGGGAGTTATGGAGTTTCAATTATAGGTCAGATGTCTCCCAAAAAGTCCAGATATTATCTGTTCGTTAAATTGCACCCGAAATCCAAGAGAGACAAAGTACATATACGCCATATACCAATCATGTTGATCTTAATAGCAAAATGTGACACTTCTGATCCCAAGGTCAACACAACTTTCTGAAGTTCAACATTATAATATCTATTCCTTGATCTCTAGATCACGCTGTACTGTCAGTTAATCAAATTTCTACTCCGAGCACGTATATTTTGGATTAACGTATATTCCTTGGTCCAGTGCCAGTATCCCCAGGGGAGATCACTCTAATTTGAGTCTCACAATGTTGTGTTTACTGATATTGATAATCATAGTAAAAGAGACGGACATTTTCTAATCATATATAAGGAATTTTATTGAATCTGCAAGTGGCTGGGCATTTTGGTCTACAAAACACACCGAAGTTCGTTTGACGCACACCACGTGATATTACAGTCATTTGATTATCGGAAGCTGCGGTAAGCACGAGAAGCCACTGTAACCCAATGACCCAATGAGTGAGACGCTGTCCCGGGAAACAGGAGGTCGCTTGTTCGCTCCCGGTTTTGACCGAAAAAGTTCATCGGGACTTTCCGGCGTGGTTTCATCTGTACACCTTGGCATGCTCGTAATAGAACCCTTGACGGCATCCTTGTCCGAGCAAAATTTCCATCAAGGGCATTGTATGGGCGTTTACCTGATTCATTAGTCCAGTCGGTGCAAAAACGTAGGACGTCGAACACCATTTCATTTCATTATCGCTATTCAATCGATAATATGGCCAGGGGAGAATGCCAGTTTTGGTCTACCGCATGTTTTTCTATCGGGACAGTAGAGGGATACACGACAATTTTAGTTTTCCACCTGACAATTTTAGTTTTCCACGAAAACACTCTTTGTTGGCTATTATGTATCTATTATGTCGGGTTTTTCGTGTCTGTGTTTCTGGTAGCGCATCCTCTATCTACACCACTGTACTGAATACAGTGTGACAAGAAATTGCCGCTACTTAGGTCTAGTATACTACGATATAAAATACTCCACTAAATTAATACTGGTTGTATTATAGGCAAGTTTAGCATCAATCAATACCACACTTTAATGTTTTGTGACGAACCGACAGAGGGTGTACGGACTTTAGGAAAGACTTCTCTAGCCCCGGTTTCACAAAGCATTCTCAGACTTAAAGGAGCTAAATCGCTAATACTCGGGACCTAGAAATTGACCCAAATGGGTCACAACGCATATAATAATGTAATCTGATTGTATATAAACTGATTTACATTCAATTGTTTCCGTTTTGACTCTAATTTCAAATCAGTTATGTCCAGCGAAATAGGCATGTGTCTCAACCCTATAGCAATTTCTAGCGTCTGGTTATTCAAGTCTATTAGGTAGGCTCTCCAGTTGAATATGTCTAGCCTCGTTCTTTCTGGTCACTTGTTGCAAATGACGCTAAAACGCACTATGGTACCCGATTCGTGTACCAATGGTAAAATATTTATTTTGTTTTAAATATTGGATATCAGTAGCCTGCCTTTTCCTGGTAAGATCACAACATCAATGTTGATTTGAATTGACAAATAATTTGTATTTTCAACGTGTAAGACTTTGGATGATATTGAGTTAGAGACTTAGCTACTTTAAGTTAAAAATTTACTCAACTTTCAATCACTGTTGATGAGACATATCATTGATCCAGGAACACAAAACTTTGCACATAGTTTCTTTTTGATGTGGGGATCACGGTGGCTAAGTGGGTAAGGCGCTGGCTCGCTAGCCTGGAGGTCGGGTGTTCGATCCCTGCATTGGCCGAGAAAGTTCATCCAGATTTTCCGGCGTGGTTCTCCCTTGTCAGTGATGCAGGACGGAGGGGCTGACAAGGACAGCTATCTAGTCGTTCGGATGGGACGAAAAACCGAGGTCCCGTGTACACATTGGCGTGCACGTTAAAGATCCCTTGACAGTTGGAATTCGATATAAGAGTAGGCCGTAGTGCCGCTGTCCGGGCAAAATTAGCCTCATAGCACACTGTATGGCGTATGCCCGTCTTCATTAGCCCAGTTCGGAGCAAAACAGTAGGACGTTAAACCCCATTTCATTTCATTTCATTTCTTTTTGATGTATTTGATGCATTAAACAACAAAATGTTTATAAAGGGCTATATTTTAGTTAAAATAAAGCGAACAATTTTGAGTAAATTCGTAACTTAAGTCTCAGAAGGTTTGTGAACTCGGGACTTGGTTGTATTAAGGGCTAGTTTAACATCAATCAGTTCTCTCTGGATGAATAGTTAAAGGGTGCGGAACGATTACTCTAATTTAATACTGGGCCCTTATTCACGAAAACTTAAACTAAGATACAATCGGAATTTTAAGAAATACTGCAATTCGATTGGCTGACCAGTAAAATCAATTTGCATATATCCAATGAAGTTGCAGTATTTCTTAAAATTTCTTAAAATTACCACTTCATTTTGCTCTGAGTAGTTGCGGGAGTCGTATATAGGGAAGAATATCTAGAGCACCTAAAAAATCGCATTTGAGGAATTTACTTAGCTAACTACCTTTGTTCGTCTTGAGTAGTTGTTATTAATAACTTCTTCTCGTTTCACATACCCAGCAGTTGCCATCTTTCGGTTCCTAATAGTCACCGACAAGAACCGACAAGAACGTTTCGATGTCAAATGCGCCCACAGTGTTGCGATATTTGACCGACAAGCAAAGATCTGTTATCGATATGAACATCCTACACACCATTTCTAAAACTAAAATAATTTTATAAAAAAAAAAATTGACAAGATTATTGATAATTGAAAAATTGACAAAAACTGTCTTGCTAATCACTGACAAGAACGTTTTGCGGTCAGTAGCACCCAAAGTATTGACAAAAGTGACCAACACGGACAGACATATTTTTATAGATATGCATATCCTACACATCATATCTCAGATTTGAAAACTTTCAAGGTAAATTGGAAAAAAATATGGATGATTGAAATTTTGACAAAAACCGATAAGAACAGACAATAACCCTTTTAAAATTTCACTTATCCATAATGGTTAGCGCGTGAGCGTTGTATCATAAGGTCTCTCATTGTGTCAGTTGACGTGGTTTCGATTCCCCGATTGTACGTGACAAGGAGTAGGGTCGCCTGTCCAACCTCCTGGGTTTTCTCCGGGTCCTCCGGTGCCCTCCCACTCCCACTGCTAAAAAGACCCCCCCCCCTCTCTCCCTCTCTTTCTCTAACTCCCTCTTTGTCAATTTCAGTTATTCATAATTTTGTCAATTATTTTTATGAAATCTTTTAAAATTTGGATACGATGTGTAGAATATGCATATCTATACATATTTATCTCTCTTGTCGGTCACAATTTGCAATTCTTTGGGCGATATTGACACATAACCACTCTTGTCGGTGATCGCTCGTCGTGTTTAGATATTCAAAACTTTGTTACATAGTGTGAGCGACATTGATGGGTAAAAGATTATAATCATCATATGACAGCTTGTGTGATACAATCTCCGATGTCCTCTAATTGACCATACTATTGTTTAAATGTTGAATCCAGATCATCTCTTATTTCTGTTAACCCAAGCTATGTTATAACTTTCACGTATTCAAAATCAATAACCAATTATTTTGTTAAAAGATAAATATTCCCCACCTCTTAATATTATCTACAAATTGTTTTGGTTGGAATTGAATAAAAGCGATATTGCTTCTGTTACTTTAATGAACTTTTACTGATATATGCCGAATTGTGTTCACCCTTTGGATTTCATTTGTGGCTAAATCCAAACAAAAGCGTTAAGTTGAGCGAATTTTCCCGATTCCGTAGGTCAGGACTATATGATTAAAGAGAAATTAAAGAACATACGAGGTATTAACCCAGAAGATCTGAAAAATTAAAGAAAGGTTTTGATGTATTAGTTTTACAAATGTGTTTCAAACATATTGTTTTTCTATGAGATTGTGTCTCTTAAGTGTGCTGCCTTTGATTGTACTGTTTGTTATGTCCTTGTCCAGTTATGTGGGCTTGGATGGCCGAATAGTTAGCGCGTGCGTGCTGTATCATAAGCCCCGTCATTGAGTCAACTGGTGTGGTTTCGAATCCCCGGTTGTACGTGACAAGGAGTAGGGTCGCCTGTCCAACCTCATAGGTTTTCTCCGGGTCCTCCGGTTTCCTCCTACTGCTAAAGACCCATATGCGCAAACGAATTATTGAA